CACTCCCTTGACTTCTCCACTGCGTTTCTCTAGGGCCGCCTACACGAGGAGATCTGGCTGCGCCGTCCTCCTGGCTTCACTGACACCTTCCCACCTGGGACCCAGTGGAGCCTGAGGCGGCCAGTCTACGGTCTCCGCCAGTCGCCCTGTGAGTGGCACGACACTCTTCACTCCACGCTTCAGGACCTTGGGTTTTGTCCTTCCTCTGCCGACCCGTCGCTGTTTGTTCGCACTGGTTCCACTCCTTTCTTTATACTAGTGTACGTCGACGACTTGGTCTTTGCTACAGCAGACATGGCAGCTCTGACTGAGGTGAAATCCGAACTGCAGAAGAGACACAAGTGCACTGACCTCGGTAAACTGCAGCACTACCTTGGCCTGCAGATCACCAGGGACAGAGCCGCTCGCACCATCACACTGACTCAGTCACACATGGTGCAGCAGGTCCTTCGGCGGTTCGGGTTTCAGTTCTCCACCACACAGCCCACTCCTCTTGCCGTTGACCACCGACTCACTGGCCCTTTTCCCGACGAGCCCTTTGAGTCTAGTGGTCCCTATGCAGAGCTTGTGGGCTGCCTCATGTTCCTAATGACTTGTACTCGGCCGGACCTCGCCTTTCCCCTCAGCGTCCTCTCTCGCTTTGTTGCGACTGGGAGACACCGTCCTGTTCACTGGACAGCTGCTGTGAGGGTGGCGAAGAACCTGGCGACTACATCAGGCATGGGGCTTGTGCTTGGAGGGACACAGCCAGTTGTGTTGACCGGTCACTGCGACTCTTCCTACGCTGACGACGTGGAGACTCAGCGTTCGACTCAGGGTTAATGCTGTCAAAACTAGCAGTAGAAAGTAAGAATGAGAAAGGAGGGATTGCACTAGCAAGCAGTTGAGTACATATAGGAAACCCTAGATTGGGCTGTACTCGCTATAGAGTACCCCACTGCAGGCTAGACAAATACAACATTCTGACACACCCCCATAGCCAAAGTGGGGTGTAATCAGCACAATGAGCAGGTATAGCAGGAGTTCACAATAAGAAGCAAAGCTAGAGGTAATCACAGCGGGCAAGTGAGGAGGAGGAGGGACTGTGAGAGGAGAGAAGATGAGAGACGGCGGCTGAAGCTGCAGACACACGGGCAACAGGAGCTGCTGGCACAGTGGCTACCGGGACAGTGCGCCCCGGACTACTGGAGTAACTGGCTCACGGGCTACGAGGAGCTACAGGAGCAACGGACCCACGGGCGACAGGCGCAGCAGACTCTCTGGGCTACCAGGACAGTGCGCCCCGGACTACAGGCGCTGCGGACGACAAGACAGCAGCCTCCGCTCAACCTCCCCCGACCGTCCCACACCCCTCTCACACACACCCCCTGCTTCACCCCTAGCTCCACTCCCCCTTCACCCCCCTAGCACCACTCCTTCGGCTCCCCACACACACACCCCCCTGAGCGGCAGCTGCAGCAGCGGGAGACGGAGGAGGAGGAGGAGTAGGGGACGGCACACACAACGGGCACCCCCACAACCGCCACCCCCACACTCCTCAGCCCAAAACCCTAAAACGGGTTGCAAGGGGCAGGAGCGCGGGGGGACGGCGGGGGGGACGGCGCGCGGCCCCCAGGGCGCCACCACGGGGCAGCAGGGGGGCCGCGCGCAGCTCCCCAGGGCGGCGCGACGGGGCAGTGGGGGGTCGCGCGCGACTCCCCAGGGCGCCGCGACGGACGGGCGGGGGCAGCGCGCGGCTCCCCAGGGTGCCGCGACGGACGGGCGCGGGCAGCGCGCGGCTCCCCAGGGTGCCGCGACGGACGGGCGGGGGCCGCGCGCAACTCCCCAGGGCGCCGCGACGGACGGGCGGGGGCAGCGCGCGGCTCCCCAGGGTGCCGCGACGGACGGGCGGGGGCAGCGCGCGGCTCGCCAGGGGGCGCCAGGAAGAAGAAAGGGCCGCGCGCCCCCCCGGCGCGCGCCACACAGGAAAACCGCCGCGCGCATCAGACGCGCGGCGGGAAGAAAAAATTTCGGGGCGCGCGACAGCAGTAGAGCAGCGGAAGCTTTAGGTGGTGGGCCCACCCACAGGATCGACCCAAGGGGATCGACCTGCTCTGATACCATGTCAAAACTAGCAGTAGAAAGTAAGAATGAAGAAAGGAAGTGGTTGCACTAGCAAGCAGTTGAGTACATATCGGAAACCCTAGATTGGGCTGTACTCGCTATAGAGTACCCCACTGCAGGCTAGACAAATACAACATTCTGACAAATGCTTCAGTCTGGGTGCTGGTGCTGTGTCGTGGAGGTCTACACGGTCGTCGTCTGTGGCTACTTCCAGTGCAGAGGCAGAGATCTACGCTGGTGCCATGGCGGCACAGGAGCTTCGCTGGTTGACCTTCTTGCTCACCGACCTTGGTGAGCGGCCTCGCTCTGCACCGACCTTGTACGCTGACAACAAGGCCATGATCCTCCTGTGTCGAGAGCCTCGACTGGAGAGCAGAGTGAAGCATATTGATGTGAGGTACTTCCTCCTGCGAGATTTGCAGCGACGCGGCCAGGCACGCTTGGACTTTGTGGCCTCAGAGGCCAACACTGCCGACGTCTTCACCAAGGCCTTGGCGCCTGGTGACCACCACATGTTCTGTGTGCAGTTGGGGCTTGTTGAGGTAGGCCCTCGGTTGCTGTAGTCTTGTTATTTGCTCTGCTTGTTGTGCTTTGCTATATACCCTAGTGAACTCTTGAACTGGCCTTGTAGCCGCTTGTTTGTGCTCGGGATTTGTGTGGTGTCCTTAAAACCCGCGGGCCAAGATATTCAAGCTTAGGAAGGTTGGTTGGGAGTGAGGACGGTAATTGCCCGTGAGCCAATAGGAGTGTCGAAGTTGTTGGACGAGGTGGTAGAAACTCGGGAAAATCACAAGCGATTTTGGGACACCCAACCAACACTAGGAAGGATGAACCAAATTTGGCCTTCTTGGCCCCCGGGTTTTAAGATCCACCCTGAGCTTGCTTTTCTTCTTGTGTTGACTGGTTTTGTGACCGTTTGTTCACCCTGCTTGCTTTGATGCCCCTCACTTAGCCTATGGGGGTGTGTCAAATGTTATTATAGGTTCTTAGGCTACTGTGAGTAGCACTCTAGGGAGTACAACCCTTTTAGGGTTGAATACTTGTATGATGTATCCCATCTTGCTAGTCCCAAATCATTCCGTTGCATTACACTCTTGAGAGCGGTCGCCAAGCAAGGGAAAGGGTTATACATTCTCTATCCATCCTGTGCTCCCTCAAACACCCCGATACTGTACATGTGTCATTTTTACAGTTCCATTCCCACCACAAAAGAGCCATGCTGTTTCTCCCCAACTACTACCATCCTCACCCTCACACCCTGGCTGGACCTGCCCCTACCTACCACCGCTGTTACCAGTAGTGCTCCCATTCTCTCTCTCCCCCCCCTCTCTACGGTTCCACTGCGTTGCTCTAATTCCTCGCACCCCCTGTCACACTAACATCCCCCGCCTCTCCTCCTGCCCCTCCCCACCCCCCTGCCCCCCTCTCTCCCCGTTCCCTCCCCTCCCCCTCCCCGCTTCCCTACACCTAACCCTGCCCCTCCACCTGCTCCACCCCCTGCCCCTCCCCCTCCCCCTCCCCCTCCCCCTCCCCCTCCCCCTCCCCCTCCCCCTCCCCCTCCCCCTCCCCCTCCCCCTCCCCCTCCCCCTCTCACTCCCCCTCCTCCTCCACCACCCACACCAACCCCCCCTCCCTCTCCCCCTCCCTCTCCCCCTCCCTCTCCCCCTCCCTCTCCCCCTCCCTCTCCCCCTCCCCCCTCCCCCTCCCTCTCCCCCTCCCTCTCCCCCTCCCGCTTCCCCTCCCCCTCCCCCTCCCCCTCCTCATCCGATCCCCATACCGTTACCTCTCGCCTTGCCCTTTTCCCCGCACCTGCCCCTTCCACACTCTCCTCCGCCTTCCTCTTCGTCCCCCCCTCCTCTTCTTCCTCTTCCTTTTCTTCCTCTTCTTCCACATCCTCTGCCTTTGGCGCAGCAGCAATGAACGCTCTCAGAAGGTCCACAAGATAGCTCACCGCAGACCCAATCTTGGCTACTGGCTTCACCCCACTCACTTCCTCCCCACCCTCTTGAGCAGCAGAAACTGCTGCTGGCCCTACTGCTGCTCCTCCTGCTTCCCCTCCTACTACTGCCATTGCTCCTTCTCCTCCTCCTTCCCCTCCTACTAGTGCTGCTCTTACTCCTTCCCCCCCTCCTACTACTGCTGTCCCCACTCCTTGCCCTCCAATTACTGTTGTCCCTACTCCTTCCCCTGCCACTCCTCCTTCCCCTCCTGCTGCTCCTCCTGCTCCTGCCCCCTCTCCTCCTCCCATACCTTCTCTTCCTTGCCCTTCTGCTCGACTGCTCCCCTCCTCTCCCACATCCCCCTCGGTACTCACGAGCAAATTGGCAGGGTGCCGACCACTCGCGTTGTACTCTTCAATCTCCGCTGCTGCTCTCTTAAAATCCTCCACTCCCACCCATGAAAAATCCCTCTCAATTAACACCAAAGCCTTAGCCACTATTTTATCTGCACTGTTAAACACACACTGTTGTTGAAAAGGAAATATAGGGGGGACAGAACGGGGAGCGAGAAAAGAGAAATGAGAGCACAGCAAGGGAAATGAGAGCACAGCAAGGGAAATGAGAGCACAGCAAGGCAAATGAGAGCACGGCAAGGCAAATGAGAGCACAGCAAGGCAAATGAGAGCACGGCAAGGCAAATGAGAGCACAGCAAGGCAAATGAGAGCACAGCAAGGGAAATGAGAGCACAGCAAGGGAAATGAGAGCACAGCAATGCAAATGAGAGCACAGCAAGGCAAATGAGAGCACAGCAAGGGAAATGAGAGCACAGCAACAGCAAGGCAAATGAGAGCACAGCAAGGGAAATGAGAGCACAGCAAGGCAAATGAGAGTCCACGCCTACAGCATACCTTTGCGACTCCACCCGTTTCTTGGACTAAAAAAAAGGCACAATCGGTTCACTGCAACATCTCCTCCCACTTCGAAAACTTCTTAGTGAAAATCTCATTCCACTCAAGGTTGTACATCCAATTATCACAATCCTCGCACGCCTTGCATTCCTCGCACGTCTTAAATGACTTGATCGCCCGACACGCGGGGCACGCCTTGCATTTGTCGCACACCCGGAAAGCCTTGAGCCAGAGTGCCTTTTTCAGCAGCCCCACTGTCTGGGGGCGCACAGGAGGCCTGAATACGAGCTCGGCCACTCCTGGGAGGGTCACTTCCTTGAGAACTTTCTGGTTGTGCTTCAGGAACTGGAGGAGGAGGAAGGAGAGGAGAGTGGACCGGGGGCAGGGGAGGAGAAGCGGGAGATGATTGTCTTGGACACACATGCACGCCTTGCATGTACTGCATGCGTTGTTCCCCTTGAGCCATAGTCCCTTGTGTAGCATGTATGTGACATTGTAACGAGCTGAGTGAGCTTTGAGCCGACCACAAGTCAGCTCATTTGTGAAGCCGTGACCTATGAGCCTTACAAGGCTTGAGTGAGCCACACACCCCTCGTGCAGCAGCCCCACTGCCTGTCAAACTGCCTTCGGGTCCTTCGGCTGGGTGAGTGAGTGAGACCAGGAAACGGAGGAGGTGATTCTTGACTTGACACAACTAAAAAATGAGCACAGCACAACACACCAGCTCGTTACCACAAAACTATCTGTTCTGCACCTCCTTACTTGATGCACGCACCAACGAGGCAAGCAGGCACGCACACGGAGGGCAGTCTTCCTGGCGTGCAGCATGTCGTCATCCTTGACCCTCACATCCATGCACAGGCGCGCGCGCGCGCACACACACACACACACGCACACACTCGCACATGCACGCACCTCAAGGACAGTCTTCCTGGCATGCAGCAGATCGTCATCCTTGACCCTCACATCACATCCATGCACAGGCGCGCAATCACGCACCTGGCAAGCACACACTTATCGACCAGGAAAGGACGAATTGCCCACGCAAGCACGCACACACACGTACGCGCACACTCGCATACCTCAATGACAGTCTTCCTGGCGCGCAGCAGGTCGTCATCCTTCACCCTCACATCCACGCACAGGCGCGTGAACCTGTCCTGCTCCCCTTCTAACATCTCCCTCGCCTCCTCCAAGCACCCCTTCAGATCTTCCACCTCCTTCGCCACCTCCTGCTTGCCAGTCAGCACATTGCATTTCTCCGACTCCAAATCATTCGACAGGCGTGAGCACCTGTCCTGCTCCTGCTGCAACCTCTCCTTTGCCTCCTGCAATTCCGTCTCCAACTGCCTCACCCTCTCCCCGCGCGCGTGCGCACTAGAAACACTCAGTCTCCTGTCGTGCCACAGGCGCAAGCACCTCTCCTGCTCCTGTTGCAACCTCCTCTTAGACTCCTCCAATTCCTCCTCCAGCTGCCTCACCCTCTCCTCCTCCTCCTCCTCCTCCTCCTCCTCCTCCTCCTCCTCCTCCTCCTCCTCCTCCTCCTCCTCCTCCTCTTCGTCTTCCATACTCCCATCAACCTCCCCTTCCTCCAATTCCTCCTCCAGCTGCCTCACCCTCTCCTCCTCCTCCTCCTCCTCCTCCTCCTCCTCCTCCTCCTCCTCCTCCTCCTCCTCCTCCTCCTCCTCCTCATCCTCCTCCTCCTCCTCCTCCTCCTCCTCCTCCTCCTCCTCCTCCTCCTCGTCTTCCATACTCCCATCAACCTCCCCTTCCTCCAATTCCTCCTCCAGCTGCCTCACCCTCTCCTCCTCCTCCTCCTCCTCCTCCTCCTCCTCCTCCTCCTCCTCCTCCTCCTCCTCCTCCTCCTCCTCCTCCTCGTCTTCCATACTCCCATCAACCTCCCCTTCCTCCAATTCCTCCTCCAGCTGCCTCATCTCCCTCTCCTCCGTCTCCCTCGACCTCGCCGCATTTGCCTCCCCCGCTCCCTGTTTCCGTAACGCCTCCGCTTTCTCTGCTTCCTCCGCCTCCCTAGCTATCTGCTTCCGCAACTCATCCTCCGAGACTGCCTCCATTCGATGCCCCTGCTCTTCCTTCAGCAGTTCCTGCTGAGATTTCCGCTTTGGCTCCCTCATCTCACACTGTCAAGCAGGGCAGAGGGAGGGAGAGGGAGGAAGGAAGGAAGCCAGGGAAGGGAGCAAGGGGCCTAGGCATGAGTGAGCGTAGGGCTGTGTTCGTCTGGGGTTTCTGCCCTGCTTGCCCTTGGCCTCTGCAAGCCGTACCTCCATTCGATGCCTCTGCCCTACCTGTTGTTATCGCCCCTGCTGATATTTTTCCCCAAGCTCCTCCATCTCACGCTAGTGGGACGGGGGGATAGGGGGAGAAAGAAGGGAGGGAGGGAGAGAGGGAGGGAGAAAGGAAGGACAGTGAAAGCTGCTCCCCAGCTCCATCCTTTCCTACTGGAGGGTGGCGGAGAGGGTAGGAAGGAGGAGCACAAGCGCTGGCTGTATGAATTGACTAGTGTATGAGGTGACTTTCGAGTCGACTCAAAAGTCACCTCGCTGGCTATGTGAATTTACTAGTGCATGCTGGCAAATCTACAATATCTGTGTTAAGTTAGTCTCTTTCTAGGCACCTCACAAGCGCCAGCACGTGGCACGTTGGTGAGCAACATATTGACCTTGACCATACGAGGTACTGGCAAAGAGGAAAGGTTCAGAGGATCACAAACTTGATCCCCATCCTGCCTCTTCTTGAAACCTACTCCACACAGCGTTAGCTAATAGCTACCCACTCCCGTTTTCCCACCCAACGTGAGCCACTCACCACTCCTTCGTGAGTTTGCTGCTGCTGCTCCCTCTGCTGCTGCTGCTCCCTCTGCTGCTGCTCCCTTTTCTGCTGCTGCTGCTGCTCCCCCTGCTGCTCCTGCTGGCTTAGCTGCCAAGGTGGGGCGTCGCGGCGAGAAGATGCAAGGAGATGGGAAGAGAGGAGAGCAGAGGGGAGGATAGGAGAGGAGAGGAGAGGAGAGGAGAGGAGAGGAGAGGAGAGGAGAGGAGAGGAGAGGAGAGGAGAGGGGAGGAGAGGAGAGGAGAGGAGAGGAGAGGAGAGGAGAGGAGAGGAGAGGAGAGGGGAAGAGAGGAGAGGAGAGGATAGGAGAGGGGAAGAGAGGAGAGGAGAGGCAGGAGAGGGGAAGAGAGGAGAGGAGAGGAGAGGAGAGGAGAGGAGAGGAGAGGAGAGGAGAAGAATGGAGAGGAGAGGAGGAGAGGAGAGAAGGGAAGAGAACAGAGGAGATGAGAGAGGAAGACAGAAGAGGAGAGGAGAGAAAAAGGGAAGAGAGGAGGGGAGGAGAGGAGAATAGGATAGGAGAGGGGAAGAGAGGGGAGGAGAGGAGAGGATAGGATAGGAGAGGGGAAGAGAGGAGAGGAGAGGAGAGGAGAAGGTAAGAAAGGAGAGGAGAGGAGAGGAGAGGGGAAGAGAGGGGAAGAGAGGAGAAGGGAAGAACAGACCTCGCCTCGCTCAGCTCAGACTCTTGTTCTTCTGCCCATTACAATTTGGACTGCCCCTCCCTCTCATCTCACCTTTCTCAGGCTCTTGGTCGCCTTGTGCTTCTGGTGCAGCACACTCCCTACTGGCCCCTCCTCACCCTCCACCTGCAGATCCTTCTCCCTTGCCGCCCATGCGAATAACTCCTTCGTCTCCCCCTTCCTCGCACGCAAATACCCCTCTCTCCCCAGCCCTGAATTTTCATATGCCTTATCCAGTTTCGATAAAGCCTCCCACCCGTTTGCATTCTCCTCAAAGTGAATCAGAGCCATGCCTGTATGGCCGTTGAACTCTGATACAGCGGGAGGATAAGCAGTAAGGGGGAGAAATAAAAGAGCCATGCTTGTATCATTGTACCCTGATGAAGGGGGGGGATAAAGACAAGCACAAACCGGAGAGGCATGAATGTGTATGCGTGGATCTTGAGGTCGTCACATCAGTTTTGAGGCACCTCAAAACTACATGCATGTGTATGCGTGGATCTTGAGGTCGCCACTGTCAGAACTATGCATGTATGCTCTAGGCTGTAGTGGGGCACTCCTTATGGGGTACAGCCCAAATTAGGTTTTGCCTATACAAACCTTGTACTGCTCGCTTTCTAGTCATTCTTTCCTTCTCATTTCTGACATGGTTTCAGAGCAGGTTCCCTAATGGGAACGTTTTTTTTTAGGGCCCACCACGATTTTTTTTTCCTGCCCTGCCCGAAGCGCGCCTCGCGCCTGCCTCACCTGCGCAGACGCGCGCCCTGCCCTACTGCCGCCCGTCGCAGCCCTGCCCTACGGCCAGTCGCGGCCCTGCCCTAACGGCCCGTCGCGGCCCTGACCTTGCCGCCCGTCGCGGCCCTGCCCTGTCGCCGCCCGTCGTGGCCTGACCTAGCCGCCCGTCGCGGCCCTGCCCTGCCGCCACCCGTCGCGGCCCTGCCCTCAGCCGCTTGTCGCGGCCCTGCTCTAAAGCCGCCCCGTCGCGGCCCTGCCCTGCCGCCCCCCAGTCGCGGCCCTGCCCTGCAGCCGCCTTGTCGCGGCCCTGCCCTGCTGCCGCCCCATCGCGGCCCTGCTCTGCCGCCGCCTCGTCGCGGCCCTGCCCTACCGCCGCCCCGTCGCGGTCGTGACCTAACCGCCAACTGCGGCCCTGCCCTGCACCCGCCCCTGGTAAGCGCCCGCCTGCCTGCCGCGCCGCGCCGCCCAGCCAAGCCGCGCCGCCCAGCCGAGCCGCGCCGCCCAGCCGAGCCGCGCCGCCCTACCGAACCGCGCCGCCCTGCCGAGCCGCGCCGCCCTGCCGAACCGCGCCGCCCTGCCCTACTGAGCCGCGCTGCCCTGCCCGAGCTGCCCCTGCTCCTGCAGCTGTTACTGCTGCTACTGCTGCTTCTGCTGCTAATGCTGCTACTGCTGCTACTGCCGCCATGGCTAGCCCTAATGTTCTTACCTTTGATGCTGAGGGTCGCGCGGTTGACTTCGATGTTTGGGTAGATGACCTGCAGCTCTTTCTTCAGTGCGACTCTAGGGACGGAGTCTCGCTTTTCGATCACACGTCCGGCGTCTCTGCTGCACCTGCTGCCACTGCTGACAGTACGGTTCGCTCGCAGTGGACTACTCGTGACGCTGTTGCTCGCCTTGCTGTTCGTAGTCACCTGCCGTCTGCTGAGCGCGCACACTTTGGCCAGTACAAGACTGCTAAGTCTTTGTATGACGATGTCGTAGCGCGCTACTCCTCCCCTGCCACTGCTGCCCTCAGTCGCATCATGCTGCCGTACCTGTTCCCTGACCTGGCCGCCTTTCCCACATTCGCTGACCTCATTACTCACCTCCGCACTAGTGACGCCCGCTACCGCGCTGCGCTTCCCTCCGAGTTCTGCGCCAAGAACCCCCCCCCCCATGTACATCACCCTCTTCTACCTAGTCACCCGTCTCCCTGACTCTCATTGCTCAGTCAGGGACCACTTTCTCTCCCTTTGCCCCACCGAGCTCACCGTCGACTTGCTAGAGGAGCGCCTCACTGCAGCTGAGAAGAGCACAGTTGCTGTAGGTGCTTCTCGTGGCGACCCTCGCGCCCCTTTCTTTGAGGGGTGTTCCCCCGTTCCCCTTCTGCCCTCTGTTGCTTCTGCTGCTGCTGTCGACCTCGTTGGCACTGAGGAGGTCGGGGCTGCGTCTGCTCCTAGTGGGAGGCGCCGCAGCGGCAAGGGCAAGGGGGGCAAGGGTGGTGGAGGGGACGGCGGGGGCGGCTGTGGAGGCGGTGGAGGAGGCGGAGGGGGTGGCGGTGGAGGTGGGGGTGGTGGCGGGAGTGGGGGAGTCGGTAGCGGCGGTGGAGGTGGTGGAGGCAGCGGCAGCGGCGGTGGAGGCAGCGGCAGCGGCAGTGGAGGTGGCGGCGGCGGTGGTGCTGGTCGAGGTGGAGCCGTGCAGCGTGGAGGCTTTGGCGGTAGCCAGCGCCAGCAGCAGCCGCGTTCCCGTGAGACCCCGTCACCCCAGCAGCTTCGTGAGTGGTACGTTGGGCGTGGGAGGTCTGGGGGTGCTGGTCCCTGCACTTACGTTCTCCGCACCGGCGGGCGCCGTGGGGAGACGTGCGGACTGCCACACACTACGCAGCGCTGTTTCGGTCGCCTGACTGACGCCTGGCACGCCCAGTTTCCTGACGCCGTTGAGCTCCCTCGCTGGGGTGATCTGCTTAAGTCTGGTGTTGCTATCTTTGATATTGATTTCGATGCTATCCTTGCTGCCATGTATGCTGTGACTGATAGTGCTGAGGGTGACTGTTACCTGTGTGTTCCGCCCGACCCAGGCATTGAGGCTGCTGCTCTCAGTGCTAGTGAGTCTGCTGCTCCAGGTGCTAGTGAGTCTGCTGCTCCAGGTGCTGGTGAGTCTGCTCTCTCTGGTACTGCGCCTGCTGAGGCCTTGCACACCTTCACACTTGACTCAGGTGCTTCCCGCTCCTTCTTTCGCGACAGCACCACACTCACGCCGCTCAGTCGGCCGGTTGCAGTCTCCCTGGCGGACCCCTCTGGGGGCCCAGTCCTTGCGCACTCCTCCACGGTTCTACCGTGTCCGGCGGCCCCGTCGGGCTCCCTGTCGAGTCTTCACCTCCCCTCGTTCTCTACGAACTTGGTGAGTGGAGCTGACCTCCAGGACGTGTGGGTTGACCAGTTCACTCCTAGAGGTCAGCGTGTGACCCACTGTATGTGCACTCGGACGGGCCGCCACCTGGCCACGTTCACCCGTCGGCCTGGGTCAAGCCTGTACACACTGACTACTGAGTCTCCTCTAGTTACTGCGTCTGGTCAGGTCGCCGCGTCTGGTCAGGTGTTTGCTGCCGCGTCCAGGTCTGGTCCGGAGTCTGCCCCCTGCTCGTGTCGTACTCTGTCACACGAAACTCTCCTTTGGCACCACCGCCTTGGTCACCCCTCCCTGCCTCGTCTCCGAGGTATGGCCTCCCGTACCCTTGTCTCTGGTCTCCCCCGGTCTCTCCCTCCCCTCCCTCCGAGGCCTGCCCCTACCTGCGTTCCTTGCGTCGAGGGACGGCAGCGCGCCGCTCCTCACTCCTCCGAGTTCCCTCCGACGGAGGCTCCCCTGCAGACTCTCCACATGGACGTGTGGGGCCCAGCCCGCGTCCGTGGACAGGGTCACGAGCGTTACTTTCTGCTGGTCATTGACGACTACTCGCGTTACACCACAGTCTTCCCCTTGCGCCGCAAGGGTGAGGTCACTGAGGTGTTGATCGACTGGATACGCGCTGCCCGTCACCAGCTCAGCGAGTGTTTCGGCTCGGACCTTCCTGTTCTGCGTCTGCACTCCGACAGAGGTGGTGAGTTTTCCTTCGACCTTCTGCGGGCTTTCTCTCGTGCGGAGGGCATCCGCCAGACGTTCACGCTTCCGGCCTCCCCACAGCAAAATGGGATTGCTGAGCGCCGCACTGGCATGGTCATGGACGTCGCTCGCACGTCCATGATCCATGCGGCTGCTCCCCATTTTCTGTGGCCGTTCGCGGTCCAGTATGCTGCGCATCAGCTCAACCTCCAGCCTCGTGTCTCCGTGCCAGAGACCACACCTACTCTGCGGTGGACGAGGCAGGTTGGCGATGCGTCTGTGTTCCGTGTCTGGGGATCTCGAGCTTTTGTCCGCGATTCTTCCGCGGACAAGCTGTCCTCCCGTGCTGTTCCCTGCGTCATCCTTGGCTTCCCCCCTGACGCGCCTGGTTGGCAGTTTTACCACCCCACCTCGCGTCGTGTTCTGTCCTCTCAGGACGTCACATTTGACGAGTCGGTACCTTACTACCGTCTCTTTCCCTACCGCACTGCCCCTCTCCCCCCCCCCCGCCGCTCTTCTAAGCACCAGGTGCTCCTCCGGTAGACCCCCTCCCCCCTCAGGGTCCTGCCCCCTCAGGTGTGTCCCAGGTAGACCCTGTCGAGCCTGTCGAGGTAGCTGTCGACTCTGGTGCTGCTAGGGGTGCTGAGCCTGCGGGTGCGGGGCCTGGGGGTGCTGAGCCTGGGGTTGCTGAGTCTGAGGGTGCGGAGCCTGGGGGTGCTGAGCCTGAGCGTGCGGAGCCTGGGGGTGCTGAGCCTGGAGGTGCTGAGTCTGGGGGTGCTGGGTCTGGGGGTGCTGAGCCTGGGGGTGCTGAGCCCGAGCGTGCTGAGTCTGGAGGTCCTCCGAGTGTCTTGTCACGGCGGGAGCCCCTCTCTCCACAGCAGCGGCGCGAGTGGTACGCTCGGCGCTGTAGTCATGCTGCTGGAGCTGGGGGGCCTACTGCTGGAGGTGCTACTGGAGCTGGAGCTGCTGGAGGTCCTGCTGGTGCTGTAGCTGCCGGAGGTGCTCGTACTGGAGGTACTAGAGCTGCTGGAGCTGGAGCTGCTGGAGGTACTGCTGGTGCTGGAGCTGCTGGAGGTGCTGGAGTCGCTGGTCCCAGAGGTGCTCGTACTGGAGGTACTGGAGCTGCTGGAGTTGGAGCTCCTGGAGGTACTGCTGGTGCTGGAGCTGCTGGAGGTACTGGAGCTGGTGGTGCTGCAGGAGTTGGGGCTGGAGGCGCTGGAACAGTTGCTGCTGGAGGTGCTGCTGGAGCTGGAGCTGCTGGAGGTGCTGGAGCTGGTGGTGCTGCAGGAGTTGGAGCTGGAGGCGCTGGAGCTGTTGCTGCTGGAGGTGCTGCTGGAGCTGCAGACCCTGGAGCTGGGGGTCCTGGTGCTGTCTCTGCTGGTTCTGGAGGTGCTGCGCGGCCGCGGCCGTACTTCGCTCCACTCCTTCAGCAGGTTCTTGGTCTCCCGCCCTCTACTGGTCCTACTCCTCCCTTACTGTGTCCACGGAGTCACAGTTACAGCCAGCCTCTCCGCTGCCTGGTCCTTCTCCTTACTCTGGGCCGACTAGGGGTCTTACCGAGCGTCGTGAGCCTGAGTCTCGTCCTGCGTCGCCTGTTCGCACTGTTCGCACTGGTCGTGTTCCGCGTCCGCGTCCTCCTGCTGTCCCAGGCACGCACCAGATGGCACTCCGTCCTTCCACTGCTCCACAGCGTGTCCCTCTGCCGTCTCCTCCTGCGTCCTCTCTTTCTGACGTCCCTGACCCGCCGTCAGACCTTGCTCGTGCTGCCAGTCCTACTGTCACGCATCTTCTAGCCACTGTTGTCACTGACCCTTCGTTTGAGTCCACTGCTGCGTCTGCCCTAGTTGCTGAGCTTGTTGACTTTGCTGCCGCCTGTCACCTCGACTACGCCGCAAGACTTGTTGCTGAGTCTGAGTCTGTCTGTCCTCCGTCCGTCGGGGGTGAGTGTGCTCTCGGCACGGACGTCCTTGAGGACAGGCAGGAGGACTTTGAGTGTTTTGCAGCTGCTGTACCTCATCTCGTGTCCATGCTGATTGCACCTGAGGGAGACCCGAATGCACCAGACATCCCGACCCCTCGCTCTTACGCAGAGGCGATAGAGGGTCCCTACTCCTCTCAGTGGCAGACAGCCATGGACGCAGAGATGGCATCCTGGAAGTCCACAGGCACCTACGTTGACGAGGTTCCCCCACCCGGGGCGCACATCGTCAGTGGCATGTGGATTTTCAGGGTGAAGCGGCCGCCGGGTTCTCCGCCTGTCTTCAAGGCGCGTTACGTTGAACGAGGCTTCAGTCAGGTGCTCCTCTGGTAGACCCCCTCCCCCCTCAGGGTCCTGCCCCCTCAGGTGTGTCCCAGGTAGACCCTGTCGAGCCTGTCGAGGTAGCTGTCGTCTCTGGTGCTGCTAGGGGTGCTGAGCCTGCGGGTGCGGGGCCTGGGGGTGCTGAGCCTGGGGTTGCTGAGTCTGAGGGTGCGGAGCCTGGGGGTGCTGAGCCTGAGCGTGCGGAGCCTGGGGGTGCTGAGCCTGGAGGTGCTGAGTCTGGGGGTGCTGGGTCTGGGGGTGCTGAGCCTGGGGGTGCTGAGCCCGAGCGTGCTAAGTCTGGAGGTCCTCCGAGTGTCTTGTCACGGCGGGAGCCCCTCTCTCCACAGCAGCGGCGCGAGTGGTACGCTCGGCGCTGTAGTCGTGCTGCTGGAGCTGGGGGGCCTACTGCTGGAGGTGCTACTGGAGCTGGAGCTGCTGGAGGTCCTGCTGGTGCTGTAGCTGCCGGAGGTGCTCGTACTGGAGGTACTAGAGCTGCTGGAGCTGGAGCTGCTGGAGGTACTGCTGGTGCTGGAGCTGCTGGAGGTGTTGGAGTCGCTGGTCCCAGAGGTGCTCGTACTGGAGGTACTGGAGCTGCTGGAGTTGGAGCTCCTGGAGGTACTGCTGGTGCTGGAGCTGCTGGAGGTACTAGAGCTGGTGGTGCTGCAGGAGTTGGAGCTGGAGGCGCTGGAACAGTTGCTGCTGGAGGTGTTGCTGGAGCTGGAGCTGCTGGAGGTGCTGGAGCTGGTGGTGCTGCAGGAGTTGGAGCTGGAGGCGCTGGAGCTGTTGCTGCTGGAGGCGCACCCATCGAATCATGGCGCACCGGCGGCCTAGTAGCGTTATCGGTCCAACAGTTGTGAATGACTTAGCACGCGTTGCCCTCTCGCGAAGAATATGTGAACAAACTGGTAGCTGCGATTGACTCGCAAGCACGGCGCAACTACTCTCGTAAAGTGCGAGACGGTTGAGCAGGAGAAGCGTGTCAGCCGGAACGAGGGAGGCGGAGCGAACGACACGGAATGTATTCCTGCGGTCACAGAAGCCCAGCGCGCAGCTTTTACCATGTGGTAATCGAAGGGCATTGGAGGGAGCAACGGAGTGGCAGGCAAAAAGCTGAGAATGTTACTAAACTGGGCGAGATATTCGCGAATCAAATACTAAGGTGCGCTGCTTCGGTACATCTTCGCAAATCTCTCTGCACGAGGGAAACGGGTTACAAGAGGCAGCCTCGCCAAGTACATAAATTCAGGCGACATACGCACGGCTAACCTCGAGGTTTGACCTTTTCCTCCGAAGCGCTTTGTATGGGGGGAAGCTTGGATCAAACTTGGCGTGATTGGGATGTGACGTTGGTCTGAGAAGCTGAGATGTCAGTGACGCTGGCCCGCCTGATTTCCCTCGTGATTCCGTTGGAGGTTGAAAATGGAGATAAACTGTATGGAGTGTTCGCCGTAGGGAACTGCCTTCGGAAGCGCGCAACTACAAGTCTTAGTCAACAGCTTGTATTAAATAATGTGTTAAAACAAATTAATGAAATTATCAGTAAACAAACAAACGAATATATGGTACAAAAATCAGGATATCAAAGCAGCCGCATCTCTTGTGTGCAGCCGCCAAAAAGTATAGGAACCATGACCTTTGTCATGCTCCCTGAGCTTTTATTCACAAACCGCCTTCCTGGTCGAAGTCATACGACCATCTCACTTGCTTGGACTTGCGCGAAAGTATACCCTTCAGCCCCCCCTTCTTCGCCCCTTTCTCCACGGCCTTGCTCCCCACAGCATGCTCCGCCCCTTGCTGCATCGCTCCTATATCGGCACTTCCAGGTCGGCTCATCGAAATGGGCGATCGCGATTCCAACACACGCCTGGCTTCAATGGCGCCTCCTGCAGTTGAAGTCCGCCTCAGGTGCCCCTTCCCCACATGCACCTCCCCGTTCGCTGCTCCCCTCCATCCAGCATTGGTGGAAGGACTACCAGGGTCCATGCTCGGTATGGCTGATGTGACCAGCCCCCGGCTCGAGCTCCTCATCATCCCGTGCCGAGGCTGCCCCGCAGGTTCGGCGCCGAGCCACGACTTGGCTATGGTGTCAACACGGTTGCCCGAACTAGATTCGCTGTGCGAGCGGAACGGCGACGGTGCGTACGCACTCGGGCGGCCGGCAGGAGACAGACACGAGGGGGAGTTAGTGAGAGAACTGGAAGGGGAGAACGAGGAGGGCGAGAAGGAGGCCGCAGAAGGCGAGAAAGAGGCGGAGGGAGAGTAGGAGTTCATGGAAGGAGAGAAGGGGGAGGAGGAAGTAGCAGGCGAGGGGGAATTGGAGCGGGAGTTGAGGGTTGACGTGCGGAAGCGGACGTCCAGGGGAGTGAAGCGCAGGCGAGGCGAGGGCTCGTCACTGGAGGAACGAGCCATGCTGCCAACGCTGGAAGAGGGAATGAGCCCCGCAGGGAGTCTTCCTGTGGCGGCAGCGAGGCGCACAGCCATGTCTCTCTCCGCCATGGCGGTTTCAAGTAGTAACTGCAGCTGCCGTGCCTCCTCTTCCGCCTGCTGCACCCTCTGCTGCTGCTGCTGCTGCTGCGCGGCGCTCATGCCTGTATTTGCCACGTCAGCCGGCGGCGATGCTGACAGGGACTCGAGCAGCGCCTCCATTTCCTTGGCCAGCGCGTCGCGCTCCTCCTTGGCCGTTATCAGCTCCTCTTTCGTCGCGACCAGCTCCTGCGTCCTCCTTTCAAGCAGCTCCGTTAAGCGTCCGTTAGCGTCAGACAACTCTTCTAGCTGACCCCTTAGTTCCACCACCTCCATCGCGATGCTCTGCCATTCCGGCGACCGAGCCTCGGCCTGAGGCCCGGAATGCTGGCACGCTCTGGCTTGGCCCGAGCCACTTGCGGAACCGGCATTGCCAAAGGCAGTCTTGGCTTGGCCAACGGTTACCAGCTGCCGCCGCAGCACCGCGATTTCGTTCTCCAGTCGCCGAACTTCGTCACCGCCAACCGACATACAGCTAGACGTTCGCGACAAATTTCCGCTCCCCCCCTTCGCGTGCGCCGCTGCGTTCCCCACTCTGCGCGCTCCGCCCTTCACTCGCCCTCTCTCCTCCCGCTCCGCCTCCCTCTCGCGCTCCCGCTCTCCGTCAAAACTGCTGCGCGGCTTCTCCCGTTGCGCCGTGACCGGCCGGGGGTGGTCGATACAGCTGTTCGTGCGGGAAAGGTGGCGCGGCGCGATCTCGTCTGAGCAAACGCGAGGGATGGTCTCTCGTTCCCTCGCGAAAAGCAAGTTCCGCCGATCCACCCCGCTCCGCTCCCGCTGCCTCTCGCGCTCCTCCTGCGCACCCGAGGCCCCGCGCCCTCCCGCGCGGCCCTCCTGCTGCGCGCTCTGCGCGCCACGCCGCGGACCGGCGACTTGCGCAGTTCCCCCCGCTGGTCCGCCCGCTTCGTCCGAAGATCCGCATTCCGCCACGGAGCCCAGCCAATCAACCATCAGGTCGTCGCATTGTTCCCACGCGCTCGCTTGGCCTTTCCTTCCAGTCGTCCCGGAAGATGTGCCGCGTTCCACGCTCTCAGAAACAGACTTCTGCGGAAGTCTCCTGCGGGTGTCCTTGGGATTCGATACCCACCCCGCGAGGCTGTCTGGGCTTCCGCCGCCCGCGACGGGGGTTTCGCTAGCGATGGATCTTTCGCCACGCCTGCTGTTGGCAACGCTGGTAACCCCACTGGTTGTCCCTACGGGACCGGAAAGTGCCGCAAAGTTTCCACTTCCGCCGCTTCCGCTCAACTTTCCGCCAAGGTTGCCGCTTCCGCCTGCTCCGATGAGCAGCCGCACCGCGATGCGTCTCGCGGCTCCGGAGGAGGCGAGAGCAGCGGATGCGCCCGCGTCACTTTCTGTCACGTTTTCTGACATTCGCGAAAGCAGCTCGCCGATTTCAAAATGCGCGAATTGATGTCTCGGATCGTTTGGCCGCGCCATGACAAAACCTCTGCTGTTTGGACCTGCTCGCTATCGTGCTCCAGCGTCGGCTTCGAGAAAGAAACGATTTTGTTAGGAGCCGTGGCTTCTTCTATGCCTGGTCTCACTGCAATGAAAGAACGAAATGACGCGTCGTTACTGTGAATGAGCTAGCTCGATCGCAAAAACAAAATTCACGCGTAAGGTTGTCGCCGTCTGTCATGCATGCAGGCAAAAACGAAAGCAGACTTTGAATGTGTGTTGGCAGGGAATGCCGCGAGCACATGTAAAGACGTAACGGAAGGATGAAGTGGCGGGTGCAGTGCAGTGGGGAAAATGCGGATGCAAGGGTGGTGAGTGCGGTGCGGAGGGGGTTTTTCCAGGTGAACATCGCGGCGGAGGGATTTTGAGGCTGGAAAATGCCGAATCAGTTATGGGGCGAGGAGATTTGCGGCGCGGGGGAAATGCTTAGGAGGGGGAGGAATTTGCGGCGCAGCTGTCCTTCCTTGCGGGGCGGGAAATTGGAGTAGCGCTGATTGGTGCCATCAATTCTGATATCCAACCGAAGCGTGGTCATGTCAGGTCAGTTCAAACTCCGCGTTATCCTTTCTGCTGTTGTTGTGATTGCTGATGCCCAAGCACGTGAGGAAGATGGAAAATTCAGGAGATCATACCCCGATATTCTGTTGAGGTCGGCTCTCCAAGGCCGTTCGTCGTTGTTCTTGCCGAAAAGAATGGAGAATTTATGGGGATGTATTTTCGTAAGGTTTTCGTATAGAGTCGATGTGGCAGAAAATCCGCAACGACGTATGTGCTGTGAAACCACATATGTGCTCGGACCCTGTGAAACTACATTATCATCGATCACTCAATTTCTGCAGCTATCGCTTCTCTGGGGCATCGACTGAAATTCAGCATTCCGGTGCTTGTGCTTGTTGTTCGCCCCGTTTCCAGCAGATAGGGTAGCCTTGCAACAAAAATGACGGCCTTGCTAGTGGTTGTTAAATAAGCCAAAGCTGGTTACCATACTGAGCTGGTTTCTTTCACTGCACTCCAGCTGGCAATCTGTTGTGAGTCGTCGGGAGTGGACGCTGGTCACTGTCGCGACGTAACGCATTGACAGATAACAACTGTTGACGGGGGATGGCACACTGGCGTTAATGACCATGATTAGATTGGCGGATTGCGCCATGCCAAAGCAGACAACGTCAAATGGCTAGTTGCTACTGGGCGGGCTTCAAACGTTGTTTCCAACCGCAATGCAACCCAATCATCCCCACCTGCCCAGACAGAAGCTTGAGGGAGCTGTTTGCAGCGAGCGAAATAACAGAAAGTCGTTTGAGACCAATGAGATGATAAGGAATTGCACAAGTTCAGGAGCAACGATTTCAAATCATCTGACCCTGAAAGATTCGAGGAGAGCCCTTCTTTTAAGTTACACCCTCTCTCGCGCCAGACTGACAATGGGATGCACTGGCTACAGTGCGTACTGTTGCTTGGACCCTAGCGATCTGGTGCTTGGAACCGAACCCCAGCTAGGTGTCAGGATTTCTGCTAGCTCGGACGATCCGGGCCCCTGTGAAAAAAACCCTGTAAAATCCGAGCCAGCGAAAAATCCGACCACGACAAAACCTGGATAAGTGCTAGGGAGGCTGGAGATGAAGGAGCGGCTCTAGAGGTGTGGGAGAGAGACTTACGGGCTGGTCCAAGAAGCACCTGATGACAATCAGGGTTCCTCTAACACCTTGTAATTTCAGTCAAAGCAGGGTTATTGCCCTGATAACAAAAGCCCTGCTCCGGAGGAACGGTACACAACGTTATGTGGAAGAAAGCTTGCTTTTGCGTACGGTTAAGTGCGGCAAGTGTGCTTATATGGTATGTGCTGGGACCATTCTGGACGCATAGCAGTCAGTACAGCCGGGCTGTCAGTATGGCCAATGTCAGTCTGGCGCGAGAGAGGGTGTACCGTCGGGCAGCCAAAACATCTCAGGTGAATCTTACCACCACCAACAAACGAGAGGGCAGGCCTAGCTCGTCGGTAACGGCTTTGCCAAAAGACCAGCCTTCGTGTTTGTTGGAACGAGCAAGGGTGGTGGGTAGGAAGGAGGGTGATACGAGTCAACCATACTCGTTAGAACGAAAGCTAACGGACTAGTTGGACCTCCTTGCATCAACACGACAAAACATGCGTGCTGGAAAAACAATGAGATGATACAAACGAGCCCAGCAACTTATATCCAGACCCTCACACCGTCCTTGCGCACGCACACCCACACAACCCCGAACATCTCTTGAATCACCCCAAACCTACACCTGAAACCTGGCACGTTCGTTACATTTGGCTGCTGCTCCAGTCCACAGGTACCACACGGAGCCCACCCCAAAACAAATCCCTATCATTTCGATAAATGTGTTCATCCTCCTCAAAACAGCACTTGTCACCCAAACCAATTACCGTAATGGCTGCAATACACAATATCAAACACATTTGCTCTTTATGCATCTAACAAAGAACCCTTTTTCCTACAGTGTACAAGCCCATGTGCTTGGTCACACTCACTATAGCCATACCCCGCCAGAAACCCCCTCACAGCAGCTGGCGTCGTGTTCCCCGCCCGCAGCAACATCCTGTCCTCTTCATACAGGACAAACGGCGCCTCCTTCGGCGGGCGGCTGAGCAACCCAGCAGCACCCCTAAGCGCATGGAGCTCCCATCCCTGTACAGTCACCTTCAATACAGCCACATGCTGGTCGGGTAAAACGAGGGAGTCTATAGGGAGGGACTCCACTGTGGTGGGAATCACAGGTGCGTCTTTTGATGCGAGCGTGAGCACTGCTGCTGTCACCGCACTGTGTTCCAGATTGGATAGGATCTGATGGTGGGTGGTGGGGTGGTGGGGGGGATGGGGAAACAGGTAGGTGAGAGTGGTCAGAGATGGAAGATTCAAGGAGCAAGAGGTTTTGCCGGACAGGTAGCCTCTATCGAGAGCACCGTCATTTTCGAGAATATACACATAATCTTGTCCAGTTGTTCGGTACAAACGTACATCAAGGGTGCTATTGATGGTTCACAGACTCACGTTGTGGATGGTGGTGTTGCCTGCAGCATCAGACACAGCAGCGAGGTGAAGCGTGACCTTCTTCGCTGCTCGATTCAAGTGCACCGCATCGCACATCTTGAGCACGTTGGCCAGCACAGGATCGAGCGCCAACACGCGCACGCCCATGGCTTACCTTATGATCGTGTTGGCGTTGCTTCACAGATGTTATGAATCGTGATGTTGCCTCTCGTGTCAGACACAGCAGCGAGGTGAAGCTTGACCTTCTTCCCTGCTCGAGTCAATTGCACTGCGTCGCACATCTTGAGCACGTTCGCCAGCACAGGGTCGAGCCCCGTGGATCAGAACCATCATCGCCTTACCTCATTAATGGTGATGCTGGCGGTCAGAGACTTACATTATGAATGGTGATGTTGCCTGTAGTATCAGAGACAGCAGCCAGGTGGAGCGTGACCTTCTTTGCCGCCCGGTTCAGGTGCACCGCATCACACATCTTGAGCACGTTGGCCAGGACAGGGTTGAGCCCTATTCCTCAAGGACTTACATTGTGGATCGTGATGTTGCCCACGCTGTCTGACACGGCAGCCAGGTGAAGCTTGACTCTCTTTGCCGCCCGGTTCAAATGCACCGCATCACACATCTTGAGCACATTGGCCAGCACAGGGTCGAGCGCCAACACACGCACGCCCATGGCTGCTGCTGCAAACGCCGCTCCCCCTATGCCCGCCCCTGCGTCGATGACCAGTGAGTCGGGGCGAACGGCTTTGGCCTCAATAAGCATCTCCAACACTGACTGGGAAGGGGTGAGAAGGAGGGGAAGGGGGGAGGCGGGGAAAGGAACTAATGGCATGTTGGCCAGCACAGGGTCGAGCGCCAACACGCGCACGCCCATAGCTGCTGCTGCGAAGGCTGCTCCCCCTATGCCCGCCCCTGCGTCGATGACCAGTGAGTCCGGTCGCACTGCTTTGGCTTCAATCAGCATTTCTAACTCTGACTGGGAGGGGGGAGATTGGGGGGTGGGACGGGAGATAGGTAGTGTGAATGTCAGGTGGGAGGGGCAAGGGCGAGGGTCGAGTGCCAACACGCGCACGCCCATGGCTGCTGCTGCAAACGCCGCTCCCCCTATGCCCGCCCCTGCGTCGATGACCAGTGAGTCGGGGCGACGGCCTTGGCCTCAATGAGCATTTCGAGTACCGACTGACGAAGGGGGGGAAGAGAGGTGGATGGTGGGGAAGGGGATATTGCGGTGAAAGGGGACGAAGGGAGGGAGCCTAAGGTCGCACACAAGGCAAGCTGCACTTTCTTATAAAAAAAAATTCACTCAACATTTCCTCAAACGGCAGTCCACTCGCCAAAAGTCAATATATTTTTCATAGCTTCATGGCCAAATCTCTCCATCCCTGCATTGTCAAACCTCTCGGTACCTTCCCAAACCTCCCCATAACCGCATTCCCGAACCTCTCCGTACCTGCATGGCCACAGCGAGCTCCGGCTTCAGGAACGGCCGGTCCTCCATCAGCCGAACCATGTTCCTATTCGGCCTTCTCCTCGTGCCAAAGTCCAGCAGAGACAGAAAGAAGTCATACTTGACGTCGTCCACGCGGTGGGCGATGACAGGGGAGGACTGGGGTGCTTGGAAGCAGTCGAAGGGGAGGACGGCAAACACCCAGTCGTGCTGCACTGGGTCGCTCTCGAGCTTCACACAGTGCTCTGGTAATCGCTTGATGGTCTCGGGACACATAAAGATGTAGCTGCAGAGGAGGAGGGGGTTATGGGGGCTAGAAAGGGGGTGAGAAGGGTAAGAAGCAGCTGCACTGCTCTCTAGCTTCAGACAGTGCTCTGGTAACCGCTTGATGGTCTCGGGACACATGAAGATGTAGCTGGGGGGGTTGGGTGAGGGGGGGGAGGGGGTGGGGAGCGGGGAAGGGGGCAAGTGGGGAGAAGGGAGTGATTCCAAAGCTTCACACAGTGCTCTGGTAGCCGCTTGATCGTCTCGGGACACATGAAGATGTAGCTGTGGGGAGGTAGGGGGGGAGGGGGGGAGGGAGGGGACATTGTAACTGAACTGTTGCCGGCCACAGCCATGCGGATCAGGGAGGGGAGCGCTGGGGTTAGGAATTTAGAGAACCAGAGAGCATTTTTTTGTTGGGCAAACTCCAATGGCACAGGAAATGTTGAAGCAGGATAGGAAGTGGAAAGGGGTCGGATGGTGGCATGGGTATCAAGGCGGTGGCATAGGAAATCGGGGAAATGGATTGGAGGATTGGGACGGTTGCAAGGGGGTGCTAGAGGGGGAAACAATGTGGAGGGTCCCCGCCAGTAAATATAGCAACTGCCCAACGTGGAGGGGAAATTACCCTGGAAAAAGCGCGGAGCCCAGCAAGACGAGGGCAATGAGGGAGAGTAGCCCGATGGTTATCCACGGCAGTAGCTTCTGCAGCGTCCCTAGATTCTGGTGAAGGTGGTGAGGAGGGTGTGGGAGAGGGGACAGCGGTAGGGAACAAGGGGCAGATCAACGGGAAGGGGGGAAGGAGGGGGGGGGGGGGGGGGGGGGGGGGGGGGAGAGGGGGGGGGGGGGTTTGTGGGACGGGAGAGGAGGGAATGCAAGTGGAATAGGGAGAGGAAAAAGGGGAGCACTTAGGTTGGCATCAGATGAATGTGAACGGTTGCAGAAAATTCCAGGCACGCAGGCACAAGGGAGGCTCATACGCAGGTGACGGAAAGTTTATTTATTTCGAGACGTCTTAAAACGAACCGTTACACCATTGGTCTGAGAGGATCCTGGAGCCGCGGTCGCGGACTCATCCAGACGGCAACTGACGAACGACTGGTTCTTAAAATGCAGCGCAGTGAATCGCACATGTTTAGAATGGTGATAGTGATGATGCCCTTTCTTATCCCGGTGTTGGTGCTGCTGTTGCCCTCCGCCTGCCCCCGCCTTCCCCGGGCTGCGCATGGGGAACGTTCCGCCCATGTTGCCCCCGCGCGCGTGAGCCACGTTGCGCCCGCGCGGAGTCTTGTCGTCCGCGGATGATCCTTCCATGCTGCCCTCCGAATTCATCGCCTGCGACGTCGCCCAGCGATGCGGCGACGGCGAGCGACGCCCGCCTGCTCGAGGCTCGAGTGCTGTCGCCAGCGACGAGCCGATGCGGGAATTCGTGGCTGCTTGATGTACTTGTCTTCGCGAAAGGAAGTCTTAGATTACAAAGAACAGACTGTTGTGCGGAAACAGATTTAGGGATGGCAAACTGACGTGGCAAACTGAATCGATCCAATCGCAGCTGTACGAGCAGAATGCAGTACCGACTGATACATAGCCAAGATAACTCCGACCTAATGGAAAGCTGCAGAGAGAATGATAGAAGCTGAGGTGCGGTGCAGATGAAATCGGGGATTCGGGGGCAACATTGATTCTGGTTTTTAGTTTCAGAATATCCGCGCTACTGGACATTTCTCAGGACCGAAAGGAGCAGCTAAGACAATGTGGCCTCTATGGTATGGGCCACACATACCCGTATCTGCAGGACTAGTATATATTCATCATCGTGCATTCTTCAAACATCACTATAGATTTCGACATCACTTCAACTCGCTTTCAAATCTAGATTCACGGTATTAGCAGCTGAATGCTGATATATGCTCACATTTGCTCATGAAATATATGGGGGTATTTTTGTTATTATTGGATGAATGCACTAAATCATGTGGGGGTGTGTGTCAACTACTCGCTCAGATGAATCGTTATAGCTTGTCTGCATACATCGAATATTCTATCTACACCCGATTTCTGAGAATGGTCAGGGTTTTGTCAGCTCTCACGGGTATGACGTGCCCAGAAATCGCTGTGCTAACATTCGACAAATCAGGGAACTCCAAGCGACAGTCAAGACTCCAGCTCGGACTCACGTCACACTCCACATGCGCAATCTTCACAGAACTTGCCGCTCGCTGGGTGAGAATTGCGCGGGAAAATGTTTGACACGCCAGGGCGTCTTTCATTTCGTCCCGCCATCGCGGCTCGCAGCTTGAAATAATGGGGCAGCAGCCAGCAAGGCGGCGAAGTGCAGGGCAAGATAGTTCACACAGCATGGACAGTGGGCGCTGGGGAAAAAAGCCTTTTCCAGATTCAACGATCAATCTGAAGCACCCCACTACAAACCAAGATTCGCGATTCGCAATTCGCGCGAGACTTGAATGGCCTCCTCGTTTTACCTTTGGGGAGGGACAAGGATTATTTCTTAGGTCAGGAAGGACGGCAACACCCAATATAATTTTCTACCGTACGCACTGAAGCTTCACGATACCAAATCCTAGATTGAATCATTCTTACTAATGCTTTTCTTCTGCAGACAAGTTACCAAGATATCTGTAGTTAGTCTGCGTCAGGAGGAAAGAGTTATAAGGTCGCGCCATGACGTCGACCACGTGTCATGCTGCCAGTTCGAGCTTTGCCGTTCCGTCCACTCTCCCGCACAACACCACCACCACTGCAAGCACCGTACGCGCTTTTAGCAGCAACGCCATCAGGCCTTCAGGGAATTCGATGCAAGGGCTTGCGCTGACGCAGCGCAGCACGTGCCGTGGGCCAAGCAAGCGCGTGCTGACCAATCATCGCGTGCCGCGTGGAGTGCGAGCCGCAGTAGCAACTGGTCACGCGAAGGTGGCCAGGGCAAATCCCGCGGCGATTCTTCACCGGGTGGAAGGTACGTGAAACGAAAATTCATTCACTCAATTAAGTATCTAACTGTCACTGTTCATCACTATCTTCGGACCTTCACAAATGTGTGTGGAGGATTTTAGTCAGCACGCGAAGTTTCAGCTTCTATTAAATCGACTTTGCGCAATGTCCCGTAATGTGCGAAAACGGCGAAAACTCAAAACAAAAAGTATTTGAAAAGGGTCCTAAACGTTTATTTATCTGGTTTGGCGAAAAGTGACTTTCATAATTTTGCTCCTACATATTGTTCCTTTACCCGTATCCCATCACCTTCGCTTATTGTCCTCTCCTTACCGTGCATCGCATATCTGCAATTGCTTGCCCTCTCCCTCCCCGCTGCATTCCTCGCCTCGCGTAATACCAGAGCTCCCGGACGGCACGGTGGTGCTGCGGTTCGCGGAGGCCCTCACGGGCGGCACAGGCGGCAGGCACGTGGAGGTGGAGCGGAATGTGGTGGAGTTTCTGCAGGAGTGCACGACGACGTACTGCCGTCTCATCGATAACGACACGATTGACAATATCGTGGGCACGCACGTGCCCCTCCAACCGTACGTGTTGAGTTACATGTACGCGTACGAGAGCAGGCGGGCTGGCACTCGCGGAAACACACGATAGTTGCTAGCTTAACACGTAATAGCAGCCCATGAACCCACTGTTTCCCTGTATGTCCCTCTTTTCTCGTCCCTCTATTCTCGCCTCTCACCCTTTCCCTGCGTTTCCTCCTCCCTGCCTTCACTATCATCACACGGCTCAGCAACTCTCTCGTCTGCTTCTAACCACCACCGCCGGTAGCAACCACCATTGGTAACCCCTGCTTCCCTATACCCTCCCTCTCCATCCGCTCCCCCACCCTTCCCTGCTGTTCCTCTACCCCTTCTTCCCTCCCCCATCACAGAGCCCAGCAGCTATCCCATCTGGTAACCACCACCGCCCACAACACCGTATCTGCACTCAAAGAGACTCTGTCCGGACACGCCCATCAGCATCACCACGCACCTGCTATAAACGGCCGTGCTTCTGCCAGGGAAACACAGCTTGCTGCTGTAAAGACCACTCCTGCACTAGCTGCTGTAGCTCCTTCAGCAGCATCACAGAAACCAGCAGCAGCAGCAGCAGCAGAGCAGAGTTCCAGAGCGTTCCAGCTTGCACCTACTGCTGCTAAGGCGGTTGCACCTGTTGTGCTTGTAGCGGCAGCAGCAGCAGTTGTGCAAGTGGCTAAGGCCATGGGCCTAGTTGGGAAGCTATCAGGAAACACCATCAAGGCGTGGGCGCTGAGGAGCTGGCCTGCTGCAGCTGTGATTGTAGCAGTCGCTGCAGGAGTGCTTGTATGGAGCGGGCTCAATGGAAGGCAATCAGGCAAGACGCTACAGCTATCCTCCATGTAATCAGTATTTCACTGGGATTGCAGCTTAGGCAGCTGGGGGTGCTGTATAGGATGTGACTAAAGGCAACTGATCTGACCCAATCAGGGCTTTGCAGCTATTTAGTAGACTCAGATGTGTGTTGAGTGGATGTGTATGTTTCGGAGTCAACCAGTCTAATAAGAAGTTGCATGTGCATGTTTTTTATGGTCACGTAACATGGAGGAGCAGCTTGTTCCAATGGATTTGTACAGAAATGGTTGGGGTATTGACGGTGCCACCAGTCTTTCTGGAAATTGACAGACATACCCTACTATAAATACTGCATTAGAAGTGGAGTCGTATTGAGAACCAGCGGCTACCGAAGCAGACCGACGTGGAATGTACAACCACTATTTGCTCGTCTTCGCCTGACCCAAATGCTTAGTACAAATAATCAGACCTGACTAAGGGTGTACATGATTTAAGCTCGCCCCATGTAGGAGCCTGTGCGGGTATCTACAGTGATTATTTCTCCTTCCTCAATGAACAGTGGCACAGACACCGTTGCTCCTGTCTCGATAATTGCTGGCTTGGTCCCACCTGTTAGTGCACGGAAAATGAGGAAGGGGGAAGTAGAGCAGGGGCAGGGAAAGGTGGGAGTGAAGAAACAGGGGATAGCTTAGTACACCGTTGGGGTTTCATGGTGTCAACACCAGGCCCATCCGAGGCATGAAACATTTACCCTCCTTTCCTGCTCTCCCTCTCTCACTAGCTCACGCCAACCCCATTCCCAAGGCCTCGCTCTCCCCTCACCCCAATCACCCACTCATCATCCACTGAACTACCCTCAACCCTCATCCACACACCCCCTCACTCCGCCACTGAACTACCCTCAACCCTCATCCACACACCCCCTCACTCCGCCCATCTGCTCTCACCTCCGTCAGCAGTGTCGCCCTTGATGCCGGGGTCAGTCTGCACGACCTTCACTTTGAGCGTGATCGGGAGCTCGCTCCCCAATCAATCCACTCACTCCCCTCACCCAACGCATCTACTCACCTCCGCCAGCAGTGCCGCCCTTGATGCCAGGGTCGGCCTGCACGACCTTCACTTTGAGCGTGATGGGCAGCTCACTTCCAACTAAACCCGCTGAATCCCCCACTCCGCTCACAACAATCACTCCCCTCACCCAACGCTTACCTCCGCCAGCAGTGTCGCCCTTGATGCCGGGGTCGGCCTGCACGACCTTCATTTTGAGTGTGATCGGCAGCTCCAGGTCGATCACCTTGTCGTTCCACGTCAGCACGTTACACTCCGTCCCCTCTTTAAGGAACTTCACTTTGTCGCCCAGTTGGGCCTTGGTCACCCGAGTTTCCTCATACGTCGCCTGCGAATGAAAACGAGATCGGGGCACCAGGGAAAAACAGGGAGGAGGCCGGAACCAATTGGGAAAGGGGGCAGAGAGGGGAAAAGGGGAAGGAAGAGAAGGAGGGGGCATGGAGGGCACTACGACATTAGCGCACCACTTGACACCGGCAAAACGAGCACGAGACAAGAATTAGACCTGCAAGGCTCAGTTAACCGCATCAATTTTATCCTCACGCAGTCAGCCACGTGTCACGTGGCAGCTGGCATCGGAGGGTCTCATTTTGGTTATCATCATCGCCGCAATGGTAACAGGGACGCAGACCGGGATACGTCCTGCCCGTGTAAAGAGCACAAAGAAATTAACAAGAGAGCGGAGAATGCTCTCGACAAAGCACAGTACGGCACTAGATTCGACTGCAAACATACAGCGAGATCACGCTACGTCAACCTGGCGAAGAGCAGGTAAATCATGTCTCAAAAATCGAAGGCTAAGGGCAGCTCAGTCCGCCGGTGAGGTCACATGATGAGGGCCGTCCATCTTGACTCGGACGGCCGTTCGGCACTTGGGATCACGATCATCATCACCGCTGCCCTCCGCGCCGCCCTCACGGCTACGGTCCTTGAGCGTCTCTTGAAATTTCGCCGAATCTGGCGGCATGGAGACCTCTCAACACACGCATGCCTAAACCTCCCTCTTGCATTCTCGCAGACGCACGATTCAACTCACGACATGAACTCCACCATGTCCATAAAGACGAAGTCCTTGGGCTGGAGTGACTTGGGCTGGAGGTGGAAAGACTCACCATGTCCATAAAGACGAAGTCCTCGCCGTCAAGGTACGTGAACTGCTTCACGTCCTTCACCACACTCGCCTCGTCCACCTGCCCGCGGAAGGGAGACGCGAACAACAGAGAGAACGAGGAAACCGATAAAGAAACGGAAGATCAAGAGTGAAGTGCGAAAAGGGGAGGGTAGGGAGGACGATGGGAGGGAACGACAGCGTCCAGGGATGGATCGTGTGAGAATGAAGAAATCAGGCTTGATATAGGTTTAGCAGACCCTAGTCGGACGGGGCTATAAAAAAACTACGTTGATAAAGTTACAAAAGGCTCTGATCTCTCTCTCGCTTTCGCCCCTATGAGACTGACCGATTCGCCAGCGCGAAAGGTTCGCTCGACGGTGTTCCCGGTGATGAAGTTGCGGAGCTTGGTGCGCACGAACGCCGCTCCCTTGCCGGGCTTCACATGCAGAAACTCTGCGCTGACAGCAGAGAGGAGGTTGGATCAAGGAAAGCACGGTGGAATATTGAGATACCTGCCTTGCAGGGCGTCACGTGCAGAAACTAAGAAATGCCAGCAGAGAAGAGAGAGGACCAGATATAGCGTTCAATAAAGCACCAGAGTAGCAAATATGGAACGATCTACACTGGCGAGTTCATGAGTAGACGTGAAATCTGCGTAAAGCAAGCACCATTCATCAATAGTAAGCGAGGGTTTGCACCACCACCATCAACACACCTTGCACTCTCCATGGCGCTCCATCAAGCTCAACGCTGGTTCCCACGCGGAAGTCGTTGCTGGAAATAGCGAAGATTTCTGAAACCGGATGAAAAATGCAGTAGAATACACAAGGAACATTAGAAAAAACGCATGGTCAACTCAACAATGACATGACCATGTCTCAACAATGCCAGGAAAGCAAGGCTTACGGAGGGGTTGCCGCGAACTTCTGTTAATCGCGACGCGTGCGACGGCCTGCGATGTCGCCTTTCGCCTCCATTCAAAGCTCGCTGTTGACTCCGGCGATTGCAGCAGCTTCCATGAAGCCGCCTGAACCGACGACCGAGCAATGCTCAGCATCTCTACCGCTGAGGCCCACAGTATCCCCCTCGCGCCAAGACTCAAAATTCAAGATTGGAGCGGGAAAAACAAGGAGGTCACTGAAGAGGGGACGATGAAGTCAAGCGATTGATACTGACCTCGGAATGTACTGGCTCTGTAAAACTATGACCAGGGTCTGGAGTCTAGGAATTGAGAGTCCGACACAGCGAGATCTCAGGGAAAAGCGAACTCAAAAAGGAGATATGGGACGCAAGGATGACTGGTTGAAGAAGCCCTTGATATCTGCTGACTGGATGCGTTTTGTTCGGATAGACACGAGCGAAATGCACTGAGCTCTCGCAGGGTTTGCACGACATGATCTCAGTCGATGAATCTCCAGGCGAAGCTCGTCATAGCGACGCCAATTGTTTGTTACCCTATGGATGTGGCGATGATATCCAATCAGAGGGATGTCACAGCGTGAACGATGCCAGCGACTATGGTGACGTGCCACTGAGCTGGCAGTTCTGTGCAACATCGAGACTTGTGCATTTGCAATCGAAGTGGGGATGAAATGCATATTACAGTAGCACAAAACACGCAGCTTATGAATATCCTAAACAAACCACACTAGACATACATACGCATATAAATAAATAGCAGACCAACAATTCACGGTAATTGCATATGAATACGTAGGCACACTAATGAAATAGCACACTAACCATTTACATTATATGCTAAGTGTCTCCTCACTGCGATGGAAGCAACATGCGTAGTGTGTTGTTGGGGGTGAGGAACCTATGAGAGAAGGGCGCTCCTGTTATCGGAGATCTGTCGTTGCGCTCTAGCCATTGCTCAATCACATAGCGCTCATATGTGAACCCATCAGCTGCCACCACAGGGTCTGTCATGCGCTTCTGCAAAATTGGGGAGATATGCAAGGTAATTAAGAATCACATGAGTATCAGAGTAGGAGTAGAATATGCCAGCAGCAAAAAAATGATTTTCTTGCTAAGATAGATTGGGATATATTCGGGTTGAACATACCTGAGAGATGGGGCACAGCAGCTGGTTGTCCACATCCGTCCTGCCCTTGTCCCCCTCCCTTCTCAATTCCTCCTCTAGCCTCATCAACACCGGCTGCACATCCTTTTCCAAATCAGGCCTTCTCGCCCTTGCCCTGTCAGCGCACCGCACTCCAATCACCGCCAGCTGGCGCGCCACGTCAGCACGCCACTCCCCACCGGACTTATCCAGCCGTGCCAAGACCGCATCCACAGCTGCAGCCCACGGCTCTGAGCACACCCCTCCCACTCTCCCCGCTCTACGCTTCTCTACATCTACCATTGCTGCTGTATCCGTCAGAAGGCGATGCACCAGCTTCACTTGAGGCTCGCCCATCAGCAGCTGGAGCACAATCAGCCCAAACGCGTACACATCCGATAACACCGAGATCTCACATGTTGCCACCTCCTCGGGGTCTATGTAGCCTACTGTGCCTTGCACGCGTGCGGTTACGTTGTAATCGTCCTCTGCGATTAGCCTTGCCAGGCCTACGTCTCCCACCTTGCTCATGCGGTTACCATCGAGTAACACGTTGTCGGGTTTCAAGTCTCGGTGCGCGATGGGCGGAGAATGCTGGTGGAGGTACAGCAGTGCGCCTGAAACTTCAGAGAGTATTCGCACCCTGTCGTACCAAGCCAACGGCTGGCGCAGAACCTGACTGACTGTACCACCAGCTACTGAACCTGCCACCGAACTAGCAACCGAGCAGTATGTCATACCAGAGCCCGATCCAGGAAACACTGCAGAACTCCTGCTGCCATCGCCCACCCCCACTCCCCCAGCACCACTCCCACTCCTCGCACTAGCAGCCAAATATTCCTGCAGGCTGCCGCCCGGCAGGTACTCGTAGAGAATGCACATGGCGTTGGGGTCGGGGCAGTGGCCCATGAGCAGCACGATGTGTGGGTGGCGCATGCGACTCAGCACCTCCACCTCCATGCTGTACTCGCTCGGGCCCTGCCACCCGCCGCCCTCCAGGCGCTTGATGGCCATGTTGCAGCCCAGCAGGCGGCCCTTGTACACCTGGAGGGAGTGAAAATGAGCGTTTGGAAAAGGAAAAAAAGGGTCAAAAATATGTACTAGGGCTGGACGGAAAGCGGATGAAAAGAGTCTGAGTTTTTTCTGGGGGAGTTCAGACAATGAGTTAACCCAACCAAGATTTCCAACACACCATTACTATCACAGCTTCACCCAAGGACATGCGATCACAAGTAGACAGAATTGGTACAATGACTTGAATTCTTGCCGCATTACCTGTCCGAATGCTCCTCGCCCCAGCAGATTCGCGTTACTGAAATTGCCTGTCGCGCGTACAATCTGCTGCAAGCTGAACATCCGACATTGCCCCCTCCCCTCCCCCCATACCCTTCCCCCCTTCCCCCCACCTACCCTCCCCATCCCCCGCGCCACCCTCTTTTCCCCTCCCCCAATCCCATGTGTCCGCGCATCCCGTGCGGTTGCTGTTTATCGTTTCCCAGCTGTTCCTGCTTTCCCATTCCCCGGCATCCGCACATTCCCTCCGTAAAAAGTCGTTTCGTGGAGCTCCCCCAGAATTCACAGCGGGACTCATATAAGGAGTTTGCGCCGAGTCGCCCGCGTCAGACGTCAAAGTCATAAAACTGAAACCAGATTCGAGCTCGCTTGCGATCTCGCTCCCAGTTCCCGCTGACGGGATTCTCGAACCTCGTGTCGCAAATTTTTTTTGCGAAGTTTCATACGCGCCTCGAGCTTGTAACTGCGGTGGCTCTGGCTCCGCGCGCTGACAGACTCCGCCGCGCGTCACTCCTGTTCCCGCGGCGCCTCGTGAGTCGGCCCCGAAATTCGGGTAGAGCGAAACCGTGGCTGTGGCGGCCGCAGCGCCCATTGCACCGAGTGAGGCAGCTCCCGAGCTGGCATAGCGCGTAAGAGCGCGGTCGGCGGTGGGGCTTATTGGCGGCTGGTCGAGGCGAACCGAGCTGCCGCCGAACTTCGGTTGTGCCTGCTTGGCGGGCGGGGGACGTGAGCCAGAGGTAGCGAAGGGAGGGAGAAAGAAATTCATTAACGGTTCTACTTTTGAAGCGCCTCAAGAATAAAACGCCTCGAGAATACTGAGGCGCAAAAAAAAATGGTATGTCGTCAGGATAGCGGTGCCGCTGACGGGATACAGAGCACGATGTATTTTTTTTTAGGCGCCTCAAAAATAGACGCCTCTAGAATGCTGAGATGCCTAAATAATAGGATCTGGCATGGCGTCATGTTGGGGAGCGGTGCTGACGGGTTACAGAGCACGGGGGAGAGGAGAGTGATGAGAAGGAGCCGCAGACTCGAGTTACTACTCTGGGCTAAGAAGCATGGAAAACGAACAAAATAACTAAGCGTTTTCTACATGACGGACGAATGGGGACACTAATTTTCAAAGCCGATAACTGTACTCGGTTCCAGTAATGGAAAATAACAATAGAGAGAATCATTACCCTCAAACTCCTCTCCGCATTTTCAGCCGCCACATGCGCGTCAAAATCCCCCCCCATAGCGCTGCCGACGCGGTAAATTTCCGGCATTAACTGCGACGCGTCCTCGTTAGTCCCCTGCCGCAGCTTCACACTCGCAAGCGGCTTCAGCGGCGCGGAGTCCGCGGAATTGAAGCCTCCGCCTCCCGCCATTGGTCCGCACCTCTCCCCAGGTGCGCGGCTGGCGTCAGCACTATCAGTTCCGAATGGGCGGCGGTTCGCGGAAGCTATAGGAGGAACAGCAGCATAGTTTCCGGGCATGTGCTGAGAAACATCCTCGTACGTTCCCGCGCGGATAGAATGACCGCGACTGGCTCCAGAGGGAGCAGGCGCTGGCGGCAAGCGAGACATCATTCTATGGGAACTCAGGAACGCGAAATAAATTAATTATGTTGAGGTAGAAGGCGCCTGGCGTTTCTAAGCCAAGGGGATGGGTCTGGCGGGGAATATTAGTACTACATAAGCTTCTTAGGCTTGCGTTTGGTGTGTAATTTCGGAGTGGAGCTTGATAGGCTTTTCAGGTGCTCAATTTCGCGATACAGCTACGTCGACGACATGTCGACAAGGCAAAGCACTTTTTTGCAAGAATCACGGAGGGAAGATGCGGTAAAGTGCCTGCTTCTTGCCCTCCCATTCGCGAGCGAGTGACGCAACGAAGCACATGTGATGCGAGTGCGAGACTGCATCTGCGAGCGACCAAACACAACGGCTTGGCAGGTAACAGTGGCACCACTAGCCTGCTGCCTCAGTCCGTCGCTGCAGCAATGCTCTCTCTTGCACCTTGCTTCTGCCGGATTATCCATGGAGGAGAATTGCAAATGGTCATGGTCGTTGACACCAGATCAGATACCGTACCACGGGGAACTGGGGTTGCTCGTCTGGAAAATCGCATCGTTTGCAATGTTGCCCGTCGGATCTGGGCTGTACTCCTGGTCATGTCATTTTTTGAAGTCTACAGTGCTCATCGCAGGAGGAACCAAAACGATGGCAAAGATCCTAGTTACGTAATTCGTTCGATTATTTCCTGTCGTCTCATCTCATCTCACTGCCCGCCCGCTGCTGTTCTGTACCACACGGGGCCCCGCCGATGTCGAGTTTCAAACGCGCGGGTGCGTGTGTGCGCGGACGTGACAGTCTTCCGCCACAACTGTGCGCAATGTGCAACGCGAATTCTTGCTGAGCTGAGCAGAGCACTCCACTTTCCCGTTTGGTTTGGTCCCCCAAAAACTGAGGGGAGGGAGCGGAGGGGCACTATGGGAGGGGGAGGTTCGGCCCCCTGCGCAATGCATGGTTTCGTTTGTATGGACAGTTGCGTTGAAACTTATGTCTTCCCTGAAACCGTGTTGAAGCGAGAGGAACCATATTTACCCGCATAAATCGAAGGCGGGGAGATGCTAGAGAGGTCATTGAAGCTTGACAAGGTGCGGAGCGGGGTAACAGAGAGTCTGGTGTTGGTGAGGCGGGCGGGCTGAGTCGAGTCGCCCGCCACAGTCATATGCTGAGCTGGAAGCGAAAATTGGATCGGCTCCTCGTCGTGACATCTCCCACAATTGAAAGGCGTGTTGCCCGTACGAACTGGAAACTCCCCGCGATCTCGTAAAGAGAATCACGATTCAGTTTTTTATCTACACGATGTAGCAAACATGGGCCAGCTTAGAGGGTAAGGTACTAAACGTCTTATCCATAATCCATGGTACATGGTCACGTATGTACGAATAGATGTTTATAATGGATGGACGAGATTGTGAAGACGAGTTGTTTAGTATACCGTATGGTTCAGCAAGAAATTGCCTCGTTTCAGAGGGGCTCGGATAGTCCAAGATTGGAGATTGAAATACAGGCTTAACAGAAGGTCTGTCAATTTGAATACTCCCCTAGGTAATAGAGGCTTGTCTCCAATGGAGTACGTATCCTCCCAAACCCTCCCCTCCGACGCACTCCCAGCTAGAACGTTGGTAAAGGTAAAGGTAAAGGAGGGGGGAAATCCCCCTTTGGGTTACCCCCGGCTGTCGATCGTAATCCGCCTACCCACTTGTTTACACGCCTCGCTGGGTATCGAGGTTGTTGTATCCACTCCCAGATGAGCACCTGTGTAACCCCCTTCTGGGGGACTGGCAGAACACGCCGCAGGGGGGATTTGATCCCGGGACCTCATCTTTCGGAAGTGAACCAGCTAACTAGCCCAGCTAGAACGTTGGGCCATTTCTCGATCGACCCTTCGTTGGAACTTTCCGCAGGTTCAGGTGAAAGAAAATCTTTGAATGCACTGCTGAGTCCCACAAAACATCAGCCCTAAACACCAGGAGCTCCTAAGATATTCCACCTCCCACTCCACGCACTAGCTCGTTGTGCGCAATAAAGGTTCCTTTGATCATTCACCTCCCCCGAGTTTGAAGTTGAATCCAGCTAGCCCAGGTGTCAGAACTACACCCCATGATGATTTGAATCTGCAAGTGCTGGCTGGTATGCCACGCGGAAGCGAAAGAGTGGCTTCCAGGATCGTTATAAAACAGTCGGTTAATTCCGTCCACATACTTCAACTGGCTACTGAATTTCTTCCTACTTGTCACGCGTGAGTGGCGATTGCAAACATCGCAAGGATGATATTACGTGTGATGGAACAAACCTCTGCTCCAAATCCCTTGGAGCAAATGTGGTGTGTCTTCATTGTCGCGTGGTGCATGTGCTCTGCCCGGGAAAACAAAAACAATGATACACGTGCTAGTGTATGCGAAGATGTGAGAATCCAGAGACCTAGTGTATTCTGAAAACACCCAGGTTTTGATTGTTTAGAGTCTTATCAACTGACCCGACCGTTTGAATCCAATGCATGCAGTTACAGTGGGCGATCATCTTGCAGCCTCAGCACCGCAGCGCCCCCAGCGAGTCGCACTTCCGTAGCCAATTGGAAACAATTTACGGGGATAGGAAATTCACTTTCTCTAAAAGCTTGGCAGGGGCAAGCTTGCAAGTGGCCGCGCTTAGGCTGCTACCCTAAATCTGACGGTTATAAGCCGAAATAAAAGCATTCAGCCTCTAGCGGCAAATGTCGAAGCTGCTGGGAGGAAAGCGAACATGTTGACACGGTTTGCTCCGTTGCTAAGTTCCGGACTAAAGTGTTTCCCATTACCAAAATAGCCGGGTATGCAACTTCCTGACTTTTGTCAGCTCTAGAACCATTTTGCCGAGACCACTCCATTCTTCTCTGCCCCCAATACAAGAACTCCCATCATTTCCACACCAAATTATTGGCTCACAGTGACTCTTAGTCCGACTCCATCTATACACCTGGAGTGTCTGATTCTGGTGCAATCAACCTGGATTCTTCCAGCTGGCACATTCGGTGCTCACCGTGTTTCTAGCTTGGGTATTTCAGACGTTGACAGGGCATCGACTTGTGATTGTGCCGTCGGGTGTGACGTTCCTCACATACTTCACACGTCGTAGTGATAGAGCATCACAACTTCTACCTTTCAAAAACTCTACTTTTCTCCAACTCGTAGCTACTCCTCAATGGAGTCCAGCGTACCGCCTTCTTTCACGCGTTCTCGCGACGTTCTGGCATCAGTAGCGGAAGCGACATCGGCTTGGGCGGACTTTGTCGAATCGGGTGACGACATGGACGGCGGAGCGCCGTGCCGACGAAGCCTGTCGACGCCCAACAGGAGGACGGCGGCGGCGGCGGCGTCGAGAGGATTCGCGCTTGGCGTCTCATTCAGCAATAGCCAACATAGAGTTCTCGACCCCTACGCACGTGGCTGTTCAATTCCTGCCTTGGAAGTTCCAGGGGCTTCGGAAATTTTCGGAAGAGGATTCGAAAGCTCAACCTCGCGAAGCTCGTCGCACAGCTCGATTAACGAAAGAATCGCACGGTGCGACAGCGGCCTCATGAAACAATCGACGTGGTCCAGCGATGCCCTCGCGGCGCTGGTTATGCGATCCGTTTCCGATTCAACGGCTTCAGAAGGTTCATGCGAAGATTGCGCCGGGGATTGCGGCGCATGTGAGAAATGTGTGCTTGCTGCAGGGAAAAGCCTAACTCGACGCGCCAGCTTTGCGGCCCCGGATCTCTCGATTTGCCCCCACTGTCGGAGCAGCAACGGTTGGAGGTGCGGCTGTGCCGACGCGGCCTTGGCGTGCGATCCGGGGTGGGTGGATAACGCGCGCTGCCGCATTCGCGAAGCGGCGCTTGAGCTGGTCGAAGCGCAGCAACGGTCCGCTGCGCGCGAGGAGGAGCTGACGTGGCTGGAAAAGTCCCGACCTGCTCCACTCACGCGACGCGCCTCGCTCGACGCGTCGCTGTGCCGTTGGCCTGCAGGCTCGTCGAGACTAGCTAAGAAGCCATGCACCGTAGAAGCGAGGGAGAAGCGTGAGGTGGAGACTGGGGTGAACGCTAGCTCCGTTACAAGCAACACCACTACGCGTACGAAAGGGGGGAGTCGATTCTTCTCCTCGCTAAAATCTCCGATGGTGAAGAAGAATCGGGTCTTTGCTTGGCTGTACACTTCATAAGCTTGTTCAATACATATTATTTTATTCACACAGCTTATGCTAGACAACAGCTGACATATACACAAATTGTTTCGATATCACCCGGGCCTTGGAATCTTGGATAAGTCGGGTATCCAGAGGGATAGCAGCACAGAGGCTGTGGCAAACATGAGCCGACGTGGGGCCCATTTCACCACTGATGGCACCCCAGCATGGTTACCCCAGGTTACCACCTGCATTAGTGGGACATGCATGTAGTGGGGAATTAAGAAATAAAGGGAGTATACTAAGAGGGGTTTGATAGGGATACTTTTCTGCAGTTCTTTCAGAGTGCAGAGATTGACAAGGAAGAAGAAGAAAAAAAAAGCATGAACGGGGATGAAAGAGGAGGAAAGTGAAAGAGGAAAGAAGGGAAAAAACAGGGGAAGGAATGGAGAAGGAGCAAGATAGATTACCTAAAACAAGTGGGGGATGCGGGAAAGGGGGAAGTGGGGGTGAGCATACATGTGCCATAGAAGGTTACATGCATCATAGCATGTGTGGTTGCATGCGTCACAGTGTGGTTGCATGCATGACTGAGCGAGGACGAAAAAGGAACAGGTTGGGAGAAAGAGCCACGGGAGAAGGTGGGGAGGAAGGGGAGCCAACCTGAGCGCCAGTGGCGGCACTCCAAGCCTTCACCGTGCCGTCACCCGAGCCTGAAAGCAGAGAGCATCGAGGAGAGAGCAGAGAGCAGCGAGGAGAGAGCAGAGAGCAGCAAGGAGAGAGCAGAGAGCAGCAAGGAGAGAGCAGAGAGCAGCAAGGAGAGAGCAGAGAGCAGCAAGGAGAGAGCAGAGAGCAGCAAGGAGAGAGCAGAGAGCAGCAAGGAGAGAGCAGAGAGCAGCAAGGAGAGAGCAGAGAGCAGCAAGGAGAGAGCAGAGAGCAGCAAGGAGAGAGCAGAGAGCAGCAAGGAGAGAGCAGAGAGCACAGAGCAGACATCGACAAGCCCTGAGTCGACTTTAACGTCACTGCCGTCACAGGGATATGAAAACAGATTGTATCCCATTGCGAAGTGGTTCTGTGACATGAGTTGGAACAGTGAGAAGAGTAACCGAAGTAAACAGCTTCTGATGGCCAGGAAGGTTACACAACAAGGCAAGAGCCTACTGTAGTGGATGAGTTATTCGAGTTGACTTAACAAGAGTCTAAACTTTACCATGCCAACTGTAGCGTACTTGAAATTGAAACCCAAAGAGACGTAACAGATTTACAGTGTTTGAAGTACCTGATACGACGTATTTGGCATCTGGGCTGAAAGAGGCTTCCAACGGGGCGCCATCAATATCGGGTACGACACAAAGAGTGTGTAGCTGGTGGTGGGAAGGGGGTGTGGAGCAAGGGAGGGAGGAATGGAGGGCACCATTGGTATCATGTACCAGTGAGGTGTAGAAGGGGAGAGAGGGAGGGAGGGAGGGAGGGAGGGAGGGAGGGAGGGAGGGAGGGAGGGAGGGAGGGAGGGAGGGAGGGAGGGAGGGAGGGAGGGAGGGAGGGAGGGAGGGAGGGAGGGAGGGAGGGAGGGAGGGAGGGAGGGAGGGAGGGAGGGAGGGAGGGCTCTATGCGGAAGGGACAAGTAAGGCCTATCAGCAAGAAGAATTGCTGTTAAACGCAACGACAAAGAATGGGGAGGGGAGAACGACAGCAATCTCCCTGTGCTACAATCCATTAGTCACGCCCTCTGCCATTGTGTGTCAACACTACTAAGACCCACCTTCTGGCCTTCGAATGCGTCGAGCAGGTAGAGATGCGGCCATTGAGAGTGCAGACATCTACTGTTGTGCTACAGCCCTGTGCTACAACACAATGCTACAGCCCTATGATACAGCAAAACTTCTACAGCACTCCTTCGCACCTTCTGGCCTTCAAACGCGTCGAGCAGGTAGATGCTGCCGTTGAGGGTGCAGACAAGAATCAAATTGAACCGACCTGACTCACCCCCATTCGCCCCGTAGAACACACAATGGCTGCAGGAACGAACCTTCTGCCCTTCGAACGCATCCAGCAGGTAGATGCGGCCGTTGAGGGTGCAGACAGCTGTTGCTGTACCACAGCCCTGTACCACAGCCCTGTACCACAGCCCTGTACCACAGCCCTGTACCACAGCCCTGTACCACAGCCCTGTGCCACAGCCCTGTGCTACAGCCCTGTGCTACAGCCCTGTGCTACAACACAATGCTACAGCCCTATGATACAGCAAAACTGCTACAGCACTCCTTCGCACCTTCTGGCCTTCAAACGCGTCGAGCAGGTAGATGCTGCCGTTGAGGGTGCAGACAAGAATCAAATTGAACCGACCTGACTCACCCCCATTCGCCCCGTAGAACACACAATGGCTGCAGGAACGAACCTTCTGCCCTTCAAACGCATCCAGCAGGTAGATGCGGCCGTTGAGGGTGCAGACAGCTGTTGCTGTACCACAGCCCTGTACCACAGCCCTGTACCACAGCCCTGTACCACAGCCCTGTACCACAGCCCTGTACCACAGCCCTGTACCACAACCCTGTACCACAGCCCTGTGCCACAGCCCTGTGCTACAGCCCTGTGCTACAGCCCTGTGCTACAACACAATGCTACAGCCCTATGATACAGCAAAACTGCTACAGCACTCCTTCGCACCTTCTGGCCTTCAAACGCGTCGAGCAGGTAGATGCTGCCGTTGAGGGTGCAGACATGAATCAAATTGAACCGACCTGACTCACCCCCATTCGCCCCGTGGAACACACAATGGCTGCAGGAACGAACCTTCTGCCCTTCGAACGCGTCCAGCAGGTAGATGCGGCCGTTGAGGGTGCAGACGAGGATCTGGTTGCCATCGTTGCTGAACTTGATGGACGTCACCTCGTCCTCGTCTCCTCCCACCAGCATTGTATCGAAGGGACCCTGCGGGGAGGGGCAAGGGGATGGGGGGGGAGAGAGGGGAAAGAGAAAGGGGAACCGAGCAGGAGAGGAGGTGAGGGGACGGAAAATGGAGCTGGCTGCCATCGTTGCTGAACTTGATGGATGTCACCTCGTCCTCGTCGCCACCCACCAGCATCGTGTCAAACGGACCCTGTGGGTAGTGTAGGGAACGAGGAAAATGGGAGAGGGAAATGGGAGAGGTGGAAAAGCGATGGGAAGAGAGGGGGGGAGCGGGAGAAGAGAAGGGGGAAGTGAGCAGAGGAGGGGAGAGAAAAAGAGTGTGCAGACTCTTCGTTGCTAAACTCGATGGATGTCACACTCCTCTCGTCCTGCCTGAACCACACAAGCCGACCAACTCTCACACACTGCCTGACCCACACACGCACCTTCTCATACGAGCGTGCATCAAACAGCTTCACTGCCCCTCCCCCCATGGCCACTGCAAAGACCAGCCCCTGCTGGTCAAACGCCACTGCTGGCCGCCCCCTCACCCGCATTAAGCCCTGCATAGGGGGGAGGAGGATGGGAACGTAGGGTGGGAGAATGCGAGGGATTGGGAGACGACTGGATGGGTACACGAGGCAAGGGTGAGTGAACGAGAGAGAGGAAGGAGTCGTTCTTAGGGGACATGCACAGAAAGACGACTCTGTGGGTGGGAGGCAGGGGCGAGGGGGGGAGTGGAGAGGAGGGGGGTCAACAGAGTGCTGGAGGGGCAATGAGCCGAACAGCAGAGTGACTAGGGCTCTGGAAAGCAAGGAGCCATTCTTGGGTGACATGCACAGGGAGACAACTCTGGATAGGAAGGGAGGCGAGAGGAGAGGAAGAGACGGGGGGAAAGAACAAGCGAAGGAATGGGTAGTATTGTCTTGTCCGGAGCCTAAGCGGCGCCGGAGAGGAAGGAGTTGTCCTTGGGGTACATGGGGGGTACATGGGGGGGACATGGGGGGGACATGGGGGGTACATGGGGGGGACATGGGGGGGACATGGGGGGGACATGGGGGGGACATGGGGGGGACATGGGAGGGACATGGGGGGGACATGGGGGGGACATGGGGGGGACATGGGAGGGACATGGGGGGGACATGGGGGGGACATGGGGGGTACATGGGGGGGACATGGGGGGGACATGGGGGGACATGGGGGGGACATGGGGGGGACATGGGGGGGACATGGGGGGGACATGGGGGGGACATGGGGGGGACATGGGGGACATGGGGACATGGGGGGACATGGGGGGGACATGGGAGGGACATGGGGGGGACATGGGGGGGACATGGGGGGGACGTGCACAGGGAGACGACGCTGGCGAGAGACGGGACGGGGGGGAAGAGGGTGGAGAGAAAGGGTCGACTCGAGTCGACTCTTATAAACATTTCGTTCTGGTAAGGACTTGGGCACTCACTTGTCTCGGTGGCCTTTGAAGTAGCGCAGATAGCGATTGTCGTAGAGGGAGAGATAGCGCAGCGATTCTGGTTGGGGAGGGCGGGAAATGCAAAGAGAGGGAGGAAGGGGAAAGCGAGATAGGGAGGCCACTTTTGCGAAGCATCTTATAAACAGAAACAGAACGCACAATCCCAGCAGAGGAACAGGAAAGTGCCAGAGGGAGTGGGGCACAGCAAAGGGAGTGGGGGGAATTACAACCAGGTATGTCGTCACTCAAGAAGGCACTGCCAGCCAGCCATTTCCTTTCTACCCCCACTATCCGAAGCTTACCATCCAGAACATACCATCCAGAATCCACCATCCAAAACATACCATCCAGAACATACCATCCAGAATCCACCATCCAAAACATACCATCCAGAACCCACCATCCAAAACATACCATCCAGAACCCACCATCCAGAACGTACCAGCCAGAACCCACCATCCAGAACGTACCATCCCATCCGTTCTTGGAGGAGTAGAGCACGGCAGAGGGGTGGTGAGTGAAGACGACCTGATCATACAGGACGTACCTTCCACAGCATACCACCCTTTACGTACCATCCCAGCCGTTTTTGGAGGAGTAGAGCACGGCAGAGGGGTGGTGAGTGAAGACTACTTGATCCACACCGTACTTGCGGCTGTGAATCGTCTTCACCAGGCTGACGTGGCACAGGGAGAGGGTAACCAGCCACGTCATGCCATGCAATGTTATGCCACGATATACGATGTTTTGCCATGCCATGCCATGCAATCAAAGACATGAAATTGATTGATCCAGCCCTGTCCATCAGTTCAAAATGTCAAATGAAGTTCACGAAGAGAAATGACCTGAAAAGAGTGGTTGCAGGAAAACATGACCTGGTTTGATATTTGAAGTAAACATGCAAGGAGTATCACGTCATGCTTACGTGGCATTTGACGTGTCATAGACTCGGATGGACTCGTCATCACTCGCCGTCACAAGAAGGTCCTCCGTCCGATGGAAATCCATAGAGTTGATCCGACCGTTCTTTTTTAACGGAAACAATGTCAGTGAAAGAAGGTGAAGCGGAAAGGTGGAAGGAAGAATGAGAGCAGAAAGTCAACGTAATGGGATTAGGGGAACAAAACGCAGCGTTGAACTTCAGTTGATGAAATGCTTCAGCAACTGTGGAGGGTATCCAGGAAACGAGCCATATTTCGAAAGGTATGCGGGAAGGACGAGAGAGGAATCGGAGAGGATGAATCACCAGCGACGAGAAAAGCGAGCGTGCCAACATTCACCAAAGACGGCGGGAGACGTTATACTAGTGCATCAGATGCGGAACTAAGAGTGAGCGTACATAGAAGAACAAGCAGAGACGACATATTAGGGTGAACCGCATTAGCGAAGAGAACGTCGCGCGAGCGCAGTCCGTGAACATAAACGACGATATGCTAGACCTATCAGCATTTCATAAAAGGAGAGAGCATCCTATAAGTGGGGGGAACGAGTGAGCGTACATAGTCTTTAAAGAGCGCGCCGACAGCCATGCTGTTGACTACCCCATCCGACAGCGCTAGAGGCATCGCGACCGTCTGTCACTCTCCGTAAAAACGGGTGTCACCGAAGGAAACGCGTCGAAATTCTTCCACTCTATTTTTTTTATCAGGAACGCAAGTCACGTGGTCTCAAGGTCAGGCGGACGGTATCGTGAAATTCGTCTGGTGTGCTCTGCGCTTGTCAGTCGAGCCAAAGCTGTTCCCTTCCCCAGCCCAGCTATATGGATCCAACACTACGATAGGCACACAAGGATGCTATGCGGGGTTGTGCCAGAAAGATGAAGCTGTAGGAGAGCGAGAGATGTCAGGCACGACGAGGCTTGAAGTTGACAAGTTTGTCTAGCACACTCCATAAAGATCGGTCCAGTACCGGATCAAGTGTATCGCTGGAAATCCGAGGCGTATGTTCCAAGTTTATCATTCTTCTTTGGATTTCAATTCAAGGCCCTCATTCACCACCAACATATCCATCCCTTTACACACCTTTACCCTATTTCATTTTCTTTTCTCCAACTTTTATCACCATGAACGATTTCACAAAGCAAAAACAGCATCAGAGATATGGATGCTCCCTCCCTATGTACAGACCTACGCACAAAGCAAACCTATACTCTCTACACGTTCACAATCATCCCGCCTGCACAATATGTAACACAATTTGGTCAATACACTCTGGTAAGAAATACAACAAATTATTAGGTAGAAATTGAATAATTTCTTACCATTGGGGTGGAGCATTTGGCCGGTGACGTACGAGGAGTCATCACATGCGAGGAACACATAGGACGGCGCAATCTCATCCGGCTGAGCCACCCTCTTCATGGGCACCTGCTTTCCATACCCTTCCACGTGCTTCTCCTCGTAGGAGGCAGGAACGAGAGGCGTCCACACTGGTCCTGGCGCCACACCTGTGAAACAGCAGCAAGTTTAGTGGCAGTTAAACATGCATCACTGACTGCACTCCATGTGCACAAGCCCTACCACCAAGGATGACATACGCATGTCACCCGAAACGTATAATATCCGACCATTCACGTATACTGCGGAAGACACAGGGGATGGCGCGAGCCGAGAGCTTGTCCGCAGAGGTGTCGCGGACAAGCGCAAGGCAACCCCAAACGTGGAAGGCCGACCCAACACCAGGGGACCCAGTCCAAAGACTGGTCGGTGAAACCTCTGGCCGCGAGACACGCGGCTGGAGGTTCAGCTGGTGCGCGGCGTAGCGCAGCGCCTAGGGCCACAGAAAATGGGGCACACGGGCATGGATCATGGACGTGCGGGCGATGTCCATGACCAAGCCAATGCGGCGTTCAGCAACCCCATTCTGCTGTGGGGACTCCGGCAGCGTCCAGGACTGTCTGATGCCCTGCTCGCCGCAGAACCCGGCAAGGACGCCGTAGCGAAACTCACCCCCACGGTCGGAGTGGAGACAACGGACACGACTACCACGAGTGCCCTCAGTGGCCAGAAGCCATCGGATCAGCGTAGAAGTCACCTCGGACTTCTTCGCGAGAGGAAACACCGTGGTGTACCTGGAGTAGTCGTCAACGACCACTAGAAAGTAGCGCTCCCTCTCAGGTCCCAGCGTAGGGGCAGGGCCCCAGACGTCCAGGTGGAGAGTCTGGAAGGGAGCAGTGGCCGGACGAAGGGAGGAGGAGTGCGGAGTGGCGCGGAGGCGGCCGGCGACGCAAGGAGTGCAGGGTGGGGCAAGCGAGGGAGGGAGCGACGGAAAGACGCGCGGGAGACCTGAGACAAGACTGTGACTGGCCATGCTGCGGAGGCGGGGGAGTGACAGGTGGCCAAGGCGGTGGTGCCACAAGACGGTCGGGTGGGCTAGGGACCGACAGGAGCAAGACGCAGCAACCTGACCAGACACCTCTACCTGACCAGACACCTCTACCTGACCAGACACAGCAACCGGACTAGACACTGGGACCTGAGGGGACGCAGCGACCTGAACGGAGGAAGCAACCGGGGAGCGCTCGGTGTGAAGAACGTAGAGACCAGAGCGGGATTCCCTGGTGAACGTGGCCAGAACAGCACCCGTAGCGGCGTCTGTACAGATCGCAGTCCTCCCACCCCCTACAAAGGTAACGGTGATCCCCCTGTCCTGGAGGTATCCAACACCCACCAAGTTCCGAGTGAACGAGGGGATGTGGAGGCCGCGCAGGACACCAGAGGGGACCACAGGGCACGGGAGGGTGGTGGAGCTGCGCGCAACGGCTGGTCCTGAAGAAGGATCAGCCAGAGCTACCGGAACCGGAGCAAGGACTGGTGTGAGAGTCGTGTGGTCGCGGAAGAAACACTGCGACGCACCAGAGTCCAGCGTGAACGACAGAGACGCCTCAGCCGGAGGCGTGTCAGGTCCGGAGGCTACACAAGCACCTAGAGCAGAAACACAAGCACCTAGACTAGAGAGGCACAGGTCTACACTAACATGAGGCAAGCATCCTAGACTACGAACACGCGAGCACACAGATCCATCAGCACTATAGTCAACATCAGCATACAAAGCATACTGACGAGCATTGTCCATAGACAGTTCAAATACAGGAATCTTACGGGCTAGCAGGCGAGCCCAGCGCGGGGTGGTCGCCTCAGGACCCCAGCGCGCACGGTAGAGGTCGTCGAGGCGGCGGAAGCACCGCGCCACAGAGTGGTCGTCGCGGCCGCAGACACATGGACTGCCCGGTCCGGTGACGCACCAGTGGTCGCAGGGGCCGGTGTCGCGCCGCGGGGGGCGAGGGGCCCAGCTGGTAGTGCTGCTGCTGCGGCCAGTGCTCCCGGGTCCTCCAGGTCCCCACTGTGGCGGAGGGCCTCAGTGCTGCTACGGACCCCACTGCAGTGGTAGTCCCCACGAATGAAACTGCTGTGGTGCCTGCCACTGCTGCTGTCCCTGCTGCTGCTGCTGTCTCTACTGTGGCTGCTGCTGCTGTGGCTGCTGCTGTTGGGGCCCCGCACCACCGCTGGTCGAACCTCCTCCAGCAGGCGGGTCAGCACCTCCTCCAGAGCTCCCTCCGCCTGAGGCACCACCGCCACCGCCACCACTGCCGCCCCCAGGGCCGCCTCCACCACCGCCACCTCCTCCACCGCCGCAACCCCCCTTCCCCCCTTTCTTGCCTCCCTTGCCCCGTTTCTGCCTGTCAGCGGCAGAAACAGTTGCAGTGTCCTCAGATACCGACACAGCAGCAGAGGCACGAGTAGCAGTGAAGGTAGGAAGCTGGGGGACAGCACACCCCTCAAACAGACGAGGAGCAACTACGTCAGTGGCTGAGGCAACAGAGAGGAGGTTACTCTCGATCTTCCCGAGAGTGGTCTCGAGAAGATCAATCGTAAGCTCACTGGGGTGCTGCTGGAGAAGTGCGTCACGGGCAGAGGAGAGGCGGTCAGGGAGACGAGTGACTACCCAGTGGACGGTGAGCCAGACAGGGGGGGAAGCAAGAAGAAGCTGAGCCTCAGTGCAAGCTGCTCGGTAGCTAGCGACAAGGGAGCGCAAGTGTGTGGCTAGGTCGGAGACAGTCGCAAACGAGCCGAGGTCGGGAAACACGAACGTCATGAAGATGCGGCTGAGGGAGGCAGAGGAAGGGGTGGAATAGCGTGAAGAAATAGCATCATACACCTCCTTCGTAGTCTCTACCAGGTCGAAGTGAGCGGCCTCAGTCGGTGGAAGGAGCTCGGTCAGCGCGAGTGCAGCCGCAGCGTCACGGGAGTCCCAAAGGTCCCGCGCCAAGACGAGACGAGCGTAGTCTGCCTGTGCCTCCGGAGTCGGGGGGGGGCACGAGGGAGGGGCACGGGATGCTGGGGTGCCTGGAGGGCGCCGGACGCGTGGGCGTACAGGGTGGCGTCGTCCTGGCGCTGACTGGTGAGGTAGCGCTGAGTCTGGCGGAGCCAGGTGCCGAACTCTATCGGGCGTCCCTCCGCATCGAAACGAAGGCGGCGGGAGTCCATACTGGAGGCTAGGCTAGAGGCGGCTGGAGCACGGAGCTAGAAGCGAGAAGGGAGACTAGAGTCAGCTAGAGACCGTCGGAGGAAACTAGGCTAGGAGTGGGGATCTAACCGGTCCTAGGTCGCGCTACCGGTGGGAAGAGCGGTTGCCAGCCGCTGAAACGGAAGCCAACCGCAGTAGGAATGGCGTGGGGCCGGGGAACAGGTTAAGAGGAGGGGCCAACGGTTGGGCAGAGTGGGGGCACACTCGGGTAGCGAGCTAAGGGGCGCGGGCTAAGGGCGAGGGCGCGGGTAGGGCGCGTGAACGGGCTAGGCGCGGACGGTGCGAGCTTGGGCAGGGCGCGGCCTAGGGCTAGGGCGCTGCTGAGGGCGAGGGCGCGGCCTAGGGCGAGGGCGCGGCTTAGGGCAGGGCGCGGCCTAGGGCGCGGGCTGTCACTAGGGCGAGGGCGCGGGTTAGGTCGCGGGTGAGGGTGACGGGCTAGGGCGCGGGCTGGGGCGACGGGCTGGGGAGCGGGCTGGGGTGACGGGATGGGGCGCGGGCTGGGGCGACGGGCTAGGGCGCGGGCTGGGGCGACGGGCTAGGGCGCGGGCTGGGGCGACGGGCTAGGGCGCGGGCTGGGGCGACGGGCTGGGGCGCGGGCTGGGGTGACGGGCTAGGGCGCGGAGGGCGCTAGAGCGCTGAGGGCGCGGAGGGCGCGAGAGCGTGGAGGGTGCGGAGGGATCTAGGGCGCGGAGGGCGCGGAGGGCGCTAGGGCGCGGAGGGATCTAGGGCGCGGAGGGCGCTAGGGCGCGGAGGGCGCGAACACGGGCTAGGCTAGGCTAGGAACGAACCTAACTGATACCATCTTAAGAAGCATGCACAACGGAATGAATCAACTAGAAACAGGATGGGGTACAAATATGCAAACCTAAAAGTTGTACCCCCTAGAAGGCACCTCACTACAGCCTATACCATATATTATATATTTGACAAGGGGGTGTCTTTAAAACGGGTGTCTCTTATAAATGGGTGTTCCTGATTATAAGACACCTGTTGGTGTGTACGAGTTAAGGCAGTGTCTTCTAAACAGTACCGTAGTAGGGTTTAGGGGTAATCTTATAATGAGGGGGTATCTTTTAAACGGTTCTTTGTCCATTTATGAGACTTATAAGACACCCTAAACCGTCCCAAATACAAGACAACCCAAGAATTTTTTCTAGTGTAGAAGATAAGTCATATATGTCTTATATCCAGCCGATGATGGTAACCCTTTTTGCTGACCCTGAAGCAGCAGCTACCTAACGACATAGAGAATGCGCCTGGCTGTTTCAGGCCCTGCTGCTTCACAGAAGGTCTTGAGCGCTGCTGTGATGGCGCGCGTGGAAGCTGAAGAGAGCCAACCCATCTCCAGCAGTTGCTGGTTAAGGTGGACGGGGAAAGGGAGAAGAGAGAGGGGTCGGCAAGACATGTAAACAAGAGCGGTAACATCTTGCAATGGAAGCAGAGAAAAGCCAACCCATCTCCAGCAGTTGCTGGCGGTGAGGCGGACAAGGAAAGGGGGAAGATTTCAATCAATATTTCTTTCTGCTGTAGCACAAGCACACATGGTCGGTATCCGAGGATCACAAAGAGACGAGCACCGACCTTCAACTTCCGACACACAGTCCGAAACGTTTCATCTAACACTCACAGCGAAGCGTATAGGAAAGACGCCAGTGCCCACCTGCCTACAAACACACTCACAAACAACTGCACTGAGACTCACACCCAGAAGCAGCCACCCTAACACTCACTGAAAAGCTGATCTGCAAGGAGCGGTTGATGAGCAATGGCATGGCCAGCACCGTTGCTGCCACCTCCCTGCTCCTCTCCTTGCTCCTCCTCAAGTTTCAGAGCAAGCGTGGCCGTTTGAGAAGCACCCACCCCCCCCTTCCTACACACACACTAAAAAAGAAGTCATCCCACACTCAGACACAGACACACAGGTAACCCGACACTCACCGAGAAGCTGATCTGCAAGGAACCGTTGATGAGCAATGGCATGGCCAGCACCGTTGCTGCCACCGCCCATGTTTCCCCTCCACCGCCCATGTTTCCCCTCCTCCGCCCATGTTTCCCCTCCACCGCCCATGTTTCCCCTCCACCGCCCATGTTTCCCCTCCACCGCCCATGTTTCCCCTCCTCCGCCCATGTTTCCCCTCCACCGCCCATGTTTCCCCTCCACCGCCCATGTTTCCCCTCCTCCGCCCATGTTTCCCCTCCACCGCCCATGTTTCCCCTCCTCCGCCCATGTTTCCCCTCCACCGCCCATGTTTCCCCTCCACCGCCCATGTTTCCCCTCCACCGCCCATGTTTCCCCTCCTCCGCCCATGTTTCCCCTCCACCGCCCATGTTTCCCCTCCTCCGCCCATGTTTCCCCTCCTCCGCCCATGTTTCCCCTCCTCCGCCCATGTTTCCCCTCCACCGCCCATGTTTCCCCTCCACCGCCCATGTTTCCCCTCCTCCGCCCATGTTTCCCCTCCTCCGCCCATGTTTCCCCTCCTCCGCCCATGTTTCCCCTCCTCCGCCCATGTTTCCCCTCCTCCGCCCATGTTTCCCCTCCACCGCCCATGTTTCCCCTCCACCGCCCATGTTTCCCCTCCTCCGCCCATGTTTCCCCTCCACCGCCCATGTTTCCCCTCCACCGCCCATGTTTCCCCTCCTCCGCCCATGTTTCCCCTCCTCCGCCCATGTTTCCCCTCCTCCGCCCATGTTTCCCCTCCTCCGCCCATGTTTCCCCTCCTCCGCCCATGTTTCCCCTCCTCCGCCCATGTTTCCCCTCCACCGCCCATGTTTCCCCTCCACCGCCCATGTTTCCCCTCCACCGCCCATGTTTCCCCTCCACCGCCCATGTTTCCCCTCCTCCGCCCATGTTTCCCCTCCTCCGCCCATGTTTCCCCTCCTCCGCCCATGTTTCCCCTCCTCCGCCCATGTTTCCCCTCCTCCGCCCATGTTTCCCCTCCACCGCCCATGTTTCCCCTCCACCGCCCATGTTTCCCCTCCTCCGCCCATGTTTCCCCTCCACCGCCCATGTTTCCCCTCCACCGCCCATGTTTCCCCTCCACCGCCCATGTTTCCCCTCCACCGCCCATGTTTCCCCTCCTCCGCCCATGTTTCCCCTCCACCGCCCATGTTTCCCCTCCTCCGCCCATGTTTCCCCTCCACCGCCCATGTTTCCCCTCCTCCGCCCATGTTTCCCCTCCTCCGCCCATGTTTCCCCTCCACCGCCCATGTTTCCCCTCCACCGCCCATGTTTCCCCTCCACCGCCCATGTTTCCCCTCCTCCGCCCATGTTTCCCCTCCACCGCCCATGTTTCCCCTCCACCGCCCATGTTTCCCCTCCTCCGCCCATGTTTCCCCTCCACCGCCCATGTTTCCCCTCCTCCGCCCATGTTTCCCCTCCACCGCCCATGTTTCCCCTCCACCGCCCATGTTTCCCCTCCACCGCCCATGTTTCCCCTCCTCCGCCCATGTTTCCCCTCCACCGCCCATGTTTCCCCTCCTCCGCCCATGTTTCCCCTCCTCCGCCCATGTTTCCCCTCCTCCGCCCATGTTTCCCCTCCACCGCCCATGTTTCCCCTCCACCGCCCATGTTTCCCCTCCTCCGCCCATGTTTCCCCTCCTCCGCCCATGTTTCCCCTCCTCCGCCCATGTTTCCCCTCCTCCGCCCATGTTTCCCCTCCTCCGCCCATGTTTCCCCTCCACCGCCCATGTTTCCCCTCCACCGCCCATGTTTCCCCTCCTCCGCCCATGTTTCCCCTCCACCGCCCATGTTTCCCCTCCACCGCCCATGTTTCCCCTCCTCCGCCCATGTTTCCCCTCCTCCGCCCATGTTTCCCCTCCTCCGCCCATGTTTCCCCTCCTCCGCCCATGTTTCCCCTCCTCCGCCCATGTTTCCCCTCCTCCGCCCATGTTTCCCCTCCACCGCCCATGTTTCCCCTCCACCGCCCATGTTTCCCCTCCACCGCCCATGTTTCCCCTCCACCGCCCATGTTTCCCCTCCTCCGCCCATGTTTCCCCTCCTCCGCCCATGTTTCCCCTCCTCCGCCCATGTTTCCCCTCCTCCGCCCATGTTTCCCCTCCTCCGCCCATGTTTCCCCTCCACCGCCCATGTTTCCCCTCCACCGCCCATGTTTCCCCTCCTCCGCCCATGTTTCCCCTCCACCGCCCATGTTTCCCCTCCACCGCCCATGTTTCCCCTCCACCGCCCATGTTTCCCCTCCACCGCCCATGTTTCCCCTCCTCCGCCCATGTTTCCCCTCCACCGCCCATGTTTCCCCTCCACCGCCCATGTTTCCCCTCCTCCGCCCATGTTTCCCCTCCTCCGCCCATGTTTCCCCTCCACCGCCCATGTTTCCCCTCCACCGCCCATGTTTCCCCTCCTCCGCCCATGTTTCCCCTCCTCCGCCCATGTTTCCCCTCCACCGCCCATGTTTCCCCTCCTCCGCCCATGTTTCCCCTCCTCCGCCCATGTTTCCCCTCCTCCGCCCATGTTTCCCCTCCACCGCCCATGTTTCCCCTCCACCGCCCATGTTTCCCCTCCTCCGCCCATGTTTCCCCTCCTCCGCCCATGTTTCCCCTCCTCCGCCCATGTTTCCCCTCCTCCGCCCATGTTTCCCCTCCTCCGCCCATGTTTCCCCTCCTCCGCCCATGTTTCCCCTCCTCCGCCCATGTTTCCCCTCCTCCGCCCATGTTTCCCCTCCACCGCCCATGTTTCCCCTCCTCCGCCCATGTTTCCCCTCCTCCGCCCATGTTTCCCCTCCTCCGCCCATGTTTCCCCTCCTCCGCCCATGTTTCCCCTCCTCCGCCCATGTTTCCCCTCCACCGCCCATGTTTCCCCTCCACCGCCCATGTTTCCCCTCCACCGCCCATGTTTCCCCTCCTCCGCCCATGTTTCCCCTCCTCCGCCCATGTTTCCCCTCCACCGCCCATGTTTCCCCTCCACCGCCCATGTTTCCCCTCCACCGCCCATGTTTCCCCTCCTCCGCCCATGTTTCCCCTCCACCGCCCATGTTTCCCCTCCACCGCCCATGTTTCCCCTCCTCCGCCCATGTTTCCCCTCCTCCGCCCATGTTTCCCCTCCTCCGCCCATGTTTCCCCTCCTCCGCCCATGTTTCCCCTCCACCGCCCATGTTTCCCCTCCTCCGCCCATGTTTCCCCTCCTCCGCCCATGTTTCCCCTCCTCCGCCCATGTTTCCCCTCCACCGCCCATGTTTCCCCTCCTCCGCCCATGTTTCCCCTCCTCCGCCCATGTTTCCCCTCCTCCGCCCATGTTTCCCCTCCTCCGCCCATGTTTCCCCTCCACCGCCCATGTTTCCCCTCCTCCGCCCATGTTTCCCCTCCTCCGCCCATGTTTCCCCTCCTCCGCCCATGTTTCCCCTCCTCCGCCCATGTTTCCCCTCCTCCGCCCATGTTTCCCCTCCTCCGCCCATGTTTCCCCTCCTCCGCCCATGTTTCCCCTCCTCCGCCCATGTTTCCCCTCCTCCGCCCATGTTTCCCCTCCTCCGCCCATGTTTCCCCTCCTCCGCCCATGTTTCCCCTCCACCGCCCATGTTTCCCCTCCTCCGCCCATGTTTCCCCTCCTCCGCCCATGTTTCCCCTCCTCCGCCCATGTTTCCCCTCCTCCGCCCATGTTTCCCCTCCTCCGCCCATGTTTCCCCTCCTCCGCCCATGTTTCCCCTCCTCCGCCCATGTTTCCCCTCCTCCGCCCATGTTTCCCCTCCTCCGCCCATGTTTCCCCTCCTCCGCCCATGTTTCCCCTCCTCCGCCCATGTTTCCCCTCCTCCGCCCATGTTTCCCCTCCTCCGCCCATGTTTCCCCTCCTCCGCCCATGTTTCCCCTCCTCCGCCCATGTTTCCCCTCCTCCGCCCATGTTTCCCCTCCTCCGCCCATGTTTCCCCTCCTCCGCCCATGTTTCCCCTCCACCGCCCATGTTTCCCCTCCTCCGCCCATGTTTCCCCTCCACCGCCCATGTTTCCCCTCCTCCGCCCATGTTTCCCCTCCTCCGCCCATGTTTCCCCTCCTCCGCCCATGTTTCCCCTCCTCCGCCCATGTTTCCCCTCCACCGCCCATGTTTCCCCTCCTCCGCCCATGTTTCCCCTCCTCCGCCCATGTTTCCCCTCCTCCGCCCATGTTTCCCCTCCACCGCCCATGTTTCCCCTCCTCCGCCCATGTTTCCCCTCCTCCGCCCATGTTTCCCCTCCTCCGCCCATGTTTCCCCTCCTCCGCCCATGTTTCCCCTCCACCGCCCATGTTTCCCCTCCTCCGCCCATGTTTCCCCTCCTCCGCCCATGTTTCCCCTCCTCCGCCCATGTTTCCCCTCCTCCGCCCATGTTTCCCCTCCTCCGCCCATGTTTCCCCTCCTCCGCCCATGTTTCCCCTCCTCCGCCCATGTTTCCCCTCCACCGCCCATGTTTCCCCTCCTCCGCCCATGTTTCCCCTCCTCCGCCCATGTTTCCCCTCCTCCGCCCATGTTTCCCCTCCTCCGCCCATGTTTCCCCTCCTCCGCCCATGTTTCCCCTCCACCGCCCATGTTTCCCCTCCACCGCCCATGTTTCCCCTCCTCCGCCCATGTTTCCCCTCCACCGCCCATGTTTCCCCTCCTCCGCCCATGTTTCCCCTCCTCCGCCCATGTTTCCCCTCCTCCGCCCATGTTTCCCCTCCTCCGCCCATGTTTCCCCTCCTCCGCCCATGTTTCCCCTCCTCCGCCCATGTTTCCCCTCCTCCGCCCATGTTTCCCCTCCTCCGCCCATGTTTCCCCTCCTCCGCCCATGTTTCCCCTCCACCGCCCATGTTTCCCCTCCACCGCCCATGTTTCCCCTCCACCGCCCATGTTTCCCCTCCACCGCCCATGTTTCCCCTCCTCCGCCCATGTTTCCCCTCCACCGCCCATGTTTCCCCTCCACCGCCCATGTTTCCCCTCCTCCGCCCATGTTTCCCCTCCTCCGCCCATGTTTCCCCTCCTCCGCCCATGTTTCCCCTCCTCCGCCCATGTTTCCCCTCCACCGCCCATGTTTCCCCTCCTCCGCCCATGTTTCCCCTCCTCCGCCCATGTTTCCCCTCCTCCGCCCATGTTTCCCCTCCACCGCCCATGTTTCCCCTCCTCCGCCCATGTTTCCCCTCCTCCGCCCATGTTTCCCCTCCTCCGCCCATGTTTCCCCTCCTCCGCCCATGTTTCCCCTCCACCGCCCATGTTTCCCCTCCTCCGCCCATGTTTCCCCTCCTCCGCCCATGTTTCCCCTCCTCCGCCCATGTTTCCCCTCCACCGCCCATGTTTCCCCTCCTCCGCCCATGTTTCCCCTCCTCCGCCCATGTTTCCCCTCCACCGCCCATGTTTCCCCTCCACCGCCCATGTTTCCCCTCCACCGCCCATGTTTCCCCTCCTCCGCCCATGTTTCCCCTCCACCGCCCATGTTTCCCCTCCTCCGCCCATGTTTCCCCTCCTCCGCCCATGTTTCCCCTCCTCCGCCCATGTTTCCCCTCCTCCGCCCATGTTTCCCCTCCTCCGCCCATGTTTCCCCTCCTCCGCCCATGTTTCCCCTCCACCGCCCATGTTTCCCCTCCACCGCCCATGTTTCCCCTCCACCGCCCATGTTTCCCCTCCACCGCCCATGTTTCCCCTCCTCCGCCCATGTTTCCCCTCCTCCGCCCATGTTTCCCCTCCACCGCCCATGTTTCCCCTCCTCCGCCCATGTTTCCCCTCCACCGCCCATGTTTCCCCTCCACCGCCCATGTTTCCCCTCCACCGCCCATGTTTCCCCTCCTCCGCCCATGTTTCCCCTCCACCGCCCATGTTTCCCCTCCTCCGCCCATGTTTCCCCTCCACCGCCCATGTTTCCCCTCCACCGCCCATGTTTCCCCTCCTCCGCCCATGTTTCCCCTCCACCGCCCATGTTTCCCCTCCACCGCCCATGTTTCCCCTCCACCGCCCATGTTTCCCCTCCACCGCCCATGTTTCCCCTCCTCCGCCCATGTTTCCCCTCCTCCGCCCATGTTTCCCCTCCTCCGCCCATGTTTCCCCTCCTCCGCCCATGTTTCCCCTCCTCCGCCCATGTTTCCCCTCCTCCGCCCATGTTTCCCCTCCTCCGCCCATGTTTCCCCTCCTCCGCCCATGTTTCCCCTCCTCCGCCCATGTTTCCCCTCCACCGCCCATGTTTCCCCTCCTCCGCCCATGTTTCCCCTCCTCCGCCCATGTTTCCCCTCCTCCGCCCATGTTTCCCCTCCTCCGCCCATGTTTCCCCTCCTCCGCCCATGTTTCCCCTCCACCGCCCATGTTTCCCCTCCACCGCCCATGTTTCCCCTCCTCCGCCCATGTTTCCCCTCCTCCGCCCATGTTTCCCCTCCACCGCCCATGTTTCCCCTCCTCCGCCCATGTTTCCCCTCCACCGCCCATGTTTCCCCTCCTCCGCCCATGTTTCCCCTCCTCCGCCCATGTTTCCCCTCCTCCGCCCATGTTTCCCCTCCTCCGCCCATGTTTCCCCTCCTCCGCCCATGTTTCCCCTCCTCCGCCCATGTTTCCCCTCCTCCGCCCATGTTTCCCCTCCTCCGCCCATGTTTCCCCTCCTCCGCCCATGTTTCCCCTCCACCGCCCATGTTTCCCCTCCACCGCCCATGTTTCCCCTCCACCGCCCATGTTTCCCCTCCTCCGCCCATGTTTCCCCTCCACCGCCCATGTTTCCCCTCCACCGCCCATGTTTCCCCTCCTCCGCCCATGTTTCCCCTCCTCCGCCCATGTTTCCCCTCCTCCGCCCATGTTTCCCCTCCTCCGCCCATGTTTCCCCTCCACCGCCCATGTTTCCCCTCCTCCGCCCATGTTTCCCCTCCTCCGCCCATGTTTCCCCTCCTCCGCCCATGTTTCCCCTCCACCGCCCATGTTTCCCCTCCTCCGCCCATGTTTCCCCTCCTCCGCCCATGTTTCCCCTCCTCCGCCCATGTTTCCCCTCCTCCGCCCATGTTTCCCCTCCACCGCCCATGTTTCCCCTCCTCCGCCCATGTTTCCCCTCCTCCGCCCATGTTTCCCCTCCTCCGCCCATGTTTCCCCTCCTCCGCCCATGTTTCCCCTCCTCCGCCCATGTTTCCCCTCCTCCGCCCATGTTTCCCCTCCTCCGCCCATGTTTCCCCTCCTCCGCCCATGTTTCCCCTCCTCCGCCCATGTTTCCCCTCCTCCGCCCATGTTTCCCCTCCTCCGCCCATGTTTCCCCTCCTCCGCCCATGTTTCCCCTCCACCGCCCATGTTTCCCCTCCTCCGCCCATGTTTCCCCTCCTCCGCCCATGTTTCCCCTCCACCGCCCATGTTTCCCCTCCTCCGCCCATGTTTCCCCTCCTCCGCCCATGTTTCCCCTCCACCGCCCATGTTTCCCCTCCACCGCCCATGTTTCCCCTCCACCGCCCATGTTTCCCCTCCTCCGCCCATGTTTCCCCTCCACCGCCCATGTTTCCCCTCCACCGCCCATGTTTCCCCTCCTCCGCCCATGTTTCCCCTCCTCCGCCCATGTTTCCCCTCCTCCGCCCATGTTTCCCCTCCTCCGCCCATGTTTCCCCTCCACCGCCCATGTTTCCCCTCCTCCGCCCATGTTTCCCCTCCTCCGCCCATGTTTCCCCTCCTCCGCCCATGTTTCCCCTCCACCGCCCATGTTTCCCCTCCTCCGCCCATGTTTCCCCTCCTCCGCCCATGTTTCCCCTCCTCCGCCCATGTTTCCCCTCCTCCGCCCATGTTTCCCCTCCACCGCCCATGTTTCCCCTCCTCCGCCCATGTTTCCCCTCCTCCGCCCATGTTTCCCCTCCTCCGCCCATGTTTCCCCTCCTCCGCCCATGTTTCCCCTCCTCCGCCCATGTTTCCCCTCCTCCGCCCATGTTTCCCCTCCTCCGCCCATGTTTCCCCTCCTCCGCCCATGTTTCCCCTCCTCCGCCCATGTTTCCCCTCCTCCGCCCATGTTTCCCCTCCTCCTCCACGCTCGCTCCCACCCCCCTCCCTCCCTCCTCCCACCCCGCTTCGCCCCTCTCCCTCCCTTCCCCCGTCAACCTCCATCCCATCCTCCCCTCCCTCCCCCCTTCTCCTACCCTCTTCAGCCCTGTCCACCCCTCCCTGCACTCCATACTCGTTAGTATCCTCCCTGCTAATCGCCCCGTCCACCCCCCCATCCCCTCCTCCCCCACCCTCCCCTCTCTCAGCAGCAGCCTGTAACTCCCGCGCCTCTGCTCTCTCTGCTTCCGTCTGTCCCCCTCCCACCCCTGCATACCCTCTCACTGCCTCTCTCGCTCCCTCCTCTGGCCCCGTCCCTGCCCCTGCCCCTTCTCCTTGCATGGAAGAGAGAGCCTGATGGTGGGAGCTTGTGAGAGAAGGAAGGCTGGCTGGTGCGTGTGGGTGTTTCGGCAGAGCGGAGAAGAGAACAGCATAGGCGGAGTGGTCGAGGAGAGGGCGGGGGAGGGTGAAGGGCACCCACCTGATGGGGTGGGGGGGGGGGAGGGGGGAGTTTGTGGGGAGGGAATGGGACAATTGTGGGGAAGTGATAGGGGCATGCACCTGAAGACATGACGGGCATTTCCAGAAACTCTGAAAACTGCAGAAATTGTCCAAGTGTAAGGAGAAACCGACACAAGGAAGATGCGTGAAAAAAACTAGTTTTTATTTTCTGAACCCACAAAGAATACAACTGACATGTAAAAACCGCTGTACCAAGAAAACACTCACATGTAGCGCTGAGGGCAGAGAAGATCCGACGGTGCATACGCAGCCTTGTAAGTCATCTTGGGGCACGAGTGGATGTAATACCCCATATAGTACGAATCCAGTAACAGATCAGGGCGCCGCTGCTGCTCGCGCTGCACCCACTCGATCTCCTTAAGCGCGGAAAACTTCCCCAGAGACAGAAACGCAAAGTCCGGGTCCCAAAAGAGATACTTAGATGAGAGGCAGCGCGGAAGCACGTCCACCACCCCCACAGCCACTAAGCGCCCGTCAATCCGATACTGCTGGTGGAAAGACCCGTACCCACAGGAGGGGAGCTGCGCTGAGGCATGCTCAGGTGCTTCTAGGGGCGGGACTGAGTGTGGATGGAGCGGAGGGGAGTGGGAGGAAGCGGAGGTGGGAGGAGCAGGTGGGGGGGGCACGTGTATGAGGGGCGTGTTGACGAGGAAATTCTCGTAGCCGCGTCGGGTGACGGAGGAGGGCTTATCATCGTGCACGTGGATCTGGTACTTGCGGTACAGGTCGTACTCCTCCTGTGTGAACGCCGATGGGTGGGTTGTTATCTCTAGGCGGCGTGGGGTGTGCTGTTTCCCCTGCTGCTGCCGCTGCTGGTGCTGCTGCTCGTCCCGTTGCTGCTGCTGCTGCTGCTGTTTTTGCTGCTGCTTCTGCTCTTCCTGCTGCTGCTGCCGTTGCTGATGATTCGTGCCTGTCATCATGCCACCATGAAGCAGAGCAGCGGGCGCCAGCACATTCACATGCCCATGCACCGCCCTCACACACATCCCTTCTGGCAGCCCCCCGCTCTGCAACGCCCCATCCGCTTCTGCTACCAGCTTTGCTGCAAAATCTTGTGCACTAGAGCTTAAAGGGAAAGCACTTGTGCCCACTCCTTCTCCGCTTGCTGATTGCTGTGTGGCTGTCACCCCTGGCTGCTGCTGCTGCTGCTGCTGCAGTTTCTTTAACCCGGAGCAGATCAGAAACGCAATGTTTGACGTCAGCACTGGCAAAGGGGCAGACACGCCTTTCTGCTGGCTTTCCCCTGCCCCTCCTGCCCCTTCCTCCCCTCCCTTCCCCTTGTCACTCTTCCCTCCCTTCTTTTTCTCTCCTTCCCCTCGCTCCCGTCCCTTCCCCTCCCCGACTCGCGCCCTCACGCTCACAGGAACAGATCGGAGGGTCACAGCAGGTAGCAGCAAGCTGGCAGGCAGTGACCCCTGCTCCCTCCACTGCTGTAACACCCCGCTTAAAGCCCCTTCAACACACGCCTGCACTGCTGCCAAAGGTCCTTGCTCCAAACCCTCACTTAAAGCCCCTTCTATCCGCGCCTCCACTAGGGCTTGCCGCTTCGCAGGGTCTGATTGCTGCAGCTTTGAACCTGAATTTGAACCTGAACCTGCGCCCGAGTTTGAAGCACGCCCGGGAAGGCTAGCGGAGGAATCTCTGGGTCTGGCGGGCGGAAGGTCGATTTCTCCACTGAGGAACCTCTCCATGCGCCTCAGCACCTTGCGCTGCTCCTTGTTGGGCTGAAACCGCCCCGCCACGAGGCGGATCGTGTACGCCGGGCAGCAGGTGCGGGGCATGTCCGGCTTGTAGAGGAAACAGCCGGATCGCCGCCACCCACGGTCTAACAGGTCTGCGTGGGGGGCGATGAGGAAGGGGGAAAGGGGTGGATTTTACAACACCACGACATGGTGTAGGCAGGGCAGCAGGTGCGGGGCATGTCATGTCCAGCTTGTAGAGGAAACAGCCCGATCAACGCCACCCAAGATCCAACAGGTATGCTTGTGACAGGGTAAGGGGGAGTGAAGAGTGACGATGTAAGCACTTTTGAAACTGCTGCACTAGATTAAGAATCAGAAATGATATCGCCACACTGCCGCAAAACACATTACTGTAAGCTGCCACCTTACCTTGATAGTCCTGTACTGTCATCGTCTCCGCGGTTATTCCTGAAAAAAAGAAGTAAAAATGGAAACATCCAGAAGATAAGAGTATATTATACATTGGCAAAAAAGGAAAGGCTGAAGACGATACGGTGAAACGAAGGGAAACGCTCATTCGGAACCCTGATGCGGAAATGTATAACGGAAACGCTGAATGTGGGGGATTCAGACCATGGGAGTGGCTGGAGCCGCGAGTGCCTCGGCAGTAGCCGCAGGAGGAGGAATAGTCGCCATGGTCAACCACGATGGTTCGCTCGACCTCCGGCTGTCGCTCCGACTCCTCGGACTCCGAATCGGATTCGCGAACCCGCTGCTGCTTCGGCGGCTGTTGCTGCTGCTTGCGCCTTCGACCCAGCATGGTCGCTAACGGAAAGGGCAAGCGGATGGTAACTGACGGGAGAGCGAGAATCAGAACACTAGAACGCTGTCAGCAAACAGAATTCAATCTCGATATTGCTCCGATCAATCTCATCATATGCCCCCAGCCATACTCGCATGTCCAACAGAATTCGCGTTTTTGTTGGAAAACCAACGGTTGAGTACGTTCCTGTGTTCTTTAGAGAGGTTCAATAGCTTCACCGCCTTGAACCGCTTTTATCACTTGTCGAATACTGAAACTTCCATGCCCTGGAAATTGCCTTGACGAACCAATCCCAGGGCCTTTTGCTTGCGTTTCAAGTCACATCACGACCAGCCCTCAAGTGTGGAACACTCAACCCGTCTGTGGAGAATTCGTCTAAGAAGGGTGTGAAGAATTGGAGATCATACATACATATGGATTAAACACTATGCTTATTAACGGTGACATTAACGCTATTGATGATGATGTAGTATAGCATGGTACAACAAGTCCATAATACAACAGATGTTGCCAGTTACACAGGTTCTAAAACCTGTACCTATTGTTAATCCTTTTGCCGTAGCTACTAGCAATCCCATACAAACAGCATCGTTGAACCTTATTACCATGCTCAATGGCCTTCCGGAGTCCCCACGCGGTGCTCATCACCAGCCAAGCTGTCTTGGCCGTCCCTCACTAACCTGCTCGTGCCACGAGGATTACTGTCACAATCTCTTTCCGCGACACCCCCACCATCGGCTTCTGTATTGCAATCATCCACCAACCCCCCTCTCCTCACCCCCCCAGCAGCACTTCCAGCATCAGCGTCAGACGCATTTTTTCGCAATCTCTCCATGTTAACTCCTGTGTCAACACTATCTAGTGTACTTACTGTACTTCTATGCATATTCCAATTACTGCGCACCGCATGTGCGGCACGGGAGCGAGGCTGGGGCATCGCATCCCACTCCCCCACACCGCTCAGCAGCCCTGCTACAGCCTGTAGCTCCCGCAACACCTCTGCTACAGCCACAGGACGCTGCTCCTGCTGCTGCTGACGTGACGGATGCTGATGGGACTGCTGCTGACGTGTCTGCTGACGTGGATGCAGATGCAGTGGTTGCTGTTGCTGTTGAGATTCTGGGGGAAGCTGGTAGTGCACTTCCTGCTGCTGCTGCTGATGCTGATGTTGCCTCTCCCCACTCCCATCCCTTTCCGTGGATTGCCTCTTATCTTGCCGGAGTGCCTTGCCACTTGTGACATTGCCCCTCCTGGAAGCATCCCTATCCATTTCCCCCACCTCCATAGCATTCTCCTCCTCCTCTTGCTCCCTACCCTCCCCTGATCCACCCTCTACTCCTTCTCCTTCCTCGCGTTCCCCTCCCTCTGCTCCTCCTCCTCCTCCTCCTCCTCCTCCTCCTCCTCCTCCTCCTCCTCCTCCTCCTCCTCCTCCTCCTCCTCCTTCCTCTTCTTCTCCTGAACTTCCCTCTCCCTCTTCCCCTCCCTCCCCTCCAGCCCCCCCTGTCCTGGGTACAGCCCCTCCCTGGTGCCATTCCCCCCCTCTCACCCACACTCCTTTGCCCCTCCCACTCACTTCTCCCCCTCTTGCTCCCCATCCTCCTCCCTCTCCCCCTCCACCACCACCACCCTCACTCACTCTCACCTCTGTTGGCCCTCCTCCCACTCCTTCAATCCCTCTCTCTACACGCCTCCTCTTTCCTCCTCCTCCCTCCTCTCCACCCTCCCCTTCCTCCAACCCTTCCCCACCCTGCCTTCTTAACCTGACTTCCTCCCTCTCGCTCTCCCCTCTTTCCGTTCCCTCCCCACCCGCTCTCCCTTCACCCACTACCCCACCCCCTGTTTCCCTTTCACCCGCTCCCCACTTACCTGCTTTCCCACCACTCATTTCCTCTGCGCCCGCCCTCCCCCCTTCTGTTCTTCCCCTGCCCGCTCTCCCCTCACCCACTCCCCCACCACCCTCTTCCCCCTCAACCGCCCTCCCCCCACCCGCACTCTCCCAATCCGTTCTTCCCCCACCAGCCCTACCCACATTCACCCATCCCCCACCAGTCCTCCCCCCACCAGTCCTCCCCCCACCAGTTCTCTCGCCACCCGCCGTCCCCCCACCTGCCCTTCCCCCACAGCACCTGTCCAGAGCCGCGGCTACAGCCGCCGCTACAGCCTGGCCGGCAGAGGAGCCCGGGAACAGCAGCAGATCCTGCAATATCTGGGGGACACGTGGACTGATGGAGGGGGTGTCAGAGACACGTGGACTGATGGATGGGGCATCACGGACACGTGGACTGATAGAGGGAGCGTCAGGGACACGTGGGCTGATGATTGGGCCGTCAGCGTCACGTGGAATGAGAGAGGGGACGCTGGGGGTGGTGGGCAGGGCGTGCGGGTCGTTAGGTGCTGGCCTTTGCTGTAGCGCAGGCACGTCTGCTGACTGTGTCTTTGGCTGCTGCTGCTGCTGCTGCTGCTGCTGCTGCTGTTGCTGTGCCTGTGGCTGTTGGGCAGTGGCCGAAGCAGGAGTGGCGTCAACAGCAGCAGCGTCAGGAGGAGCAGGAGCAGGGATGAGAGCAGCGTTTGGCGCATTGAATTCTGTACCAGTGCTGGCTAGAAGAGCAGGAGGGTCTGCTGCAGCAGGCAAGAGCTGTGAGGCGAGTGAGGGGTGTGAAGGGAGGGAGGGGTGGGAAAATTGTGAGGGCTGGGAGGGGTGGGAACGCTGGGAGGGATCTGAGGGTTGGTAGGGGTGGGAGGGCGGGGGCGTGGCGGTAGCAGCAGGCAGGGGAGGAGGCATGACGGCAGGATGCCAAGGGGCTGCTGCTGCTGCTGCTGCTGCTGACCGGCTTGGCGGGGATTGGTTGGGAGGCAGGCGGGAAGGGGAGTAACGAGGGGGCGCAGGTATGGCAGCAGGTGCAATGCTGACCACGCTAACACCGCCATCCACGCCAGCGTTTCCGTCCGTGCCAGCTCTGCCACTCGTGCCAACTATGGTACGATACGGGGGAACTACGGCAGGTGAGCCGTCGTTTTCAAGCGTGCTGGTCGCGGGCGGGGAAAGTCCGGTCAGCAGAGCGCTGTGTGGTGAGAGCGAAGAGGCACGAGCGGGCGCAGAAGGTGAGAACCCACTCAGCACCGCACTCCCCGCAGGCGGGGAGACTCCGCTTAGTAGCGCGCTGTGTGCAGCGGGCGGGGAGTCGTCAGTCAGCAGCGCGCTGGTCGCGGGCGGGGAGACTCCAGGCGGAAAATCAGCATGGGACGGCGGAGTTGCGCGCCTTGCCGCCACGTTTCCTGCCGGCGGGGAGGCCCCAGTGAGCAGCGCGCTGCCCGCGGGCGGGGAGACTCCGCTCAGCAGCGCGCTGGTGGGCGCAGGCGGGGATACACCAGTCATCAGCGCGTTATCTGCTACTGGCGCAGAAGGAGAGACCCCACTGAGCAGCACGCTGCGCGCAGGCGGGGAGACTCCGCTCGGCAGCGCGCTGGTGGGCGCAGGCGGGGAGGCCGCGCTCGCCTTTGTGCCACGCGCGGGCGGAGAAGCGCCACTCAGGAGCGCACTGCGCGCGGGAGGGGAGTCTCCGCTCAGGAGCGCGTGACTGCCTGCTAACGGGGAGGTTTCGCTCCGCACCGCGCGCCGCAAGGGGGAGAGTCGGCTCCGCACGCCATGCGCGGGAGGCTTCCCCTCCCCGCCACCCTCCCTTTCCGCACCCTCCGCGCTGCTGCCATCCGCGTTCCGCGCACGTTCCGCTGCTGCTCCCTGCGCATGCCCCCTCTGCTGCGTAGCCCGCCATTCCGCCGCTGCCTCCACACCCCGCCACCTCCCCGCTCCCCCGGACGTGCACTCCACTAGCAGTGCGCCCCTCGCCGCCGCAGCGAACCCCCTCGAGCTCCCGCGGTCCTGCTCCCCCCACACGCATTCCGAAACCTCTGGCGGCGATATGCCAGGCGAAATTCCTGGCAATAAACCAGGCGATATGCCAGGCGATATAGCAGGCGAAATAGCAGCCGACGTGCCACTCCAAGTTACCACGCCTGGCGATACACCACGCCACGGTCCACGTTCGCCACCCACAGACCCACTTCCTGGTGTTACCTGGTTACCAGCCTCTCCAAGTATGATACCTGAGCCAGTTTCCGTACCCTGTTGCGAAAAATAACGTCCTCGCTGGTTCCCCGTTTCGCTCATTCTCGACGTAATTCGAGGGGGTAACTCGCCAGGGCTTACTTCGCCTTCGCCAGGGCTGGCCTCGGTCCCGGGCTGCTGCCTGTTGCGACCCACTTCCTCCGTCGCCTCGCCTTCGCCACGGCCGTGACGGCCCCATTTGCGATAATCTCGCTCAGCTCTCGTACTCCCACACTCCTCGCCTTCAAGAAGCTGTTCTTCCCCTGTCGCTTCTCCTCCTCCTTTTTCTCCTCCTCTTTCTCCTCCTCTTTCTCCTCCTCTTTCTCCTCCTCTTCCTCCTCCTCTTTCTCCTCCTCTTTCTTCTCCTCCTGCTCCTGCGCTTCCTTCTACTCCTTCCTTCCTCTCCTCTGCAGCCGCCTGAATCGCCGCCACCGCGGAAGCCGCCGCGCGCTGCCACACGATGCTCTGCGGAGTGGCGACAGGTGTGCTTCCCCCGCCCCTTCCCCCTCCCCCCTCCGACGTCATTGCGCGGAACGACGCGCGATCGAGGACCGACAGTTGCGGACGCGGCGCACACTTCGCGCGAAATCTTTCCGCCAAGGTTCCGCCAACGGGGGGCGCGGAGGATCCTGGGCCGAGTATTCCGGCGGACGGCGGGAAAACTGCAGGTATTGGCATTTTTTCCGCGCGGCCGTCCGCCTGCGTTGATTGCGCGGTAGCGGGGGGAGCCGCGGGAGTATCATCACCGCTATCCAGAGCTGCTATGCTAAAACGAGCGTGCTTATACCGCGGGCGAACCGCTAGCCCGCAATGAAAGAATCGAAAGACGCTATTTTCCAAGCAAATGTGATAGGATGTATGGAGATAATAGCGGGATGATGATTCTGGTAATACGACGAGGTAGCGACACAGTCGGCGCCGTGTACAGCCACGAGAGGTAACTCGCGAGATTCGCCAGAGCGAAATGGTAACGCCAAGGGCCGTACTGCTGGTTACTCGCCAATCCTTTGGAAGCGTGCGGTCGCGAAACGAAATCGTATCGGCAAAGAGGCGACACAATAGCACTGCGCGGGAAGATAGGAGGTGGGAAAACTGGGGGCGGAGAAATGACCTGTGTTGCGCCTTAGAACGAGTATAAGCGGAAATATGAGAGGATGGTACTGAGCGGTGGGGTGCAACGCCGAGGGACGGGTTGCGCAGGGCAGATTTACGAGGCGCTTCGAAAGAGGTATTAAGGCAGAGCCGGCAGACTATTGGGCGGGCGGATGCGAAGCGGATGGACGGGGCGCGCTGGAATAAAGAGGAAGCACACGCTGCTGCTGGTCCGGCCACCGTGGCAGTCTTATTAATTAGGTTCTTCTTGCTACGAAATCTCGTCTGCGACAAGCGAAAGATCGCTAGCGACGGGCCAAGATTCCGGGCGACAGTCTTTGCGACAGCGGGATGGGACGAATCGAAGTGCGCGAAGGGAACGAGCCTTGTCATTACTCTAGTGCCTCATAGTTCTTCTGGTGTTTTTCTTCTGGTGAGCCTCAACGGATGGTCCTACGCTTCACGGTTCCCCTCAGGACGCCGGTGTGCTCTCTCCGTACTAGCTTGCGCGTCCGCTAATGCTGCGGCGGCATGGGGAAAACTCAAGAAGTCCTCCAACACATCCAAGTGAACGAACATCGGGGGAGGCGCTGAAAAATATGAAGATCCAAGCTGCGTGCTGTCCGCTTACGGTCTTTTAAACGCTGGAGCTATAACGGGATTGGCGAGAAAGCGCGGGACTTCTGCAGACTAATGCAAGTGGCGTGGGTGGATGCGGATGTCTGTAGGGAAGATGCGGAGATGAGGGGATGCCGGGGGATGCGGATTCTTCCTGCACGCACTAAGGACAGCAATTAAGACTGTCCGCAAGCGCAAGTGTTGAGTTCTCCATGGCCTCGCCCGCGCGGCCCCGCGTTTCTTTGCACACCCTAGCCCATCTCTGTTGGACTTTAGAATCTCATGTCGACTCTCCCCTGTGCGCAGCAGCAGCAGGTTGACATGCTCTCAGGAGGGGCTGTTGCTGTTGAAAGCGCCTTTCCCGCTTGGGAGAGGGAGTCGGTTGATTGCTCGGGGAGCCTTGAGCTTTGTGATCTGCTCGAATTTGGTGGGATGGCAAATTTTGCCGGATTTGGTGACGCGGCTCGACTACGCACACCTGTTTTTCACAGAGAGCGTGAAGACCGGGATCCACCCGAAACCGCGCCGCATGCGCTAAATTTCCACCTGAGATGCGCAATTGATGGCTTTGGCAAAACGAAGCAGCTTGCGACTAGTTCCCTTTTCGCCGAGCTCGTCGTTCACCAGTCAAGTAATCGAGTTGGGTTTCGCAGAGGCTCCTCGAGTTCGGAGATTGTGTCTGTTCCACAGGCGCCGTCAGTCACGGGAGAGCAGGTTGAACTGGCGAGTCGTTCGCGTTGCCTGAGCGTGGTTTGCGCTGGGGAAGCGGAAGAAATTTCCCGCCCTTCTTGCGCGTGGCGTTCACACGATCAGGTGCTTTTCCCGAAAAGAAAAATTCACAATCAGGGCCTATTGAAACGCTTCCCCAACGGAAAACTGTCTTTGTCTAGTCTTTCGAAGAACATGATATATCGATGGGGTTTACACGCCCGTACAAGTAGAACCAGGTGAATGTTTCGAGATCTTCAGGGTAGGAGCATTTTGTGACTCTGAAGGGAATTCAAATTCTGGAAAATAGTTTTTTTTGGAAAATTTCAGGGGATATAGTTCTACAAAGACAATTTGGTTTAGAGTTACGGTAAAAACCCCTGAAAAACAAACACATTGTGCCAGCGCCGAGGGCACGTAACCTCAGTATGGCCAGATGCGATACAGGTCAGACTCGTACTAAATACATGACTTCAAAAAGCTTTAGAACCGCTGGTTTGGGCTGAAAATGTTATACATGAATTCATTCCTATCATACGCAATCCAGCTGTCCATTTGCGGAAAGCCGCGACTTCTTAGCTGCGACTTCCTCAAGTTTTAGATTCTAGAAAGTTAGCTACAAAGCGTATAGCCTCAGCGCTCCTTGTACGACTCTCGCACAACAGAGTAAGTTAACTTCGTGCGTATCTTTCTCGAAAGAGTGCGCCCGTTCGCCGCCACTGCGCTTCCGCCACCGCCCCTCCGCCACCGCCCCTCCGCAGCGCTTTTTCGCCAACGCTCCTTCCCCAAACCCCCCGTTCCGGCTTTTCCAACCCTACCTGCCCATCCCGCCTTTTGCGCTTCTTGTTTCAGCGAATCGCGTTGGATCATCCCCTCGCGGCCGCCCTGCTCCTCCCTTGCCCCCCGCCTACCCTCCTCTCCGCCACTCCGCCTCTCCCGCCCCTCTCGCGCCTCCGTTCCCTCCCGCGCGCCCCTCCCCCCCGCCTACCCTCCTCTCTCCTCCCACTCGTCCCCGCCACCCGCCCTGCCCGATCCCTCCGTCCCTCCTTGCGCCCTTTCTCCCCATTCCCGCCCCTTCCCGTCCCTCCCTCCCGCCTTCCCTCCTCTCCGTGCGTATGCCAGCTTTGCTCCAACGATGAGGCAGCGAGCACCCATGGACGGCAATTCGAGTGCGAAAGTGTTGCGAGGCAACTCTCGAACCACATTCCGCCCCTCCTCTCTATCCCTCCCTCCCTCCCTCCCTCCCTCCCTCCCTCCCTCCCTCCCTCCCTCCCTCCCTCCCTCCCTCCCTCCCTCCCTCCCGCCCCTCCGTGCGTGCGCCGGCTGTGTGCCAATCACCCGCAGACAACCATGAGGCAGCGAGCAGTCGTGGACTCGGACTCGAGTGGGGCAGCAGCGCCTCACGGAAGGGTGATGAGCTTCCTCCCTCCCTGCCTCTCTCTCTCCCCTCTGTGTGTGTGCCAGCTGTGTGCCAATCACCTGCACCGCACCCAACCATGAGGCAGCGAGCAGCCATGGACTCGGACTCGAGTGGGGCCAGCAGCGCCTCACGGAAGGGCGAAGAGCCTCCAGATTTCCTCGACACACAAGGTTAGGGCCGTGGTGCTGGGAAGGGCCGTGCTGGGAAGGGCCGTGCTGGGAAGGGCCGTGCTGGGAAGGGTTCTGTTGGGAAGGGTCGTGCCGTGGTGCTGGGAAGGGTGGTGCTGGGAAGGGTGGTGCTGGGAAGGGTCGTGCGGTGGTGGTGCCTTTGCACTTTCGCCTGGATTCCCTTGGATGAAGGGTTTGGATGCATGCCAATGGCGAGGGTGGGAAGGGCGAAGAGCCGCCAGACTCGACACGCAAGGTCGGGCGGTTGTGCCTTCTCACTCTCGCTTTCACTCCCTCGGACTAAAAACCTTGTGATGCATTGTGTGGCATGGCATGGGATGGTGTGGATTGCCATGACACAATGAGGTATGGCATGGCATGGCTTGTGGCATCATGGCATGGCATACAGAGCAGGAGGCAATGATAGCAGCTTTTGAGAAGCAACACCACGAGTCACATCGCTTCTGGAAGGTAAGGTGTCGAGTAAAACGTTTCTCCTCTTGCAAAGATGTGTAAAAAAACTCCCCTTAATACGCGTCACCAATCTCGTTGTCTGTCCTGCAGATCTGCATGTCGCTGATACTGCTCGCATATGCATCCTTCATGGTGCATGGAGTCATCAGCCTTGTTCTCTCTCCCTGGGGTCAGGTGTGTAGGGGGCGGGGAAGAGGGGGAGGGGGGGAGGGGGGGCAAGTGCCATGTGTTATTGATAAGGCCATATGCATCCTTCATGGTGCATGGAGTCATCAACCTCATCGTCTCTCCCTGGGCTCAGGTGTGTGCTAGGGGGGTGTGCTGGGGGTGGGGGGGGTGGAGGGGGGGGTGGACACACCTCGGGGAATGTATGACACACCAACCAATGTCGTTTTCTGGTAATTCCTGTTTCAATGCTCACTTCAGCCTTGCTGCCCTCGACGGTGTCAGGCATAACTACTTTCCTCCTCTCTTGCGTTTCTCAACATTCCTTCTCATTGTCATCTTCAATATCATCTCCAGCAGTTCTGTCGTTTTGACTTGCCATTGGGGGCATGGCTCCACCCAATTTCGTCTCCGGCATTCCCAACCTCGTACTAACTGTCGTTTTTTTTCTCTCTCTTTTTTTTGTTGTTTTGTTTTTTTTTTTTTTTCCTTTTTTTTGTTTTTTTTTTTTTTTGGGGTTTTTTTTTTTCCTGCAATCCCATTGGCACTGTGTCTCCTCCACGCGCTTCCTCATTCAGAGGAGGCATGCTGAGCTGCGCCAAGTGGTCGACCTCACAGCCCTTGCTGCTGCCGGTATGCTGCTTCTATCACCTACTCCTTCTCCCGTTCCTGCACTCCTGGTTCCTGTGTGTTTTAATGTCTCAAACTTCTCCCATCCATTCCTGCTGCTGCCTGGCTCGCACTGTCCCCTCTCCCACCCTTCCCCCCCTCCCCCCTCTCCCCATCCCTGTATCTCGCTCCCCATTTCCGTTTTTTCTTCCTTTGCGCTCTCCCTCTCACTGCTGCCCCCCTTCCTCCTAACCCCCTTTCCCTGTCGTGTCCTTCCTCGCTTCCAGACGTCGCATCAGTACCAGCGTCCGCCTTTTTCCTCCTCTCTCTCTCTCCCTGCACGGCTCCACAACCCACCTTCTCTTCACTCTTCCTCTCACTCCCCCCCTTCCCTCTCCGCTCCCTCCCTCTCCGTCCTTCCTCTCCCTCAGATGTGGCATCAGTGGCAGCCTCTGCCCTTCTCCTTCTCTCTCTTTGGATGCACGGTTCAAAACGTTACCTTCTCTTCACGTCCTCTGCTGCTCTCTCCACTGTGCTTGCACTCTTCTGGAGCTACACCCTGCTACAGTACGTATTGCTGAATACCTACCCAGCTACAGTACCAATCTACTTTTGAGGTAACCTAAAAGACAAATTTCTAAACGAAAACCGAATTCTTCCCTGCTACAGTACGTCTTGTTACTTAGCATCAGCCTTATGGAACGCACAAATGTGTTGCAAACTCGTGGAGACAGATCTATGGGCAGTCTTACGGTATGTCACGTCTTTCAAAATAATATTTCTTTGTTTCTATTCCTTTCTCTCTTCGCCGCGACCAAACTGCCAGGCTGGCAACACCGTTCCGGTGGCGGCTCTTCTGGTTACCCCTCGCAAATCCAGTGTAAGAGTGCTTGTCATCCCAGTTCCTCTCATGCCTACTCAACCCTAGTGCACCTCCAGTTGTTTGTTGGCCCATAGCCATTCCCCCAATGCAAGTTGCTTCCAATTGTGTGTTACAAATTTGTTGTTGCCGAGCTACCGTATTTATACTTGACAGGATCTGCTTATATTTACTCCCTGCGCAGGTTTGTACAGCTTGCAGTGTACATCCACCTCTCATTCAGCAGCGTGGAAAGAGAGATTGCAAAGCTTCGCGGTCTCAAGTACGAGCACAAAAGGGTTTAAAGGTTTCAGATGGCAGAGCCCTGCTATGCTGCGAACGCGTCACTAGGTAGTGAATGGTGGTATATCCAAGAAGACCTGTATCCAGTTCTTCTTGAGAAAGAAGAGAGCAGAAGTGAAAGAAGAATCGAACAGAGAAGCAGTGAGACAGATAGTCGGACGCGCTCTTCTGATGCACAAAGACAAAAGCTGGCCCATACAGGTTTCGAACCTGTGACCTTCGCGTTATTAGCACGACGCTCTAACCAACTGAGCTAATGGGCCGATGACAGCTATTGACGGTACGAGATACTGACCTTGTGAAACATATTCCACCAATACTGTAACGTTGCGGCATTGTATGAAACCACGAGTAACCCATCTCATGAATGTCCACAAAACTGGGCACATTCTTCGTCTCCACAAATGCAGCTTCTCACCCCTTGTCACTCCTAACCAGCAGAACTCAGGCTTCGTAAACAGGTGGCACGATGCATGGTGGTCCTGAGCGCCTTTCACGGCAACCGATGCCATCTCTCATCCTCGTGTCGCTAACAGGCTGTGCGAAGCGTCCCAGACCGAGCGTCGCAGCTCTATCATGTCCACCTCATTTTCCGAGCCGGAGATTAGGTTTCCTGGTACTGAGACTCCGACGCTTCCAGTCCAAGATTCATGATGCGATTGATGAACGAGAATGGCGTCGCATGCGCGCGCAGCTCCCATCGCCTCCTCCCTTCATAACTCACTCGTCCCGAGCAGAAACGCATCAGTTGTTCCCTGCATTCCCCTCAAGCCTTCGCTACCTTCTGCTTTCCATTTTCCGTCCTCTCGCGGATTTTTGTTCACCTCAGCAACAGCAGCAATGCAATCGGTCTCGCAGCGTCGCGCCATGGCCACGCCGTCTCCTCCCGCGCAGCGCCAGGGTCAGCAGCCCGGCGTGCAACACGAGATGGAGCCGCAGCCGTCCGTGACGCGCCAGGCGTACAAGCCGGCCGAAAAGCTTAAGGTGCGCGCCTGAGTGCATGCAATGAAAGTGATTTTTACATTAAAGACGTTAAGAGGCAGTCTCGGAAAAAAACATGGTTTAAATCGTTGGAAGCATAGACGCTTGTCGAACTTTTGAACAGGGCTTGAAGCTGATGCCTAATTCATTCTTTTTTATGTCATCCCTTTTGCAGGATAATGTACCTAGCTCTTTGATTAGAATACTTAAATCTCTCTGCTCTCTTTTCCTCGCTGCAGGGTAAGATTGCGCTGATCACGGGAGGCGATTCCGGCATCGGGCGGAGCGTGGCTCACCATTTCGCGTTGGAGGGAGCGGCGGTGGCGTTCACGTACGTGTCACCGCGGGAGGACAAGGACGCCCAGGAGACCCTCCGCTTGCTGCGGGACGCCCAGCGCCCCGAGCACAAGCAGCCGCTCGCCATCCCCGTGGACCTTGGGCACCACGACAACTGCAAGGAGGTGAGGATGGGGTGTGGTTCTGTTGCTTCATGGAATTCTTTTCATGTTCGGATGGGATCACGTTTCATTTTCTGTCGATTAAGTACAATGATGCTTTGGTGTTTTGGGATGGTACTAAATTTGTGTTCATGTCATTGTTGTGAATTCTGTCCATGGTTGCATGCAGGTGGTTCGGAAGGTGGCGGAGCACTTTGGGGGGAACATAGACGTGCTGGTGAACAACGCAGCGGAGCAGCACACCCACAAGACCCTCGAGGAGATCTCCCCTGAGGAGTGGGACCGCACCTTCAAGACCAACATACACGCTTACTTCTACATGGCAAAGTAAGGCCGTGCACCACTTGAATTAATTACACTGGCAATGGGTTTTTTAATCCTGGTTGTAAAATGCAGCGCCCTTTTTAAAGCATGGCGCTCTATCAAGCAGTACCTAATGCAGTCTCTTCAAGCTCTATCTTGTGTGTATCTGATCCCTCTTCTCTTGCATCTGCAGTTGCCTCACATGAAGGAAGGCAGCTGCATCATCAACACCACCTCTGTCACTGCATACAAGGGCAATCCCTCTCTGCTGCCCTACTCCACCACCAAGGCTGCCATCGTTGGGTTCACTCGCTCCCTCTCGCTCATGGTGGTTGACAAGGGCATCCGCGTGAATGGTGAGTGTAACGTTGCTACCAGGATGTGTAATGTTGCAAAAGTTTCACATGTAATAGTATGCATGCACATTGCAAGCTGTTGTGCTGCTCTTATCGAGTGTCAAAACCACGCTGCTTGCTGTTTTGCAGGTGTGGCGCCTGGACCTGTGTGGACGCCCCTCATACCGGCCTCGTTTGAGGAGGAGAAGGTGGAAGGGTTTGGCAAGCAGGTGCCCATGAAGAGGGTGGCTCAGCCGGATGAGATCGCCCCCTCTTATGTGTTCCTTGCATGTGATGATTCCTCGTACTTCACTGGCCAAGTGCTCCACCCCAATGGTAAGAAATGAGTTTACCGTAGCTTAAGGAGGTGATTATTATCACTATTTATTTATACTGACAACAAGAGAGTTCATACTGTGCAGGAGGGGTGGTTGTGAATGCATAGGCCTCTGGCCTCTGACAAAGAGTGTTCATGCTGTGCAAGAGGGATAGTTGTGAATGCCTAGGCATCTTCCTTGGCATTTAGCATGTATATACTTTACATGTTCTTCTGATCAGAGAATAGTGTATTTTTTAGATGAGAAACAAGGGTTTACAATCGAACGTTTTGCAATGGCGTTTTGTCATTTATATGAAGGTATATTTCAATCTGAACAATATTCATACCAAATGTTGCGGGAAAGTTACAGTCTGCAATTTGTACCATATCGAATGTTGGCGTCATCTTGACGAGCAAATGATGATATCAAGGTATTATTTCTCAATTGTCCTAGCCTGAGGTGGTTGGTAGAAGGTACCTCGCTCAATAGGAGTCCTGATCAAACATCGAGCGTCATAGCTCTCTCTGCCGACTGTGTTGGGAGCTAAAGGACGGAGCTGAGTTTTACGCATCACGTTACCTAGTGTCAAACCGTTCAACATAAGGATATGGCCATGGAGGATGTCCAGATGGCTGATATCGTTCCTCCTGAGGAGGTGGGTGAAAAGTTTCGTAAATGTACCGTCTGAATTGGAACTGTAGTGACAAATTCGACACAGGTCCGCAGGAGAATCGAAGCGTTAGTCCTGGAATTTCTGCGTGGTCTCGTCAGCCATGAACGCCCGAGCATAAAGAGTTTGTCCTTGGTAAGTACGTCACTGCGTCCTTCGCCCTTAGGGGACATTGTCATTCTGACAATCTTGTACACCAACAGATTCGACGTGACGCGTCAAACATTATTGCGTATGGCGGTGACGAAGAAATTGTCAAAGTGGGCCTCGCACATACGTTGCAAGAGCGCTCATTGACTGGCCTGAACGGAAAAAGAGTTCTCCCTTATGTTCGTGGTGTGTGTCCACCCAGCAAAGGTGTTCATATTTCCTGCATTTTGTGAAGAAAACACACCTGAATATCGTTCCCAATTGCAGTCTGGAAAGTTCTCGCGGTGATTTACAAGCTTCTTGAAGATGGTAGAATGTCGACTCAGAGGGAGATTTATTATCGCTTGCTAGGCGAAAACCAGGAGTATTTTAAGAAACAGCGTGATTGCAATTCGGCAATTCAAGGTACGCTACCATTCGCACTCGTTCGACTTTCATTCGAAACCCTATTCTGACATCGTATGCACAGAGACCGTGTCCCTCCTCCGCTGCAGCAGGTGTAGCCTGGGAATCTATGCATCAAGCAAGGGTACAGTTGCTGGTCGTCTATCTATGAGGGTACGTTTTACGCGTGCTTGTCTGATACAGGTAGGTGCATGGAACGTTCAGCAATTGTCATTGATAACCCTTTGGTGCAGGAAGGAGAGACTGGGCAGTGGATAGACTGCACAAGTCGGGGAAGTGCTGGTGTTTCAATCACAGGGAACTTATGGAACATTGAGAAGCTGACATTCAAGACAGATGCGAGATACATTATTGTCGTTGAAAAGGTGTGCATTTTGCCGAACCTTCATTCATGCTTTGCCTTCAGTTCCCGTCGTCTGACAATCTTTGGGAATGGCATTATGCAGGACACTGTCTTCCAACGGCTTGTTCAGGATCGTTTGTTTCAGGAGATTCCATGTATATTGGTCACCGCAAAGGGTTTTCCCGACCTGGCCACGAGGTAGGAAGGAAGTGATAACCTGGTATCAAAACTGACCTCTTCTAACATGTTGTGCTTGCTGCAGAGCCTTTTTACGAAGCTTACATCTGCAGTACTCAAAGATTCCAATTCTTGGGTTGGTGGACATGTGAGTATACCACCTGAATTCCCACTGAAGTTTCATAGATCAGTATCTGATAATGATCCGCTTGCAGGAATCCAGCAGGACTGTCAATTATATGCACATACAAGTTCGGATCAGGCCAAATGGGGCTTGAGGGTCCACGATACGGTAGTCAATCGCAAATAAGAACAGCCGTTTAGTTTTCTTCCAGTGTGCTAAACCGGCCCCTTCTTCTTTTCAGCATGTGATGTGAAGTGGCTTGGATTGAGATATGGCGATATCAAGTATGTCCCTGACGATGGACTGCAACCACTGTCAAATCGAGACAGAGTTCTGGCGCAGAGTCTCATGCAGAGTGCAGCTCTCCAGGTAAGGATTCCATGAAGATTTGTTGGTTTCAATGCTGGAGAACATGCATGATGTCAGTTCCTCATATAGTGTACAATATTGGCAGATGTCCAGCACTTACATTGATGAGCTTGAAGCAATGGTGGACTTTGGAAGAAAGGCAGACATAGAGGCACTCCATTCCAATGGGTCGGATTTCCTTGTCAAGTTTATCATTCAGAAGATTGTTCACCAAGATTACATTTAAGGTTCAAGTGGCAACCTGTGTCAGATGTGAAGCCGGTGTTGCGTACACCCCTGGTAGATGATTGGTTAGTGACATTTGCAAGGTCATGCTACAAGGCAAAGCTGTGGAAAATGTGTCCCAGCTATCCTAATTTTATGAGGGCAATGTCAGCTACCTCCTGCTCCATGACCCAGGCCTTCGTTGAGCATTGATGCTCATTGCATGACTAGCGATGATGTTAGCCGCATCCGTGTTGGGAGAGGCAGACCTGGGGCTGGCTGCTCGGGGACTCATGAACCTTGGGGAAGCTCCCTTAGGAGCTCCAGGGCTCGGCCGTAGAGGCGGTGGGCTCAATGCTCTTGGGCTGGATCGCATGGCAGCATTGGCAATGAGGGCACCCACATCCGGAGCACCTGGGCTGGACGCAGCAAGCGAGCACCGTGGGCTGAGCGAACGAAGAGAGTCTGTCCTTCCGTTGGAGTAAAGTGGCCGTGGGCTCGCCCTGCTGGATTCTGATCGACCGGGTGCTGTCATGTTGCCATTGGCATAGCTGGGGCTTGGGTCTCGGATTGTCAGTGACCTGGCACTCACAGGACTGGGCCTTCGAGCCACCCAATCGTCCCTCTGCACGAAAAATATCACACATTGCACAATACGGCAGGTTGGCATAAGTTCAAAGGAATTTGTACAGGTCTCACGGATGCTGTTTGAAACTTGGGGTCATCATCGGCTATATGGTCATCAGCTGAACCGAACGGTTGTGGTCTGAATGGTTGTCTTTAAACTGCTTACCTGTTTTGGGTCTTCACTTTCCAGCATGTGGACGATCTGGGTCATGCGCGGCCGCTTGAGTGCGTTGGTCTCCACACAACGCATGGCAATCCCGAGGACGTACTCCGCATCGTCAGGAGAGATCATGCCTTGCAGGCGCGGGTCTACAATCTCAACCAGCCGCTCCTGTGAGCTCAGCTTCTTGGCCCATGTCACCAGATCCATCTGCAACAGAGCATCACGGCGATTAGAACCGGCAGCATGACAGTTAGAACCAGCAGCATGGCAATCGAAACTAATCATGACAATCTAAACCACAAGGAGCATTACAACAAGCAGCAAAAATACAGAGTCAGAGCAGGACTGAAAGTCACAGCAACATGGTTGGTGGTGGGATGTGTTACCTCGTCAGGAGGAGCTCCATTGTCAATGGGCTTTCTTCCGGAGATGATCTCAAGGAGCAGCACCCCGAAACTGTACACATCGCTTCGTTCCGTCAGCAGACCCGTGTTCATGTACTCCGGAGCCACATATCTGAGCAAACAGGAACACGAGACAGGACAATCGATAAACCTCTGTTTGAAATGTCCCACAACAGCAGACCCGGGGCCACATATATTCCTAAACCGCTCAGAAGCATATGCCACAACGGGCCTGGAAAAATAGTCAACAACGGAGGGGAGCACATACCCAAATGTCCCGACAATGCGGTGGCGGCGTGGCTCTGGTCCCGGCCCATGACCTTAGAAATGGCGAAGTCTCCCAGCCCAGATCGGAACAAGAAAAAAAGGAGTATATGAACTTACCCGAAGGTCCCAACAACGCGGGTGGCGGCGTGGCTCTGGTCGCGGCCCATGACCTGGGCAATGGCGAAGTCGCCCAGCTTGGGGTTCCACTGCGCGTCCAGCAACACGTTGCTGGCCTTCACGTCCCTGTGCACCACCTTCATGTCCAGCCCCTCGTGCAGGTGGGAGAGACTGCAGAAAGGGTAGGAATGAATGAGGGGGACAACAAAGAGAAGGGAGAGAGGCATGTGAGAACGGTTAGTGAAACTGACTCAAACCAAACTGATGGCGATGTTTGAGCGGACTCATAGGAATGGCAAAAATTGCAGGGATGTGAGGAGGAAAGAGGAGAGGGAGAAGGACAAGGACAAGGAGAGGGAGGAGGAGGAGGAGGAGGAGGAGGAGGAGGAGGAGGAGGAGGAGGAGGAGGAGGAGGAGGAGGAGGAGGAGGAGGAGAGGAGGAGGAGGAGAAGAATGATTATCTTACCCTCTGGCGCAGCCAATGGCGATGTGCATGCGCATGGGCCAATCAATGGGCTCCATGTTCCCGTTCTGGTGCAGCCACGCGTCCAGAGAGCCGTTGGGCACAAATTCGTACACAAGCATTCGCTCGTCCTCCTCCGCGCAGCACCCCAGCAGCGCCACGAGGTTCGGGTGCCGAGCGTGGGCGAGAGACTCGACTTCGAATCTGAATTCGCGTGCTGATTGGTCCAGGCTGGTGTTGACAGGGAGGGGGACAAGCAGCGAGAGGAGAAATGCGGAGTTGAGAGCGGTGAAGAGAGGTGGAAAAAGGTTCGTCTGTACATTCGCATGTGCTTGTCGTCTTCCGCGCACCACCCCAGCAGGGCCACCAAATATGGACCTCCGTGCTGATTGGTTCAGGCCGGTGTACACAGAGGTAGGGGAAGGGGGAATGCAGGGACTGGGATCAAGAGTGTGGATGGGGGCTGTACATTGGCCAATCACAGCAACCCAACCATTCACCGCGACTTGACAAGCCAAGCTCTCCCCCGAATTGCAAGCTCCTTTTTTCAGAAGCACAAACTGAATGGGAGATCAATTCAATTTCCGAAGGACATTCACGCGGACGCTAATACAGGGGCATTTCTTCGAGTGCACTCACTTTCTTTGGGTAAGCCGCTTCACTGCCACGGTCGTCCCGTCAGGCAGCCGAGCCTTGTACACCGAGCCGTCCCTGCCCGTACCCAAAACATTTCTCTGGGACTGCCTTCCAAAGTCATTCGTGGCCAATGACAGCTCAGCAACCGTGAAAAACCGCTCCAGGCTGGCACCCTCCCCTGCCACGTCATCTGACGCCTCTGGTGCCCCGTCAGCACCCCCTCCGGATCCACCTGAAGGGGTCCAAACTCCGCCTCTTCCCCCCATTCCGCCTCCCCCTCCGCCCATTCCCCTTCCGCTCCCGTACCCGCCCTTCCGACTGCTGCTCCGCAGCTCCCCCACCACGTCATCCTCCCCTTCCCCCTCCGCCTCTCCCCCCGCCTCCTCCAAATCCGCCACCCTCAGCGCCCGCCCCGCGGCCCCGTACTTGGGAGTCACAGCTGTTGCGCTGACCGCCATCCCCGCGCCAGCGCCTCCCCCCTCCGCCCGCCCCTCCCCCCTCTCGTCCCCGGAACCACTCCGCCGCATGTTGTTCGGCAGCGGAGCGGGTGACACGTCATCCTCCCCCGCTCCGCCCCCATTCCTCCCCCCTTTCTTCCTCGACGCGGCTCCGGCCGGCATAGATTTCAGCTGAGGGATGGGAACCGCAGGAGGGATGAGCACCGGGCGGTTGGATTTGCCAGATTTGATTTGATTATCGTCAGAATCCACCGGGATTTCCACCACTGTAGGGATCCCCTCCTCCCGGAGGTTCGGCACAGGCTCGGCAGGTTTGGGCGGTGTGCCGTGGTAGCTTCGGTTCGGAGAGGAGGACCGGTGGTTACTTCCGCCGGGGGAGGGGGAGTTCCGGTTCCCCGTGCGCGACCACGAGGGCATGCGCGGAGGGGTGCTGTCGCGGTTGCGCGGAACGGACGGGGGGATGGCGGGCGGAGAAGCTTCGAACACCGGCGCACCTGCAGCAGCAGCATTGCCACCGTCGTTACTCAGTCTCCTGCTCGACCCGTCCTTGTGTCCCTTAGGCGACGGGCTGGTCTCAGGGCTCCTACCCGACTGGTTACCACTCCCTCTCTCCGTCTTCGGCGGGGTATGCTCCTTGCGCTCCTTCCTCCCTCCGTCCCGAGACGCTGGCTCGGCGGATCCCGAGCCTGACTTCCTGGTTCGGGGACTCTCCGGCCGAGTCTTGTGTGGAGAGGTCTGGGGGCTCCTTCCCGAGCCAGAAGCAGCAACGGCAGCAGCTCCTGTGGCAACAGCAGCAGTGGCAGCGGCAGCGCCTGTCTTGCGGTCGCTGCCGCTTCTGCCGCTGCCTCCAATTGAGCGGGAGCCTAGCGCGCCCCCAACAGCCGTTGGATCGTGCTGGTCGCCACGTGGAGACGATCCGACGCTCTCCTTATCCGCATTCGGATTGCTCCGGGAGCCGTCCTTCTTGGGAGAGGGGGAATGGGATTTGCCGGACCTGCCCTTGCTCTTGCTTCCCGCGCCTGCGATCGCAGCTCCGGCTGCCGCACCTGTGGCGCTCACTGCCGAGGCTGCAGCCTCGGGTTCCCGAGCCGAGCGGATGGCAGGCTCGGGAGGGAGCTCCACGACCGTTACAGGCGGTACGTCAACCGTGTGGTAACCCGAGTGATAACCACTGGCTCCGTTATTACCAGACTCGATATCGATACGGTGGTGCTTCGACGGAGAATGCCGCTTAGAAGGAGACTTCTTTTTAGACGAACTGCGACCAGAACCCGCGATTGCCGCTCCAGCCGCTGCTCCTGCCGCCGCACCTGCCGCAGCCGCCGCTGCCCCGCTTCCTCCGCCTGCGTCTCCGCCCGCTGCTTCCGCACCCGTGGGGCTGCGCGCCTTGCCCTTGGACTTGCTTCCGCCGTATCCGCGCTTGGAGGCGGAGGGGGGGTTGAGATCCTTGTCGCTGCGAATCGCCCTAAATGCCGCCGCGCGCTGCACAGGGTGAGCGGGGGAATCGGGACGAGGAGCAGGGGAGAGGGGGAAACGGGGAAACGGGGGAACGGAACGAGGGGAGAGGGGAAAAGTGAGGGAAGGGAAGAAAGGTAAGGGAATGGGAGGGGTGGGAAGGGAAAGGAGGAGAGTTGAAGTAAGGGAATACGACTCGGTTCCTCTACTTACCGCGCGCGACTGCTTCGGCTTCCACCAGCAGCAGTAGCCAATCAGAATCGTCGCGACAATCACCAACAACGCGCCTCCAGCCGCAATGCCGATATACACGCCCATGCTCATTCCCCCGCTGCTCTCGCCGCTGCTGCTGCTGCTCGCGCTTGCGCTGCTGTTTCCGCCGCTGCTTCCGCTATCTGCCGCCGCCGCGGTACCGCTGGAGAGGGTGTCTGCTGGCGGGGAGGCGGAGGGGGTGGCGGAACCGGGGGGCGGGGAGAGCGGAACGAGCGGCTGCACGGGCTGTGGGTCGTCCGCGGGCGGCGGAGAGGACGGCGGGGCGTTTGCGGAGGGCGCGGGGGAGGACGGCGGGGAAGTTGGCTTGGCGGGGGAAGGGGAAGGGGAGGTAGTTGGCGGGGGGTTACTCGGGGAGGCGGAAGGCGCGGAAGGGGAAGGTTTGGGGCTTTTGGAAGGCGATGGGAGCGGCTTTTCCGGTGAGGGTTTCGGTGATTTTGGCGGGGGCTTGACGACTGGTGGGGTAACCTTAGGAGGCGATTTAACGACGGGTGGTTTAACGACTGGCGGTTTAACGACTGGCGGTTTAACGACAGGAGGCTTCACGACCGGCGGTTTGACGACGGGCGGCTTGACTGGCGGTTTCACCTTGGGCGGGGACTTCTTAGAGACGTACGGCGGGTCGCCGGGACAGGTATCGAGCCCCTTAAAGCCCGTGCCGCAGAACCCATAACCGTTCTCGGAGAAATTATACTTGGCGGGGCTATCGCGGAGGTAATTAAGTCCCTTCGGAACGCGACCATGCAGCTGATTATGTGCGAGCGAGATGGACTTGAGACGCTTTAAGTTGCCGATCGATGCGGGAATCTCCCCCGAGAGCTGGTTATTGTTCAGTTCGAGGAACTTAAGTTGCGGTAAGTCGCCGAGCGACGCGGGAATCGTGTCGGAGAGGATGTTGTTGCTCAGGTCGATGGCGAGGAGATTCGACATTCGGCCGAGGTCCGGTATAACACCCCCGATGTTGTTGCAGCAGAGGTTCAGAACCTGCCGTTCGATATTGGCACATTCGGTGAGGAAGGACCCGTTAGCATGCAAACCGCCGATAAGTGAGAATGGTGAGAATCCCCCATAAAAGTAATCGATGAGAACGCAAAAAGAAACAGAGGATACGAAGCTAACGGTGAGTCATGGCATAGCTGTCAGGGCGAGCTGTGGCATTGGAGACATCGCGTCTCGTTACGAATACTTGTGGGAAATACTCACCATCAGTGAAGGTAGGTTGGCGATGTCGACAGGAATGTTTCCATGTAGCGAATTTTCGCCGAGGTCCAGCCACGTGAGCTTGTTGAGTTGAACGATTTCGGGCGGCACTTCGCCGGACAGCCCGAGACTGCGCAGCGAAATTTCGATCACCTCTTTGTTCGCGTTACATTTCACTCCCTGCGGAAGTAAGAAATAAGGGAGATAATCACGAGAAACAGACAGATAAAGTCGACAAGATGAGGAAATGGGAGCGGAAGGCGATGGGAGGTCTGATGACAACTTCCCCGACTATGAAGCACGAAAAGACGATCACGTGCTTTTCGGGAGAATATAGCCATTCTGTAATTGAGGTGCGGGATGAAGTGAGCGGATGTGTTGCGGAATTGTGGCATATATGGAAGAAAAACCTTTAGCAGGGGAATGTAAAGGCGTACTTTGAAAGGCGGATTGGCACACGCGTCGGTGTTGCTATCCCACGTGGATAGGATCTGATTGCTCGGATCCAGCTTCATCGCGATCCCCGTCCAGTCCGTCGCTGCTACTAACGAACCGGCGCTCATGACAATAACGAGGGCAGCGGCTGCCCTCATGATTGGATGAAGATCCCGCTCCATTGATTTTGCTTTCCTACGCATTTTCAATCTTCTGTTCTTAAAAACTGGGCTCTAGGTTCTTCAGTCTGCTCGCGTGATGAGGTAGTTTTAACGGAATCAGCGGTGTCTACCCTTGAGTTGCGGGTCGCATTTTCAAGGCTAGTCGCCTGTCACTTGATTCGGACTTTGCCAGTTTCAGCCGCAACGCACTAGTTACCGATGCTACAGCTCGAGTTTAGTTTCTACAAAGAAAGGCGTCCGCCGAGCGGAGGACACTTAGCGCTATCGAGCATGGAACTCAACCGCTTTGCGGGTCAGGCGAACTAGGTTGACGCAACAATAACAGATGCTCGTCTCTCTCTCACATGCTCGGCGCAAATCTAGCACCCTACACTGCGGAATGGCAACAGGACCGGGATCAGCACACCCTTTTCGTGAAGGCTATCTCGATTGAAAGCAAGGGCAAGCAACAGCAGCAGAGAGGTCCGAGACTGTTGCTGAATGACGACGTTCTAGCCTGAATCCTCGGCGCCTGGTGCTTGCGGTGATGGTGGTGGCCGTCCCAACATGGGTGAGTGGACGAAGCGAACAGTGATTGACAGCAGCAGATGGGTGGGTTGGGGGATGGACGGACCTCTCCTCTACCTCCCTGCAAACTCGCGAGACTGCCGTTGTCGTGGAAATGTCAAATTTCGCAAAATGTCACTCCGTCCGACATCCCATCTCAGACCGAGGCGCGTGATGAATTTACGGGGCGCATTTGGAGCGATTCGCCACCTTGTCATGGGTCTGGGTCCTTGACTCTCCGATTGGTGTCCTCCAAGCTTGGTGGCTCGGCTCGGCTCAGCACTCACGGGACCTTCTGGTCCGGTTCTGGCGCGAGACGAAATGCAAGCTCGGTGAGGCTTGACGCGCGCTCAGCTTGGTTTGCGTGGACTGTCTGCGGGGCACCCGTTGAGAAGGGGGAGGAAAGCTAAAGCTGGCGTTGAAATACGAAACTGATTCGCCAGCTGGACTTTCTGGCTCGGCCAAGCCAGGAATACAGATGTCGCACAAAACGAAGGGAGGTGAGCGAGCGATTCGTCAGGCGAGCTTAGCGTTTTCGTCTGAAAGGTGCAGACGATAGTTACAAGCCAAACTAAAGAAGGCATTTAGTATTACTTTTGCAAGTGATTCGCGAGTTTCAGTTTACATCCCCCTCGTTACATCGCGAAAGGCTTGCACATATCGAAACTTTCTATGTCGCAGATATAGAAGCTCCTGCACAACTGTATTCCTGAATTCCCTATCTGCCAATTTGCCCCGCACAAAAGATTCGCAGATTCCGCCCGTAGTAGAAACACCGTGCATGCTACTACGCTCTAACCTCGCGTATGATTAGTCAGCGCAGTCGTCCCTCCAGTCAGATTCAGCGACTATCACAGCGTGCTGCCATGGCTGGAATTTATACACCCTCCACGTGGACCAACGTGGCCGCGGTTTCAGGTGAAGTCAATCTACGGGAATATCCTCGTTTCTCAAATTCGCCGCCGCATCGTTCTCCGTACATTTGTAAGGTGCCTTTAATACTTGCTAAGAAGCAACAGATCGTTGTCCGTCCGCGTTTTAGGCGCGCCTCTGGTTAGATTCGTTTGCGTAAAGAAGCTCCTCGTCCTTTGTCTTAGTGCATAACGCTCTCTTCAAACTCTCCTCACCTCCATTCCTTTCCCCGCACCTTCCCTCCTTTACCAACCCCTCACTCCCCCCTCCCCACTCCCCCCCTTCCGATCTCCCCGCAATATGCAGGCGCGGCGGCGGTGGGGCTGGGCGCGTACGGAGCGCACGCGTTCAAACCGGAGAACCCGGTGTATAAAGAGGTGAGAGGTGCATGAGGTGACTTTTGAGGTGAGAGGTGAATGAGGTGACTTTTGAGTCGACTCAAAAGTCGCACGCGTTCAAGACGGAGAACCCCGTGTATAAAGAGGTGAGAGGTGACTTTTGAGACGCCTCATAACCATGGAGGCGCCTCACAAGCCGGAGAACTCGTGGATGAAGGGGTAAGAGGTAGTTATGATTATTTTCCTCCTTTTATTGCTCCCTCCCCCTCTCTTTTCCATTTTTTTTTTTTTGGTCATGCTATGTAGCAAAGCTATGTATGCATTGGTCTCCCTCATCAAGTGTGGCGGTTCTATCACCTCGTGCATTCCGCTGCTCTCCTCGCGTCACCTCTAGTCAAGCGACCCACTCTCTTCAGGTGTCATTTTATGGAAACAAGTTCGTTGAAAAAAATACCCATGTTGCTACAATCTCTTCAAAACTCTTCGGATTTAGAACATCTTAATGTAGGATCAACATGTATGATTTGCTGGTTCTGGAATGCCCTCATCTTTTTGTTTGCACGAATCATGTTTTGCTGGCCACAGGAATTGAAGCCTCCTCATCCGTGTTTAACTTGCTGCAGCAATAGCCCTCTCTCAAGGTAAGCACACATGTTCGGCATGCATGAACTGCAAAGTTCAAACTCTTGTGTATTTGCAGACTCGCAACATGTCATGCAACCAAGGGATTGAATTGCAGATGATTTTGATTTTGTTCCACACCAGCAACTAGATTAACTGCATTTAAAAAGTACCTTTTTTTTTGGGTTAAGGACGTTGTCGCACTTTCATATGTGACAAGGAAGCTTCCGTACATGCGCGAAAAGAGTTGCCGCGCGTACGGAAGCTTACTTGTCACATATGAAAGTGCGACAACGTCCTTCAGCGGAAAAAATGATATTTTCCGAATGCAGTTGCTCGAGTTGCTGGTGTGGAATGAAATCAAAATCATCTAAGTCTAATGCGATCCCTTGGTTGCATGACATGTTGAGAATCTGCAGATACACAAAAGTCTGAATTTTTCAATTCACAATGATGCATGCCAAACATGTGTGCTTACCTTGAGAGAGGGTCACTGATACAGCAAGTTAAACAAAGACGAGACGGATTCAAATCCTTAGCTCAGCATAACGGGATTAGTGCAAACAAAACGATGATGGCATTTACAAAACCAGCAAATCATACCTATTGATCCTATATTAAGATGTTCTAATTTTGAAGAGTTTTGAAGAGATTGTAGCAGCGTGGGTATATATTTTCAGCGATCTCAAAAAATGACACTTCTTTTTGTGTGGTCTCTCTCTCAAACAGTCCTTTGTACTATAACGGCCATGGGTACATGCAATTGGGCAAAACCAGAGGCGGACAGCTACAAAGTAACTACAACCTTCCCTGTTCTACCCCCTACAGCCTTCCTCCCCCTCCCTTTACACCCCTTCCAGGGTGAGCAGGAGATCCCCCAGCTGCAGCGGCCACGGGTCCGCTGGAGCCTGGGGGTGTGCCGCCTCGATGCCGGCCTTTGCCTTCACAAGGAGGGCATTGGCCTGGTTGCGTTGGAGCATCACTGCTTGGCTTTATAATGCATCTCTCTGCTCCTTGTTCCTTGGCCTTTGATCATGCTTTATAACGCGTTTTACTGTAACGCTTATCAGGTGTGGCGAATGGGCAATCTCTACCACCTGCTGCGCGCGTGTGGGCTTCCTGTCCGCGTCATAGTGCTTCACTATGCTTCATTATAACGATGCATGCTTCAAACTGCGTTGTGTTGCTTTTATCAGGTGTGGCGGACAGGCAACCTCTACCATCTCGTGCACTCTGCTGCTCTCCTCGCCTCGCCTCTAGTCAAGCGACCCGACCTTGTAAGTTCACAAACTCTTCAAATAGAATTAGTAAATTCGTTGCGGCTTCTTGTCAAACTACCCATCCCCATAAGCTCAGTGTCATTTAAGCTTTCCTCCATATCCTCACTCCACTCCCCTCCTCTCTCCTGACCTCTCCCCACTCCCCTTCTCTTCTTTCCTGTGCCCACCCTACTCCTCCCCTCCCCTCTCCTCCATCTCCCAGTATGGCAGTCTTCTCACCTTTGGAATAGTTGCTTTCTCGGGCAGGTGAGAGAGATTTCTCGGGCAGGTGAGTGAGAATGGGGTAATTCTGATTAAGGGTAGTTTTCTCACCTTCACCTTTGGATAACTGATGATCTTCCATGCCACGTGTAGGATGCTGCAAGACCCAAGCCTGTCACCCTGTTAAATGAGAGTGTTTTTTAGACATATCAGAAGTTTTCTCACCCTTGGATAACTGATGATCTTCCATGCCACATGTAGGATGCTGCAAGACCCAAGCCTATAACCCTCAACCCACTTCCCCTCATACCAGACCTGTGAGCAGCAGCACTGGAAAATAGAGCCCCGGGTTTTAGAGCTTCCTTTCGGTTATACCCAGAAGGCGCTTCGATTCTCAATCCAGTTTCCCACTTCCCTTTCCCCTCACTTGCCTCAGGTTTTATCTGTCAGGAGCGCTTGAGAACAGAGCTGCGGGTGTTGGATACCAGTACCACTTTTGAGGCGCCTCAAAAGTCGCTTGAGAACAGAGCTCTGGGTGTTGGATACCTCTTTTGAGTCGACTTGAAATGAACCCCCACCCCCTCCCCCTCCTCCCCAGCCCACCACACCCACCCACCCACCCCGCCTCCCCCATCATCAGCTGTTACCTGTCGGCAACTTTTGAGGAAAGAGCTGTTTTTAGTCTACTAGAAAAACTTACCTGTCGGCAGCTTTCGAGAAGAGAGCTGTGGGCGTCCGGGTTCACTCTTGCTTCCAGGTTGACCTTTGAGTCGACTCAAAATTCACTCGGCTGGTTCTGAGATCAGAGCTCTGGGCGTTGGGGTTCACTCTTGCTTGGCATTTCGATCACCAATCTAGGTCCCTGCTCCCCTCCACTGCCCCCCTTCCCTCCACCTTTCCACCCCCTCCCTTCATCAGCTGTTACCTGTCAGCAGCATATGAGGACAGAGCCTTGGGTGTTGGGGCTCCCGTTGACTCCAAGCCCTCCCTCCCCCCCACTTCTCTCTTCCCCCAACTCACCTTTCCCATCCCCTTTCATCAGCTGTTACCTGTCAGCGGCATATGAGCACAGAGCCTTGGGAGTTGGGGCTCCCTTTTGACTCAAAGCCCTCCCTTCCCTTCCCCCCACTTCCCGCACTCCCCATCTCCCAACTCACCTTTCCCATCCCCCTCATCAGCTGTTACCTATCAGCAGCGTATGAGGACAGAACCTTGGGTGTTGGGGCTCCCTTTGGGGGATTCGCCTTCATTGGAGCCTGGCTTTCTGCTGCCTTCTGATTGGCTGATTGTGTGCATTTTCTTGTACATACCGTTATCCTTATCCATTTTCTTCCTGTAAACCATACACAAACCTAAAGAAATACATTGCTATGGCTTTTGCATGCACAACATTTGTGAAAATATAACGGAGTACTACAGTACAGTACAATTTCCAGGTTTATAATAAGGGCTTTAAATCGGCTACTCCTCATGCCTCTAATGGCTAGCTAATTTCCCCGATGACAAAACAGCACACCAGAGAGGGTTGGGTTGAGAGGGCTGAGACTCAATCCCCAAAACACATCTACATGTTATTTTCAATGCCGGTAAGATGCTCTTGCTGTTACACTGTGCGTTATGCCCCACTACCATCAAATCAGGCACTGGATTTATGCCCCACCCACGAAGTCAACCACTTGGCGACCTGCATGGGATGGGGTGTGGTGCGGTGCGGTAGGGTGCGGTGGAAAGAGAAAGCGAGTGGGTACAAAGGGATCGCTGTTGGAGACGTTTGGATCAGCACAGCAGTCACTTGTAGATCTGGATGGGTGGTGTGCAAGTGGGAAGTGGGGAGGGATAGATTCGAGTCTAACCAAGTCAACCAGGGGGAATGTAGAAGGGATAGATTTAAGTCTACCCAAGTCAACCAGAGATTAATTCAACTCAGCACTCACATCAGCCATGGCGGGACGATCTTTGGGGTTGCTGGTGAGACAAATCACAGCCAGCATTACCACTGCCTGCAGCTGACCGTTAAGCCGCTCTCCACAGCCCCTGCGACCAAGTCAACCCAAGTCGACGCACTCACATCAGCCACAGCTGGTCTGTCCTTGGGGTTGCTGGCGAGGCAGATCACAGTCAGCATCGCCACTGCCTGCAGCTGACACTGAGCCGTAACCCACAGCCCCTAGTCTACGAAACCATCCCGAGTAAAGTCAAGTCAACGGAAGTCAGGTCAGCACTCACGTCAGCCATAACAGGTCGATCCTTGGGGTTGCTGGCGAGGCAGATCACAGCCAGCATCGCCACTGCCTGCAGCTGACTCGGGTCGTACCGCCCCTCTAGCCGGTAGTCCACCAGGCGATGGAATTCCCCTGACTTGGCCACCGGGATTGCCTGTGGGGTGGTGGGGGGAAGGGGGGGTGGGGAAGAGAAGATGATGGGGTCGGTGTAAGCACTGCCTGCAACTGACTCGCGTCGTACCGCCCCTCCAGACAGTAATTCACTAGGCGATGGAATTCCCCTGATTTGGCCACTGGGATTGCCTGATAGGGTTTGGGGTGGGACGAAGGAGACAGCAAGAGAGTGCAGGAACAATGTGGGAGGAGGGTTTGTCTGGTGCAGGCACTGCCTGCAGCTGACTCGCGTCGTACCGCCCCTCCAGACAGTAATCCACCCGGCGATGGAACTCCCCTGACTTGGCCACTGGGATTGCCTGTGGGGTTTGGGGTGGGGGGAAGGGAGAGTGCGGGAACGAGGTGGGAGGGAGGGTTTGCCTGGTGTAAGCAGCACTGCCTGCAGCTGACTTGCATCGTACCGCCCCTCCAGTCAGGAGTCCACTGGCCGTTGAAACTCCCCTGCCTTTTGAGTCGACTCAAAAGGCACCTCGGAAGTCCAGTGGCTGGTGAAACTCCCCTGCCTTGGCCACTGGGATCGCCTGCGTGAGGGGATGGGGGGAATGAGGGAGGGAGGGAGGGGAGAGGGGGGAAGTGCATGTGGGAAGGAAAGAGAGCATCGTACCGCCCCTCTAGACAGTAATCCAGTGGCTGGTGAAACTCCCCTGCCTTGGCCACTGGGATTGCATGTAGGGAAGGGAGGAGGCGACGAGGGAGGGTGAAGCCGTGAGGGAGCATGCAAATGGGAAAAGGAGTAACTGAGCTGAACAAACGTACCCATGCACTCACTTGAAAGTCCCACACACACCTAAATTCACCCACCCACTCACTCACCCAAGCAAAGAGGTAGGCCCGGCTTGGGTGGAAGGGGATGTGCCCTGTGATGAGCTCTAGCAACAACACTCCGAATGCAAACACACCTGCTCACCCACTCATCTGAATGCAAGAATTGAACCACAAACACACCCACTCACCCAAGCAAAGAGGTACGCCGGTGTTCTGGACGGGTGGAAGGGGATGAGGCCTGTGATGAGCTATAGCAACACCACTCCGACCCTGACCCCACCCACCCACACACCCACCAACACACCCACGCGCTTCAATGCACCCACTCACCCAGGCGAATAGGTAGGCCGGTGTCCTAGAAGGATGGAAGGGGATGTGCCCTGTGATGAGCTCTAGCAACACCACTCCGAATGCAAACACGTCAACTGCTTGTGTGATCTTGCCTGTCCGCACATACTCCGGTGCCACGTAGCTGCCAGAACACAAAAGGGGAAGGAGGAAGAGTGAAGAGGCATGGAGGGACAGAGGTGAAGGGGATCTGTGTGTCCTGTGGTTATACTGTAGAACAATTAGTGATGATAATAGGAGTAAATGTTTTTCATGTAAATGATGAATACATTTATAATCATAACAAACAAAAAACAAAGCAACGAAAAACTGACCCTTGTGTGCCCATGATTGCGGTGACAGTCATGGGCTGCGTGAAATGCTCCGGTGCGACTTTCGCCAACCCAAAGTCTGATACCTGGCGACGGCGGAAAAAGGGGAGGGGGGGGTTGGGGGGTGGGGGGGGTTTAGAAGGAGACTTTTGAGTTGACTCAAAAGTCACCTCCCAAGTCAGATACCTGGTGACGGCGGAGAAAGAAGTTGGGGGGGGGGGGTAGAGGGGAAATAGGGAAAGTGTATTTTTGAGACGTCTCAACCCAAAGTCCGATACCTGGTGACGGCGAAAAAAGGGGAGTGGGGGGGGGGGGATGAGGGGGAATAGGGCAAGGGGGGGAAAAGGGGGTTTGATGACATTTTGACTTGGGACAGTCACTGGTTGTGATGTGTGACACGGTCTGGTGCAACTTTCGCCAAATAGACATCAGAAGCCTGGTGTAAGGGAGCAGAGGGGATGGCAATTTCATCACAAAGTTACCACAGGTTCCAAGGATGCATCCAGCAACCGACTTCGCATCACCGTGGATGATAGGCAGACAGGTGGGTGGTGGTGGGTGGCTACAAGAGAAGCAGAGGGGAGGTCAGGAAAGAGAGAGGGAGAGAACGGAGCAGAGTAGCAAGAGGGGTAAGAGCCATACCACGGGTTCCAAGTCTTCATCCAGGAGAATATTCCCCGACTTCAAATCCCAGTGAATGATAGGCGGGCGGGCAACGGTGGGTTACAAGACAGCCAAAGAACGACACTTTCCCAAGTCTTAATCCAGCCAAAGGGCACAGGGCACAAGGGAGGGCATAAATACCACCGGCTCCAAGTCTTCATCCAGTAGAATACTCCCCGACTTCACATCCCGGTGGACGACAGGCGGGCGGGTGAGCGATGGGCAACAAGAGAAGCAGAAGGGAGGATAGGAGAAAGAGAGTGAAACCAGAGCAAGGTAGCGAGAGCCATACCACGGGTTCCAAGTCCTCATCCAGGAGAATGTTTCCGGACTTCACATCCCGGTGGATGATAGGCGGGCGGCACCCACTGTGCAGAAACGCCAAACCCCTCGCCGCCCCGCTCGCAATCTCCAGCCGCTGTTGCCACGTCAGCGGCGGCTTGCGGTTATCCCGTAACCGCATGTCAAGCGCGCCGTTCGGGAGGTAATCGAAGACCATTAGCAGCTCGCCAGCTGTCACGCACGCGCCGAGCATGCGCAGCAAATTCGGGTGCCGAACCTTCCGAACCACCCGAAGCTCGGTGAGAAATTGTTTCGTGTTGACCGCACACTTTTTTTCGGCCAGGGCAGGCCCCCACCACCGCAGCCGCTTCACCGCAACTTTTTGCTTGCTGCCCGCAAGAATTTCCTTCATTCTCCCGCTCCCACCTTCCCCTCCCCCCCCTCCCACCCCTCCCCCAAAATCTGGGACCGCCATTGTAATCGTTCCCAGAAACACCTGTCCGGATCCGCCCTCCCCCAGAACATTCTTCGGGTTGAAATTATCTGTGGTTTTAAGAATCTGTTCAAGTGTAAACTCTTGCTCCCCATACTCCTCTCTCCCATACACCTCCCGAAGGATTTCCGAAGGAGGGGGAGGGGGAAGGAGGTCGGAGGAGGGATTGAGAGGGTTGGGAGAGAGGAGGACGGTGGGGTCCTGTTTCCATCCCCCATCCGCTACTGCTGCCGGGATGGGCGGAGGGGCAGACGCTATGGGTGTTGCTGCTGCAGCTGCTGCTGCTGCTGCTGCTGCTGCGTGTGGTATTTGTGCTCCTGGTGTTGCTGCTGCTGCTGCTGGTGCTGCCGCTCCCCCTCCCCTTCTCCCCTCCGCGCCACCCATCCCCTCCCCATCTATCTCCATCATCTCTCCACCTCCCCTCCGCTCTCCCTCCCCACTCCCCCCTCTCTCCCCGCTCCCCACCCCAAACTCAGACCCAAAACCACCCGCCTGGCACTCCCTAGGGTCTCCTCTAAGAGGGGAGGGAGAACCGGGGGAGGGGGTATATGACGCACTAGAAGCAGCAGAGACAGCCGAAGGCGTGTTTAGGGTGGAGAGGGGGGAGACGGGCGATGCAGAAGGGTAGAGAGGGGAGGGAGAGGGGTTGGGAGCGGTGGAGAGCTCTCCGGATTTGGAGAGGGAGCAGGCGCCGTGTGAGACGAGCATGACCTTAGTGGTGGTGGGGAGACGACGGGCGAGCAGAGTGACGGTTTCTTGAGTAGCTGAGGAGATGGAGGAACTGGGGAAAGGAGTTAGAGGGGGGAGGCAGGACGGGAAGGGGGGGTGGGCAGGGTGGGAAGGGGGGAGGAGAGGGAGGAAAGAGGGAAAAACAGGGAAAAAGAGGGGAAAAAGGGCGGGGATAAGAGGTAAGCAAGTTGGAAGCGGGAGGGAGGGAGCAGATGCCGTGTGAGACGAGCATGACTTTGGTGGTGGTGGGGAGACGACGGGCGAGATGAGTGACGGTTTCTTGGGTAGCTGAGACGATGGAGGAACTGGGAGAGAGAGCGGTAAGGGGGAGGGATAGAAGGGGGAAGAGAGGGAGGAAAGATGGAGCGAGCTTAGCTACTGTGTCCCGAGCAGCTGAGGAGATGGAGGAACTGGGAGAAGGGGAGAGGAAATGGGGGTGGTGGGGAGGCGGGGGTGGGGGTGGGGAAGGGGGAGAAACGGGGACGGAAAGTGGAAAAGTGGGAGGAAAGAGGGGGAGACAGGGTAAGAAAGAGGGAAGAGGGAGGGAGAGGGAGCAGGTGCCGTGGGAGACGAGCATGGCTTGGGTGGTGGTGGGGATGAAAGAGGGAGCGAGATGAGCTACTGTGTCCTAAGTAGCTGACGAGATGGAGGAACTGGGGGGGGCAGGGGGGTGAAAAGGGAGGGTGGGGAAGAACGGTAGGGGGCAGGAGGGGGGTGCGTGGGAAGGGGGGAGAAAAGGGGAGGAACGAAAGAAGGGAGGGGAAGAAGGGGAGGGCACGGGAGCAGGGTGGGAAGGGGCAGAAAGAGGGAAATAAGGGGGATAGCTGCTAACATAACTCCAACTCCCACCAGTGCCCAAGAACGCACCTCTTAAAGCCCAAGTTTCACTGCTTGGCCACACCCAGCACCACGACCCCTGCTCCCAGCGTCAATGCCCCCTGCATTAAAAGATTTCGGGCGCCTCAAAAGTCGTCCGCTCACCTCTTAAAGCCCAGACTGCCTTTCTTGGCCGCACCCAGAACCACGATCCCTGCTCCCAGCGTCAACAGCCCCTGGGGCACGTCGGCCGCCCAGCACACGCACACCTCCACCCTGACCTGTTGATGGGGGGGAGGGGAGAAGGGAGAGGGTAGGAGTGAGGGTGGGTCATCAACGCGCCCTGCGGCAGCCCCTGGGGCACGTCGGCCGCCCAACACACGCACACCTCCACCCTGACCTGTAGATGGGAAAGAGAGGGAGGGCAGGGGGAAGGGGTGGGAAGGAAGGCGTGAGCGGTTGCCCCCCAGAGAATCACGACCGCTGCTCCCAGCGTCAATGCGCGCTGCAGCAAACCCTGGGGCACGTCCGCTGCCCAGCACACACATACGTTCACTCGAACCTGTTGTTGGGAGAAGGAGTGAGAGCAGAGGGAAGGAATGAGTGAACCCTCCCTTACTGCACCACTATCCCTGCACCCAGCGTTGCCCCCTGCAGCAGGCCCTGGGGCACGTCTGCAGCAGGCCCTGGGGCACGTCTGCCGCCCAGCACACACACACGTCCACTCGAACCTGTTGATGGGAGAAGGAGGAAGCGCAAGGGAAAAGGGGACGGGAAGAAAGCGTTTGGCCCCCAGCTTCCGCCACAGCCCCCTCACCTCCCCTGTTTGGCGGAGTTATTTCCGCCAGTGCTTGCAGAACTGCTGCCCCCACTCTTCCCCCTCATCGCCTGCTGATCCCCCCTACTATCACCCGCTTTTTCCCCCACCCTCCCCCCACCTCTTTCACCTCCTCCAGGACTCCCCTTTCCCTTCGCCCCCTGTCTCTCGCAACTCCCCCTCACCTGCTTGGCGGAAGCTACTTCCGCCAGTGGCTGCAGCGCTGACAGCACCACCCTCCGCGCCTCTATATCCCCCTGCTCCCCCCGCTCCCTCTCCCCCTTCTCCCCCCCCGTTTGTATCACCAGCGCCACCACTCTATCCCCCGGTACAACCAGCCTCGATAAAGCGAAATCCACAAGCGCCAGTCCATCCTTCGATACAGTCACACCCGCGCTCCCCGCTCCGCCTCCCCCGGCGTCTTTTCCGCTTCCTCCGCGCACCCCCCAAAAGGAGCCTCCTGATTGGTGCAGAGTCACGCCGACCAGAACCAGTTTCGGCCCGCCGTGACGCGCGGAGCCGGCGGAAGACGCGGCGGAGTTGGCGGCGGGAGTAGCGGCGGGAGATGCGGCGAAAGGGGAGGCTAACGGGGAGTCGCCGAGAGGGGAGCGGAAGCGGGGGGAGATCGGCGGGGATCGAGTCAGCATATCGGCAAATTGAAAGTAGTGGATAGAGAAAGCCGGGGGATCTAAAAAAGGGAGTTCTTTAGGTGTCGCAGAATATATGGGTAGTAGAGAAATAAGGGATCCTTGATAAACGAAGGTAACAGGGAAATGCAGGAACTTGAAATTGTTGGCCTGGACTCCTTTCCTCCCTGAATGCCAGCAGCCTCGTCGCGAGTGAGCGGGTCGACCCGGTTTGTCGGTTACCAGGTTACCAGATCACGATCGTTTCAAAGCTGGCAGCAATGTAATGGACACGTGGCTTGATGAGGACGTAAAAAAATCGCGTAATCTACGCCTCTGATTCCTCTGAGGCGGCCCTTCTAGGCGTTTCTAGGCGGCTCGAGATCGGCAGATGGTCCCTACGATGTTATCGACTGCTTTCATTGCGTGACTTGCGGAAATGTTATCCGTTACAAGCACATCTCGAAATCGACGAGAGACAGGCAGCATTCGCGAAGAGAAACGCGGGAAATGCAGCTAAGGATTCACGCTGGCAGCACGATAAGCTAAGCCGCAGTTGCCGCTGCACTTGAAGTGACTACTGAAAGGGATTTTTTTGCTGGGCTTATCTTACACGAGGAGCTAACTCCAACCAGCGAATTAACCTCGAAAAAACATAACCAGCGTTCCCACTCTCTGAAAAAGGAGGCGTAAAACACTCCGGTACGATACAATTCAATAAGGTCCGGGACGGTACTACGGTACAGAACAGTATGGATGTCTATATTCAGGTCGTATCCCTGGCTTTGTGTCAAGAGTGGATAGTGTCATGACACTATCTCGGAAAACGCTGGAGGACTAGACCTCCTGGTGTCAGCTAAACCGACCAATCTGATCGCGGGAAATTAGCAATGTGCCCAACATTGACACCAGGCTGGAGCCGCGTGCGGGCGCGGCTCCACCTGGTGTCAAGCGAATTTCCCGCTTGACACCAACAGTATCTTGACACTAGCCAGGGATACGACCTCAGTCGCAAATGTCGGGGGTGCCGGGAAGATGAAGGCAGGACACGGATGCTGCCAGTGCCACCCACCCACGCATGCCGCGGGCAAGTGAAAGAAACGAGAAATACTGTAGAATTGGAGGTAGTTCAACCTATGGTGCTCATATCATCGGCCGTTGGCGTGAACATGCGGGTACAGAATGTATCGAAGTCTCTAAATTGAGTCATAAAAGCAGGCGAGATAAGTAATTGGGGTGGCGGGAGTGTGGGTGGGGTGGGGGAGGGCTCGCAAGTGAGGTGGGGTGCTGCCAGGTGGCGGCATGCGGTGGGAGTCATGAACTCCAGTTGGCCAAGTTCACTCATCTCGCATCGAACTCTCTAGAACGTACAGCCTATACCGCGGATGGAAATATGGTGTTTTGGCGAAGATCGCTGTGCTCCACGCATGTGAAGAAATCGTAAGTTTTCGCGAACGCATGCTCGGAAACACTAGCCGAAAGTGTACAGTACCAACTAAATGACGAATGGATCTATGACGAATCCTAGTTCAGTCCCATCCCATCTGTGCTCTGACGATGATCACGAGGACTTGCGTGCGCGAGCGACCATACCTAGGGATGACGTACATTTTCTTATTATTTCTGCTACATTGATCACTTGTCGCAGATCCAGTTCCTTTCTTACCGCTTCCCTCGTCATTCCGTGCCGGTTCCGCCGTTCGTGAAGTCCCGCTCGTTTCCGCAGTCGCGGGATATTATCGCATTCGCTCGCCTGCGACTTTGAGAATGAGTCGATCGTGACGTGCGTAGAAGGTGATTAATTTGCAAATTATAAGCGCAGCCTTTCGTCTCACTCGCTTACATCATCTATCAAGAATTGAACCCGCGACCACCATGTCGTTCCTACCCATCCTCGACTACGGTGTACCACCTACAGCCACCACGTCTGACGGTGATGGTAATTTTATTAACAGTAACCCTAGCGGCAGTGACGTGAGTAACACGGCAGCGACTTCCTCTGCTTCTGCTGGCGGTGGTAATCCACCCTCTCGGGCAAACCCTGGGGGGAAGGGCGCAACCGCGAGCGGGGAAGGCGGAACCGCAGGCGCGGGAGGCGCAAAAGCGGATGGCGCGGAGCAGCCGAAGAAAAAGGCGACAAAAGCGGGGAGCAGCGGAGCAGGCGGAAAGAAAGCCGCGGGTAAAGCGGCGGCGAAGGCGGAGGGGAAGGCGGAGGGGAAGAAGACGGGGAAGAGGAAGGCGGGGACGGGGAAAGGGACGGGGAAGGCGGCGGGTACTGGCGCTTCGACTTCCGCAGCCGGCGCGGCTGCAGCAGCGCGAGAGAAGGAGGAGCGCATGAAAGCGGCGAGGGCGGAGGTGGAGGCGCACGCCGCCGCGCTCGAGGCGCATCGATCCGCCGTCTTTAAACTGCAGGCGTTGCTGATTCGCGACGTGTACTCCAGCGGGACTGATATTTTCAACCTTGGCGCCAGCAGCAGCAGTGGCAGCAGCGGCAGCGGCAGTAGCAGCAGCAGGAGCAGTACAGTCACACAGGATACAGGCAAACCGGATACAGTCACGCCACCTACAGTCACACCATCGTTCGACGTGCGAGCGAGCCAGTTGGCAGCGGCGTGCAGATTGCTCAGCAGAAGCGAGTACGACGCTATAGTAGAGGAGCGTGCTATAGGGGGGTTTTGTGGTAACCCGCTTTGCAACCAAGCGTTACAAGGGCGGTATGGGGAAGGAAAGGGGGGATTTAAGCTGGTCAGGGCCGAGGGAAGGGTTTTCAAGAAAGCGGAGATTTCAAGGTTTTGCAGTACGGTGTGTATGCGCAGCAGTGGTAGTGTTGCTCTGTCGCTGCCTGACCATAGAGAGTTGCTCTGTAAAGAAGATTTGCAGGAGCTGTTGGATGCAGCAGGGGTGGGGAAGGCTGGGGAGGTGCGGGAGTGGGTGGAGGATGTGAGTATGGGAGAGAGGAAGGAGGAGGAGAAAGAGGAGGGAAGAAGTAGTACCAGCTGCGTTGGTAGCACGAGTATCAACACCACCAGTAACAACACAGGCAGCAGCAGCAGCAGCAGCGGCAGCAGAGGCGAGAAGATTGCTGAAATTGTTGGGGTTGACGAGGTTAATGTGAATGCGAGCACGACCACGACCAGCAGCAGCAGCAGCAGCAGCAGCGGCAGCAGCAGCAGCAGCAGCAGTAGTGCTAGCAACGCTGTATCTCCCCCTTTACAGCTGAAAGAGAACATTCCAGGGGTTACTGGCGCAGGGACGACTGGCGCAGGGTCTGCTGGCGCAGGAGGGGCAGGCGCAGGGGCTACTGGCGCAGGCGCAGATGGGGCAGAAACAGAGGGGCTGTTTTCGTCTGAAGGCTTTGAGTCTTCGGTTCATAATGCGATTGAAGGGTATGTTCCTCGGCATGGTAGTGAGGCGCTTAATAAAGGGTACGTTCCTCGGCATAGCACAGCCCAGAGCATGCCAGGAGGGGGAGAGACGGGGGGGGAGAAACGAAATGGCAGAGGGGGGGAGAGAGGGGGAGAGAGAGTAGGAGTGAGACAGGGAGGGGATAGCGTAGCCCAGAGCATAATGTCTCAAGTGGTTGCAGGGTCAGGGACATGTGACGAGGTGTTTGCAGCGAGTGTGGGGATGGACGGGTGGGTGGGGGGCGAGCAGGAGGACGAGAGGGGCGGTATGGGGGTGGCAGTGGGGGATGGTGGGACGATAGACGTGGCAGCAGCAGCAGCAGCAGCAGCAGCAGCAGGGGAAGCAGGAGGAGCAGGAGGAGCAGGGACAGGGGGGAATGGACCAGCAGCAACAGAGACAGCAAGAGGAAAAGCAGAAGCAGGAGGAGCAAGGGGAAAGGCAGCACAAGCGATTGGGCAAGCAGCAGAGCTTCGATCAGCCTTAAAGAAAGCAGAGCATGGGGAGAAAGGCGGGCGGGCAGTAGGCACGCAGAGGGAGGAGGAGAGGCATGTCACCTGGGCGGCAGATGACAGGCTGGCAGTGGCACAAGCGGAGGGGGGAAGGGGTAGGGGTGAGGGAGAGATGAACGTGGGTAGTGCAGCACAGGAGGAGAGGCTGGGAGAGGGGATTGTAGCAGAGAAGAGAGGTGGGAAGGAGTGGGGGGGAGTGGACGGGGGGAAGAAGCAGGGGGCGGTGAGAGACGGGGCAGTGAGAGAGGGGGCAGTGGGGGAGGGGAGCAGTGGGGTGGTTGGCAGGGGGGAGGACGGCGTGGAGTGGAGAGAAGGGTGGGGCGTGGAAGGAGGGGCAGAGGCAGCAGCAACGGGTCGCTGTGGATGGTTTGAGCCTCCTCCCCCAGGCTTTATGATGCAGGTGAGGGGGTTGCATTGCATGAGAGGGTTACCTGGTTACCACACGAGCAGCAGCGGGTCGCTGTGGATGGTTTGAGGCTCCTCCCCCAGGCTTCAAGATGCAGGTGAGGGTTTCGGTGAAGGTAGAGGGTTTAATTGGAGTTACCTGGTTACCACATGGCAGCAGCAGCGGGTCGATGTGGATGGTTTGAGGCTCTTCCCCCAGGCTTCAAGATGCAGGTGAGGGTTTGCTTTCAGGGTTCAAGGCTTCAGGTTTCTGGTTTAGGGGTGAAGGTTTAGTGGAGTTGCCTGGTTACCACATTAGCAGGAGAAGCAAGTCGAGGTGGATGGCTGGAGGCTCGTTGCCTGGGCTTCATTGTGCAGCCGAGGGGATTGCATAACATAAGACATGAGAGTGATAGGGTTACTGGGTTACCACATGATTCTGGCTGGATGCATGTCCCTTGCCCTCCAATCCCTCCTATCCCTTCGTTACCCCGTGTGTCCGCCTGTGTGTCTGCCAATCCCCTCTCCAGCTCCCCTTTCACTGCACTCTTCTCATGGCTCTTTTTTATGCTCGTTTTTCAACTTCCATTCCCTGTGTGTCCGTCTGTCTGCCTGTCTGTCTCCCTGCCCCCTCGCCAGCTCCCCTTTCACTCTACTCTCCTCATGGCACTTCAAGAGTGGGTCACTGCCGACTCGCTTTGTCTCATCTACCCGCCACGACCTCCAGCACCACAACAACCAGCAGCACAGCAATCGCAGCAACCAGCACAACCAGCGCAACCGTCCCAGCCACAAGAATCACAGCAACCAGCACCACAGCAATCACCATGTGTGGAATCAAGCCTGGAAGCAAACGGGTGGGAGTATCCCGCTCTCCTGGGCTCCGTGAATGATCCTACCAGAGCTTCTGAGATCCGAAGGACCTTGGGAGAAGGCCTGGGACGGGAGACGGCAGGGGTGGTGGAAGGCTTGGGGCTGCTGCTGCCACTGTCGACTGTGGAACATGCACTGGTGAGCTTGTTTCTCTGGTGAGGTTTCTTTGGTGTGCCACTTGCCACTTTCTTTGTTCCGTGAATGATCCTGCCAGAGCAGCTGAGATCCGAAGGACTCTCGGGGATGGTCTGGGAAGGGAGACGGTAGGAGTGGCGGAAAGTTTAGGGCTGCTGCTGCCTCTGTCGACTGTGGAACACACACTGGTGAGCTTGCTGTGGGGTACTTTTGAGTTCACTTCAAACGTATTTTTTAGTCGACTCAAAGTTTGAATGCTGCTGCCTCTATCGACTGTGGAACATGCACTGGTGAGCTTGAATTGGTGATGCCCTTGTGGGTCGGCTCAAAGCATTCGAAGGACTTTGGGGAATGGGCTGGGAGGGAGACGGCAGGAGTGGCGGAAACTTTAGGGCTGCTGCTGCCTCTGTCGACTGTGAAACATTCTTTGGTAAGTTTTCTCTTGTGATCTTTCTGCTGCTGCTGCTGCTGCTGCTGCTAGAGGCACTCACTCACAGTTAACCTCCTGCCTATCTGATTCTGCCAATAAATGCAACGCTGGTCTCAGATTCCCTTCCTTCTTCCTCCCTCCACCCCCCCTTCCCCACTGCTCCCCTCCCCCTCCGCAACCCCCCCGATGCCCAGACTCGTCTGCTGGCCTCTTTTGCCTTCCGCTCGCCCCTTGCCTCCCTCCGCCGCCCCCACTGGCAACTGCTGCTGCTGCTGCTGTCGTTTCAAATAGCTGTCTCTCCCTTCTCCCTTCTCCCCCAATCCCCTCCAACCTCCTTCAGACTCGTCTGCTGGCCACTTTTGCCTTCCGCTCGCCCCTTGCCTCCCTCCGCCGCCCCCACTGGCAACTGCTGCTGCTGCTTCTGCTAGAGGCTCTATCAGTCAACTGCCTTCCTCCAGCTGCTTCAGATGCACTCAACACACACCGGCATCAAGTATACAAGGTAAGACCACATTATGATCATGCACGTGTTTTGTGACTGAGACAGCACCTGCTGCTGCTGCTGCTGCTCGAGGCTTGGTCAGTCAACTGCCTTTCTCGAGCTGCTTCAGATGCACTCAACACTCATGGGTATCAAATTTACAAGGTACATGCTTATAGCTTCTGCAGATTCTTCTTCCGCTACAGCTGCGGCTGCAGCTGGTGCTCCTGGTGTTGCAGTTGCTGCAGCTGCTGCTACTGACAAGTGTTGCTGTGTGTGCTTGCCTTACTGCGTGCATGTGTGTGCATGCAGGTGGCAGCAGCAGCAGGTGTGGACAGGGACAACTACCTCTTGCTCCGGCAGATGCTGCTTCCCAGGGGGCCCTCGGTTAGCAACCCAAACCAAAATACAAACGCTGCTGCTTAGACGGAAGATTATTCAGCATCAGCAGCAGCAGCATCAGCAGAAGCAGCATCAGCAGCAGCAGCAGAAGCAGCAGCAGCAGCAGCAGCAGCAGCAGCAGAAGCAGAAGCAGCATCAGCAGAAGCAGCATCAGCAGCAGCAGCATCAGCAGAAGCAGCATCAGCAGCAGCAGCATCAGCAGAAGTAGCATCAGCAGAGCAGCATCAGCAGGTGTGGACAGGGACAACTAACTCTTGCTCACGCAGATGCTTCTTCCAGGAGGGTCTACTGCCTGTGACTCAAGTCAAAACACAATGCTGCTGCATAATAGGCGGTTCTGTGGAAAAGCTTTTTATCTGGCTGGCTTAGTGACTTGCAAATGAATCAAATATATTTACAAATCTTGAGCTGAAAGACCTATACCATGTGCACCCTGATTCCTGAACCTGCACAGAAATATGCAGTCTGTGAGTGTGAACTGCCAATCCCTCCATCATCCCATCTGCCCATCCCTCCATGCCCCATGCCGCCATCCCCCCATCATCCCATCTGCCCATCCCTCCATGCCCCATGCCGCCATCCCCCCATCATCCCATCTGCCCATCCCTCCATGCCCCATGCCGCCATCCCCCCATCATCCCATCTGCCCATCCCTCCATGCCCCATGCCGCCATCTATCACACACCCCTGCACCACCCCACCTTCCTTCTCCCTCCCCCACCCCTTCTCCCCATCACCACTACCAATCACGGTCCCAACCATGCTACCATCCGCCTTGCTGGCGCTGAGCTGGCGTGAGTCCACGCCAGCACCAGAGGGGACAAACTCCACAAGGCCTATTTCACAAAGGTGACCGGAAAGAGGCAGCTTCTGGGATCGAACGGTGTGGAAACTGCTGGGAAGTTTTTCTTCAGGCAGCTCTTGAGCGACCGGGCAGATGGGCAGCCAGGATCCGGGCAGGTAGTTGGGGTCGCAAGGGATGGCTAGTCTTTCAGGAGCTCCTGAGGGGTACAGAGAGGAGCAGTGCGGTGATGGACAAGAGGCATTCAAGGAGGATAGACTTACACAACTGGCTTCTGAGTCAACTTAAAAGTCAACCAGATGTGCACAGATTCACACATGCATCAGCGCACACGATACACAAGAGGGGCAAAGACACATATCCACCCACCTGGAGTTGCTCGTGCAGTGTGAGTAGAGCAATCGAAGGAACTGGCGACAGGAACAACGTGCTGGTTGCTACCGGTGCTGCTTTGGTACCCTCAGCACCAGTCGCAGCAGCAACAGCGCCCCTGTTGCTTGTGCGAGTGGGATCGACTGAGTGGCTGCTGCTGCTGCTGATGCTGCTACCGCTGCTCGTGGTTGTGGCGGAAGCAGCTGCATTGTTTCCCCCAGGGTGAGAGTTTTGGCTTGAAACACCCGTAGCACCAGCAGCAGCAGCAGCACCACCACCACCAACACCAGTACCAGCAGCACCACTGGATGCACGTGCGCCTGGACTGCTGGTGCTGCTGCTATTCCCACCATCTGTACTCATTACAGAGTTATTCCCTGTCGAAGCATGGCTGGTGCTGTTGGCTGCTGTGGGAGAGAAGGCAGGCCGTGGCACAGACGCTGCTGGGAAGCTTCCGACCGCAGCCAGGGCGACCGGAATGGGGTGCTGCTGCTGCGCGAAATTCTCTATGGCTGTGCGAAGCTTGGAAGGTTCCAGATCAGATGGGGTGTGGAGGGAGAGACTGAAAGAGAAAGGGGAGAGAAAAGAGACGAGGCAGGGGGGAGGGGAAAGAAGGGAAATGAGAGGAGATGGTTGCGTGAAGCTTGAAGGAATTCAGGTTAGGTGTGGTGTGATGGGAGCCTCAGAGGCCTCTGGTTGCTCCAGGGTCGTTGAGAGAGGCGTTCAAAGGGAGAATGAAGGGGAAGAACCATAGTCAAAGAGGGAAAAGAGGACAAAAAAAAGGGGGAGAAGCTCAGAGTTTATAAGACATATAAGTCAACGGCTGTGCTCCTGGCATGACATGAAGCTCGCCAAGTGTCTCAATCAGGTGGCTTCCAAGCCTCCTAAAAACATTTCCTATTTGAACTTGACTTGAATCCACCAATGTCAACGGCTGTGCTACTTGCTGACCTGACATGCGGCCTGGCAGATGTCTCTATCAGGTAGCTCCCAAGCCGTCGCCTCGCCAGCACATTCCAAATCTTCACGTGTGGAGGAAAAGAAAAAACACACACAAAGAAGGACCATTAGTACGGAGGGAATCTGACACAAATAGCCGTTAAAAAAACAAACAAACAAACAAACAAACAAACCAAAAGAAGGTGAGAAAATCCGTTGGAACGTCCGAAAGGTCGGCGTCTGGAAGATCCACGCCGCGACGTAAGCGACTAAAAGAGGCTAGGTCTTTCAAAGTTCTCGAAATCTTATAAATCCGTACCCCGAGAACTGATTCTCCAGAGCTGTAACTATTTCTATTCTCCATTCTTACGATCAAGGAGAAAACTGAAGACTCCATGGGCTTCTCGGAATCGACGTACCCTGAGTATCTGGTTCTCCAGGGCCGTGTCGAAATAGAGCTCGACGGCGAACCCTCGCGTCACGCTTCTGCCGAGCGGCGATGCCGGGTACGTGTCAGCAGCTACCGGCTGCCGGCCGAACCCCATTGTTGAACGTCAGATGCGAAAAAGGCGAGTTCTACGATGGTAACAGTAATGAAGCAACAATTCTTTAGTTCCAGCCTTGGTTTGGGAGTTAGTATGCAATCCGCGACCAAACGCAGTTACACCAGATTAGCGGCGACGCTAGTCGAAACCAGAATACGTTGGGAAGGATAACTGGAGTGGAGGAGACTAGCTGTCGCATACATCCTGCACCTCCCCCATCACTCATCATCCGTCCCCTAAGTACCCGCTTTGCGGTCTGTCTCGTTTCTGTGTAGTAAAGTTTTATCCCCTCTGAACTAGTTTATCAGTTCTTATATTTCATGTTTTGATTGGCGAGTGAATCGATCTCAGGCGCACTGTACATCACTCGCCGCGGCTTGGCTGCATCGAGTCTGGGCGAATCCGTGAAATACTTTCCGCGGGCAAACGGCATCGGGCAAGGCGAGGGATCTGTCTGAACCCTAGAAGAAAGTACCTCGCCGGCAGGTTGGAATGCACCGACCCAGATAATTGCTGCCATTCAGCGGATTAGTGTTTAGCAGTTCACTGGATTTCTGTACGGTTCCGTAAGTGTTACTACGATGCAAACAATCTTGATCAGACATTCGAGTGGTTGGGTAGGGTTGCAACGAATTCATACCCAAAAACCAACGAGCGCCCAAATTGCCGCAGTATCTATCGGATATCCTGGGACATATCCTCGACCCTCTAGGATATGTGACACTGAGTTCTGCTTTTTCCTCGCTCCGCGCCTCTACCGTCCCATTTCTTCTGGCATAGCACAGGCTTTATCCCTGTCGTTTTACGTACTAGTTCAATCTGCGGGCGGCGCCTAGCCGACATGCCGACTCTCAACGTCCAGACAAACGTACCTGGTGATAATGTTGTGATCACCGATGTCATGAAGGACTTGAGTAAAGTCATGGCTAAAGTTCTCGACAGGCCTGAAGAAGTAAGCGTTTTCGTCACACATATTTTCCGAAAGTCTTCTGATTTACTATTCAGGATCAAGACTGAAGCCTGCGTTTTCCTGGTTTGCAGTATGTGATGATTTCCGTGAAAACGTCAATCCCAATGTGCTTTGGTGGAACGGAAGCTCCTGCAGCCTACGCCGAAATTAATGCAATCGACAGGCTGTGTCCAGACACGAATAAGAAACTCAGTGCTGCCATTTCTGAGATTCTTGAGGCCAGATTAACTGTTCCACCCAACCGCTGTTACATCAAATTCTATGATGTGAAGGTACATGGCTCAGCTTCCACTCTTGTTTCTGAGTCATGAGGTTTCATGTCGTCCTGTGTGCTTCTTCGTGTCCCGTGCCTGTATTCAGGTCGCGGATAGAGGCATTTATCAGAGTGCCATTATCTACATGCTTGTCATCAGTAGATGAATGCACATGATGCCGCTTTGTAGTAAATTCAGCTGCATCCACTAATGGTTTTCCTATTTCTTGTGCAGGGAGCAGACTTTGGTTGGAATGGCTCCACGTTCTTTGGCTTAGTATGAACCTAGTCATCAATGCATCAACTGCCTTGTTTGCGCAGCCCATTTCCCAGTTCACTGTTTATCTTGATCTTGTGTCCCAATTCCCAGGTTTATGAACAGTGGGATTTTTTCTTTTTTTTTTTCCTAATGACACGTAACAGCATGAGAGCCAAGGCCCAGTCTCAGTAACACATCTTCATGTTACTGTCGACACCGGTAACAAGCTCTTTCTCTCACCTTCATCACCCGGATATAAGGGCATGTTCCTACTCCTCCTATCAGGGCTTGTTCCTACGGCCCCTTATCAGGCCAACCTCTATCAGGCTCGCGTCACAACACACTGAAGTTTCCCTAAACCCAAAAAACCTTCGCGAATTTTACCAGGCAAAAATGCGAAGCAGATACGAGGTGTCCCTGATAAGGGGCCGTAGGAACACGCCCTCAAGCGAACCTCATATCAGGCTCACACTGAAAATTCCCCTAAACCCGAAATCCTGCTAGTTTTACCAGGCAAGTCTGATATGAGGTTGCCTGATATGAGTCCTAAGACATATATGTCTTATCTTATATATTATAAGAAGTGCTTGGGTTGACGTGTAATTGGGGTGGTTTACGGTGTCTTGTAATTCTTATAAATGGACAAAGAACCATTTAGAAGATACCCCCTCGTCATAAGGGCATGTTACTACGCTCTTATCAGGCAAACCTCTTGTCAGGTTTGCTTGGTAAAATTCGCGAAGGTTTTCAGGTTTAGGGAAATTTCAGTGTGTTTTGACGCGAGCCTGATAAAAGGTTGGCGTGATAAGGGGCCGTAGGAACATGCCCTAGATTACCCCTAACCCCTACACTGACAGGTGTCTTATAATCAGGAACACCCATTTATAAGATACACCCATTTTAAAGACACCCCCTGTCTTCAAATCACTGTCTTATATCGAGGCGATGACGGTACATTGTGCCTCGTGAACTGCTTGCTCACTCCTGGTAGAATTTCACCCCACCGCCTTTCACCATCACCTTTCACCATCTCCTGTCACCATCCCCATTCACCATCACCTTTCACCATCCCCTGTCATCATCCCCTTTCACCATCACCTTTCACCATCCCCTGTCACCATCCCCATTCACCATGCCCTTACACCATCCCCTGTCACCATCCCCTTTCCCCATCCCCTTTCACCATCCCATTACACCATCCCATTACACCATCCCCTTATACCATCAAATCAGGCTCTGGGCTTATGGGCCCCACCCATGAGGTCAACCACTTGGCGACCTGCATGGGGTGGGATGCGGTGCAGGGTGGTAGGGTGGGGTGGAAAGTGGAAGGTAAGAATGGTTGTTGGAGGCGTTTGGATCAACTAAACGGTCACTTGTAGAGCTGCACTGCAATCCACAGCCCCTCTAGACCAAGTTAACTCAGGTCAAATCAGGTCAACTCAAGTCAACCCAAGTCAACTCAGCACGCACATCAGTCCTTGGGGTTGTTTGCAAGGCATATCACTGCCAGCATCGACAGCTGACTATTCAGCTGCACTCCACAACCCCTCTAGACCAAGTCAACTTAAGTGAACACGAGTCAACTCAAGTCAACCCAAGTCAACGCACTCACATCAGCCATGGCGGGTCAGTCTTTAGGGTTGCTGGCAAGGCAGATGGATCACAGCGAGCATCGCCACTGCCTGCAGCTGACTTGCATCGTACCGCCCCTCCAGGCGATAATCCACTAGCCTGTGGAATTCCCCTGCCTTGGCCACTGGGATTGCCTGACAGAGGAGGGGAGGAAGGGAAGACGAGGGCAAGAGAGGATTTGTCTGGTGCAAACACTTGTTGCAACTGACTTGGGTCACACCGCTGCTCTAGGCGATAGTCCACCAGGCGATGGAGCTCCCCTGCCTTGGCCGCTGGGATTGCCTGTCGGAGAAGGGGGAAGGGGGGGAGGGGGGTGCGTGAGAAAGGGAGAAAGAGCATCGCACCGCCCCTCCAGGCAATAGTTCACCAGGCTGCGGAACTCCCCTGCCTTGGCCACTGGAATTGCCTGAGAGGGTGGTGGGGAGGAAGAGAAGATGGGATTGTGCAGGCACGGCCTGCAGCTGACTTGGTTTGTACCGCCCGTCTAGACGATAGTGAGGAGAGGGGAGGAGGAGAGTGAGCAGGAGAGTGAGGGACGGAACCTAGTACCGCCCTTCTAGGCAATAGTCCACCAGGCGATGGAACTCCCCTGCCTTGGCCACTGGGATAGCCTGTTGGGAGGGAGGAGGGGGAGGTGTTGAGAGGGAGAAGGAGCAGGAGAGCGAGAGAACCAACACTGCAACCAGTCACACACCCACGTGTGCACCCACCCTCACCCATGCATGTACCCACCCTCACCCATGCATGTACCCACCCTCACCCATGCATGTACCCACCCTCACCCATGCATGTACCCACCTTCACCCATGCATGTACCCACCCTCACCCATGCATGTACCCACCCTCACCCATGCATGTACCCACCCTCACCCATGCAAGTACCCACCCTCAACCATGCATGTTCTCTATGGCTGTGCGAAGCTTGGAGGGTTCCAGATCCGATGGGGTGTGAAGGGAGAGACTGGAGTCCACAGGGGAGGGGAGTGAATGGAAGGGGAGGAGAGATAAGCAAATTAGAAAAAACGGGTGTGCGGAGCTTAGAACTCCTGATTATATAAAATAGAATCGAATCAAACGTGGAGTGCAAAGTGAAACTGGAGAAGAAGTGCGCAAGTGACAAGGGAGAGGGGAAGGGGGGGAGGAGATTTCAATGTCTTTGCAAAGCACAGCCTCGAGGTCTCTGGTTGCTCCAGGTTCATTGAGCGAGGCGTTGAGAGGGAGAATGAAGGGGAATGAACATGGTCAACGAGGGAAAAGCGAACGATGAATGGGGAGAGAAGGTAGAGCGTAAGAAACATAAATGACAACGGCTGCTAGCCTTACACGAAAGTGGCTAAATGCCTCCAGCAGGTGGCTTTGGTGCCTCACATAATAAAATCGTATTTTAAACTGAGGTGACTTATGAGTCGACTCAAAAGTCACCTCTGGCTAATTGCCTCCAGCAGGTGGCTTTGATGCCTCACATAATAAAATCGTATGTTCAACTGAGGTGACTTCTGAGTCGACTCAAAAGTCACCTCTGGCTAATTGCCTCCATCAGGTGGCTTTGGTGCCTCATACAATTAAATCGTATTTGAGCTGGACTCAAATCCACTAATGTCAAAGGGCCGTGCTGCTTGCTGACCTGACATGCGGCCTGGCAGATGTCACTATCAGGTAGCTCCCTAGCCTTCCTATGTCTTGGTGTATTTACACTCGGCTC